TGACATCTTCCCTCCCTCTACTCAGCAAGTATTGAGAAGTTGTACATAGGCTTGTTATATATTGCCAAAATTGTCTTTGTAAGCATTCTCACGCTACAATCTCCCAACACAGTAGCTTCTGGCCAGAAATAAGATCAAATGTAGGTCCACTGGGGCTTTCCATATAAATTTCCTATCACTGCTGTAGGATTTCAGTTGATGCATCAGATCCAGAATTCAGCTGATTTCCTAAAGGAATATAGATAGACCTCCCAGCTTCTCAATTTGACATGGTGAGTTCCTTGAATTTGCAATAGAGTTTCACAAACTGTTAACCATCACCAGCTAGCAAATGTGCTAATTTCCTTCTTAAGAAGGATCTTGCCTTTCTTTGATACAATCTTCCCTCCACAAGAGAGTCTTGAACCTTCTTGCTACCACCCCATCCTCAAGAAGTCTCAAAACCGGTGTCCAAGTGCACTCTCCAACTTTTAATATCTTCAGATGATGCTGGAATTCACACTGATTTCAGATAATTTATACAGCATAAATAGTATCTTATCTGTTTCTCCCACTCCCACTCCCATGCTTCAGAAAGAATCTCACATCTACCCAAATTGTCCACAATCATCCAGGGAGTTTTGCTCTGGGTATTAGACACACCCAACATCAGAAATCTGTTAGGGGGAATCTAAGCTTATCATCTTGCTCCAATATTCCAAAACCTGGATAGACCCAGGGCTCATATTAACTTGGCTTGTAATCAATCACAGTTTATGGAGTGGTACAACAGATATCAGTACTTAAGTACACAACCATGCAAGAATGGTAAGTAATATGTGCAGTACTCACATAAAGTTAGAGGATTAGCATAGAATTAGAAGTACTGTGACACAGTAATTCCAGAGCTCTACCCACTGCACTATCTAGAGCATTGATCATGCATCTTCCTATTTTTCTCCTGCTTGATTACACCTAAGAACTCTGACAGCTCCTGTCCTTCAGTTTTACCTGCTCCCTCAGACTGTGATCTCATATATGCCTTCCAAATTCAGAGTGACTCTGCAGAATTTGGCTTTCTGAGCTTTCTCCCTAGCTGTGATCTCTGGCCTATATATCACTTACTATCCTGGCCTGATTACCATTTTTGGCTTTCCCTGACTTCCTTGTCCCATGGCCACCCATGCCCCAGTGACAATAGATGTCAAAGAATTTTAATGTTGTCTTCATCTGTAACTTGGATTTGCACATTTTCTAAGGGTCTCCAGGATTTGGGGATTTTCTATATGCTGTGATTTAAAGTCATACTGCAACTGTTCATTTTGATTTTCCTTTTATATCCTCAGTCTTCTTTAGGATGATCAGAGGAAAAAAAAGTCTTTGATGTTTCTGTTTATCACTCAAAATATATGGGAGAATAGGATGAGTATTTTTATTCAAACTAATTGTTTTGCCACCACTCATACTGGTCAGTTCTAACAATCAGCAGCAATTTTTGAAAAAAATAATGCTTTGTGCCAGGCATTATGTTAGGAACTGAAAATACAGACAAAAATCCCTAAAAGAGCTTAAATCCTGTTGCGTTATATATTTGAAGTCAAATCACTGACTTCCTTCCTATCCGTCCTGTGAGTTATCAGTGGTATAGCTTGTACTCTAGGATGTAGGTGCTATTAATGATCGGCTTTTGACAGTTGAGGAAACTGAGGATAACCACGTCATATACCATCATAGACATCTATGTAAGATCCTGAATTTGGTATCGGGAATCAGCTAGGAAGCTCTTCTTTGAGGATATAAAGGAATGCAGCTATAAGTCATTCAGGTCAACGTTAATTGCCATTGCCCATGATTTATTAATCTTCTTGAATTCAAATCTGCCCTTACCACCATCTGTGTAACCCTGGGCAAGTCACTTAAACCCTGTTTGCCTCGGTTTCCTCATCTGTAAAATGAGCTGGAGAAGGAAGTGGCAAACCAGTCCAGTATCTTTGCCAAGGAAACCCCAAAAGGGGTCGCAAAGAATCAGACTTAACTGAAAAACAAAAATTATTAATAGTAGTAGTAATAATAATAGTGTTCATTTACTTTATTTACTTATTATGTACCAGGCACTGTGCTAAGTGGTTTACATTGTCTCTTTTGATCCTCACAAACACCCTGGGAAGTAAGTGCTGTTAATGATCTCTGTTTTACAGCTGAGAAAACTGAGGCAGACAGAGATGAAGTAACAGACCTAGGGTCATACAACTAGCACATGTCTGAATACACATTTGAACTCAGGTCGTCCTGACTTCAGGCCCAGTACTCTATCCACTGCGCCACCTAGTGGTCTCCATGTATCCTACACCCCTTCTCTCTACGTGCTTTCTGACCTGTGGCTTGGGATTTGAGACGCTACCTTGTCTTGTCAGCTCAGAATTTTGCATTCCTTTGCTGCTAGACTTCCCACAGTATCTTTCAACTGTCTCTTGAGTGTCCTGCTGAGTCACTGACTATCTGAGCCCTTTGATTTCCAACACAGACCCATCAAAAGGAATATGGCATAGCTCAGGTGTTTTCAGAAATGTAACTGTCCTTTACCTTGCCATGCATTCATCAGCACCAATTCCTTTGTCACTCCTTAGTTCAGAGTTTCAATGATTCCTTCTCAACCTCTAGGATAAAAGATAAACACCTTTGTTTGAGATTTAAAGCCCTTTACAGTCTGGCCCCAGCCTATCTTTCTAGACAGATTTCACATTATTACCTCCTTCCTACACTCTGCATTCTAGTGAGACTGGCCTGGCTGCAGTTCCACAGACATGGCATGTATCTCCTTACATACCATCCTCTGTGTTCCTCATGCCCTCTACCTCTTGGGAGTCCCTAGTTCACTTCAAGGCTCATATCAAGTGCTACCTTCTCTAAAAAGCTATTCCTGATCACCCCCCACACACACACCCATTAGTTCTTTCCCTACCCCAAGAATGTTTTATGTGTATGCATTGTGTATTTCCTTATGTTGCCTCCACCCAACTCCTTATTCGCAGGAAATATTTCTTTTTTGTAACCTTAGCACCTTGCAGAGTGCCTGGTTTGCAGTAGGTGCTCAACAAATGTGTGTTGAGTTATAGATAAAAATGCTAAATAAACTAAATTTGAGTACGCAGGCAATAAATAAAATTACTTTTTATTTCAAAAAGCATTGCTGAAATCAAGCATAATTTCATCATGAAACACTGAGTGCTCACTTTCCCCAGGGATCCTTGCTATTAAATTAGCAATTCACCCTCTTTTCACTCCCCCCTGCCTTTCCCCTTTTCCTGGGCGATGTGATGTGCAAATTCAGGCAGTAGGAACACCTCATCTTCCCTTTGTCCTGAAGTGCCTTTTGTTCTCTGTCTATTGTTATTTTATCATGTCTTATCCACTGCAGACCTAGAAGAATGTCACTGGTGTACCCTGCCCCTTTTTAGCACTCCTTGGGGAGGCAGCTAGGTGGTTCAGTGGATAGAGCGCTAGGACTAGAGTCAGGAAGAGCTGAGTCCAAATGCAACCTCAGACACTAAATGTGTGACCTTGGGCAAGTCACTCAACCTCTGTTTACCTTAATCCACTGGAGAAAGAAATGGAAAACAGCTCCAGTATCTTTGCGAAAACTTCGTGGACTGAAGAATCAAACATGACTGAACAACAACAAATATACACCTGGGGTTTCACTACCCACAATTCTTTCATGCTGTCCAAGAGATTTTTGTTCAGTCATTCAGTCATGTCTGACTCCTTGAGACCCGACTTGGGATTTTCTTGGCAAAGATACTGGAGTGGTTTGCTATTTCCTTCTCCAGCTCATTTCTATAGGTGAGGGAACTAAGACAAACAGGATTAAGTGATTTGCCCAAGGTCACACATCTAGCAAGTGTCAGAGGCCATGTTTGAACTCAGGAAGATAAGTCTTCCAGACTCCAGACCTGGCACTCTATCTACTGCACTACCTAGTTGCCCCACCTGGTACATAGTAGGTGCTTAATAAATGTTTATTGATTGATTGGTAGTGCCTTCTCTCTTTTAATTATTTCTTATTTTTCTCATATGTAACTTGTTTGTGTTTATTTGCTTGCTTTTTGTTTCTCTCAATAGTTTGTAAGCTCCTTGAAGACTTTTTTTTTTTGCCTCTTTTCTGTATCCCCAACATTTAGCTCAGTGCCTGGAACATAGCAAGTGCTTAATAAATGTCTGTGGATAACTAACTGTCTGACTTTAGACCAAATGAAACAGAAGGCCTGTTGCCCAGCCTCTTAGTTATATATTCCTTTGAATTACTGAATGTTACTCAATTCTCTGCTGGAGTATTAGGATCCTGATTCAGAGAGCCTCTGATTAGTTTTTTTCTCTTGGTGTATTTTCATTATCTCCTCTGTTAACCTGAAAGTTTGGTTAAAGAAGGCAAACAAGTTAGGTGATACATGATTATATAGTTTATTCCCTTTCAGTTAGCGAATCATGTTAACATGGAAGCCAGAATGTGATTCTGACTCGGAGATTAAGCAAAATGAGAGGGGTTTTATACAGTTTAGAATGATCCGACTCAGGATGTCTGTGTTACAGAAAAAAAAAAAGGTATAGCCTCCATATGTTTCCTAACATACAACATAAAAAAAGGAAGTTACCTAACTGCATAGATTGTAAATACAATAGAAGAATGTCAAAGTATCAATCAAAATTGTAGATCCGGGATATGTGTTTCCTCTACAAAACATATGTCTATAGGATACAAAACAAGGAAAAGTCTCATTAATCAAGACAGTGTTTGGTCCCAGACATCCTGGGCTCAGTGATGACGAACAGGAAGAATGTTGGTGAGCTCCACCTGGTCCTGAAATTTGCTAACACAGGAAGGGGTGTTTTTAGTTCACTCAGAGAGAAAAAGATTAATTCAGGTTTTTTGGCCCTTATTGGGGCTCAATTGATCTCAAATGATTATCACCTCTAATCCCTCCATCCCCCCATTAATTGCCCTTTGTTATTTCTTACCCTAGAAATGGCTTCTTTAAAACCAGAGGAGGAAAAATTTCCTTTTGTGGATATATTCGATGAGGATGAAACTGAGAGAAACTTTATGTTGTCCAAACCTCTCTGCATCATTATATTTGGGAAACCAGTAAGCTATCATTTCTAAATTTCCATCTGATACACATTTTGTTTATTTTGCCCTATCATAATCTGTGTAAGTTGTCTGATAAGCATGAAAACAACATACAAGTTTAGCTGGGTTGATTTTTCTTTAGATTGCTTATGTGAAGTCAGTTTGAAATTACTGTAGCCATTAAAGTGTGCCCCTTTTTTATATTTGTTTCAATATTTGGAAAGTTTTATTTTGCCCACAAACTAAAGGATGATTCATTTTACGAAAAACAAATTTGTATATCTGGATTTCAGCAAGACATTTGACAGACTGTCTCATGATATCCAAGTGGATAGTATGGCATAATGTGGAACGAATTAATAGTATACTTAGGTGGATTTAAAGCTGATTGTTCAATCGTACCTAAAGAGAGTTAACTAGTAGGTTGACAGCTACTTGTAGAGAGGTCTCTACCAGCATACCCTAAAGGCTCTCTCTCTCTCTCTCTGTCTCGGACAAAGATATGGCTGCAATTTTTATTAAATATATGGTCTATGTGAAAGGGAAAAGGATAACTAATTCATTGATGGAATCAGGATCCAAAAAAAAAAAGATCTCAATATTTTGGAATGATGAACTACATTTAATAAAATTACAATTACTTAAAACCATCTATGATTGTGTTAGTGTGGGTACTCCCTCTGCTGATGCAGGTTGCAACCTCTCTTTGGCTTAGTAGAGAATCTTCAAGAGTCACTGGGGATGAAAATTTCATCCTTTTGAGCCAACCTGGTGAAAGCTTCTCTGAATTTAACTAGACTGATCTTTAGATAATAGAGAAATACCTGAAGTCCCATATTCAAGTTCATTAGGAACCGCCAGAGCTTGTCCATGGCATTTGAGAACCCAGAGTCATCTACGTACCACCTGAAGAAACAGAGAACCCTGAAGTGGAGCTAAATGATAGAAATTGTACTTCCCTTTCCTACCCTACTTTTTTACCCAAGGTGGAAAAGGCTTCTTTTTAAGTGAAAACAGGGTAAAAGAAAATATGCTAATGAACACAGAAGCAAAGAATATGGATGAACCCAATAATATACCATAAATCAGGAGTTCTTAGTGTTTTCTGTGCCATGATCCCTTTGACAGTATGGATCCATACTCAGAAGAATGCTTTCTAATTAAATGCATAAAAGAAAATCCGTAGGGTTGCAAAGAAAACCAATTATTCTGAAATACAATTATATAATTTTTTTAAATTTTTCATAGACCTGAGGCAAAGAAACCTGCCTTTAGCTTTCTGTAGTAGAAGCAACCCAAAATATACTGATATATTGCATATATTATATAAAAAAAAGGTTGGAAATAATTTTAAAAACTGACAATATTTTTCAAAACAAGCTTTAAAGGTTAGAATATTCACAGGCTTGCATTTTATTTATATTTGTTACATGACTGTTATACTGATTTTAAACTAACATATGTTTTTTAAAGGGGGTTGGAAAGACAACATTAGCCCAAAAAATATCACAGACATGGAAATGTACTCTTGTTGAAGGTAAATATTATCTACACTGCTATCATAACACAATCATATTGATATATTTTACACTCTTGCTTTGCTTAATTTCTTGTTTGTAGAACTTTAGCGTTGGAAAAGATCTTAAGAGATCATTTCATTCATTTCTATGTCTCTTGGAAGGACTGTATCTTAATATACTAGGAAGAAGTTGATATTTTCATGCAATGACTCACCAAAAGAATTAATGAAATCTTCTCTGAAGGTTTTTATAAAAACTAGGGCCAAAACTATATAGTGGGTGCTTAATAAGTGATGCATAGATTGATTGTCATCTATAATTACTGCTTTGAGATCGATGTGGTCTTGCCTGCAAGTAAGGAGATGAAAGGTGTATTGTTTCCAGGTCCCTCCAGCTCTATAAATCTATAATTCAAAACTATCTCAGATAGAAGTGAAATACACACACATTCATAAGTCTTCTTTTTAAAGAAGATTATTCTACAGCTTTCCTTGCAATATATTTTAGAATGTAGTCATCCTCACTACCAAGCAGAATTCTTTATACCAAAATCATAATCCTACCATGTAAGTAAATCCTGCATCTTAATCCCACTTCTTCTTCTTCTATTCTCAGGCAATAAGGGAATAGCTCATCAGTGTCCTCCAAATAATAGTCTTTCATTGATCTGAAGAATAAGATTACTGTTCAGTCTTCTCTTCTCCTGGCTGAAATACCAATATCTCTAACTTCTTAGGATTTCTATTTCTTAGTTTTTTAAACTGCCTTTTTATAACAGTGCTTGCATATATGCTATTTATTCATTAAATTGATATCATTACACTGAATGTAATCACCACACCTTTTGGAAAAAGATAAGAGAGTCACATCCCCTCTTTTATTTTTTTCAAGATGGGGTGGGGACTTCTTTAAGTGAAAACATAAGTCGTTGATTTTCCAGTCTTGGCTCTAAATTTGTGTAGAAGTTTTATCACCTATCTCAACCTATCTCTAAAACAGGTATATTAAAGTCATTTTCATCAGTGCATGAACCTCTACTGTGGTAAGGGCTGAAAAAGAGGACGAGGAACAAGAGGAAGAAAAACTACATGAGGATCTAAATGTATTAATTGATTTAACTAAATATTTTACAATGGCTGGATTCTGTCTCCTATAAAAGTCTAATCTACCCTGAGTTCACCAAGATTTTAGAGCTATCCTATGGCAGCTTATCAGCTCATATCTGTCCTCTTAATCACTTTATGCCTTACATGGAAATTCTCCCTGCTGGACTTTTGCCAACTTTGTATGTATCTCCTCTAAACTACTGGGTTAGTTTATTGATAGTGAATGACTATGTGAATTACTTATAAGTACATGTGGAATATATTGATATACCTTAAGTATTGTGGTTATTCAGTCATTTCAGTTATGTCTGACTCTTCATGATCCCATATGGAGTTTTCTTGGCAAAGACACTGGACTGGTTTGTCGTTTCATTCTCCAGCATGTTTTATAAAGGAGGAGCTGAGGCAAAGAGGGTTAAATGATTTGCCCAGGGTCACACAGCTATTTTGTGTCTGAAGCCACATTTGAACTCAGGAAGATGAATCTTCTTGACTTCAGGCCCAGCACTCTGTCCGCAGCACCACCTAGCTGCCCCACATATTTAAGTATACTGAATCCATTCACAAAATAATACAAAGGCTATTTTACCCACATGTGTATAGTGGCTATTCTATTGTTTGTTAATTGTCTCACGTGAATTTTTTTAGCACTACCACTTTTAGAAGAGCATATTGCTACTGGAACTCAACTTGGAATTATGGTAAATAAACATAAATTACTAACTTTATTTGCAAATGAAGAAGCAATACATATATACATGCAAATATGTTAGAAAGTAATGTGTCATATCTCTAATTGTCTTTAGTTGAATGATTTACTCATTAAAGGACAGAGTATTCCAGATGAACTGGTTTTGAGGATATTGTTAGAGAAGCTCCACTCTCTGGAAGTTATTCACTTTGGTATGTTTATTTTTATACGTGTCTAGTTATATCAGTACTGCCTTATCTTTAGTCTAATCACTTAGATATCATGTTGCAGTAGTCCTATGTGATAATTTTGAATAACTCTTTCAAGGTTGCGCATTCAAAGTCCTCAGCCCCTTTGAAAATTTTGCCTATGGGATGACGGCAGTCATTTTCTTTTAATAATACTTTATTATTTTTCTCCAGTTACATGTAAAAACCATTTTTAACATTCATTTTTTTCAATTCTGAGTTCCAAATTCTCTCCCTCTGCCTATCCTTGTCTCTGAGATGGTAAGCAATTTGATATAGGTTATACATGTGCAGTCATGCAAAACATATTACATGTTAGTCCTGTTGTAAAAGAAAACATAGATTAAAAAAAAAGATGGTGGTAATTTTAAAAATATACTCTGACAGCTGTCTACCACTACCACCATCATCATCAATAACAACAAAAAGCATTTATTGAGCATCTACTATGTACCAGGCATTGTGGTAATAATGATAGCTAGCATTTGTATAACATTTTAAGGTTTACATAAGGTTTACAAATAATTATCTCATTTTATCCTCACAACAATCCTAGAAGGTAACTGCTATTGTTATCCCCGTTTTACAGATGAGGAGGTTGAGACTGTCAGAATAACTTGCCCAAAGTTATACAGCTAGTAAGTGTCTAAGGCCAGATTTTAACTCAGGAATTCCTAATTCCATATCCAGTGCTTTATCCACTGTCCCATTTAGTTGCCTACAAGCTGTTCTAAGTGCTAAGGATACAAAGAAAGCCAATAACATGGTCCTTGCTCTCCAAAAGGTGACATTTTACTGGGGGAGACAACATATAATTAACCATGTGCAAACAAGCTACCAAGTAAACAGGTGATCATCTCAGAGGGAAGGCACTAGAAGTTGAGGGGATCAGGAAAGGCTTCTTAAAGTAAGTAGGATTTGAGCTGAGTCATGAAGGAAGCCAGGGAATCTAGATGTGGTATATAGCTGGTAAAAAGGCAAGGGGTTCAAAGATGGAATGTCATGTGGGAGGCACTTTCATCTCCTGGTCATTGTTGAGCATTCTGAATATGGGAACTTTTTACTTGAATTATTTGTTTTGGAAGGTATAGCTACCTGTAGAAAGCCTTTCTCCCTACCACCTTACAAGGACATATCCCAGCCCTCCAGTTTTACTGTTTTAAAAAAATATTTATTTTTTCCCAATTATATATAAAGATAATTTTTAATATTCATCTTTCAAAATTTTAAGTTCAAAGTTCTGTCCCTTCTTCTCTTCTCCCCCCTCCCTGAGATGATAAGCAATTTTATATAAGTTATACATGTGAAATCATGCAAAACATATTTCCATATCAGTTATATCGTGAAAGAAGAAAGACCCCCCCAACCCCCACTCCAAAAAAAGAACAACCATGGAAACAAGTGAAAAATACTGGGCTTCAATCTGCATTCACACTCCATCAGTTCTTTCTTTTGAGGTGGATAGCATTTTTCATCATGAGTCCTTTGGAATTATCTTGGATCATTGTCTTGCTGAGAAAAGCTAAGTCATTCACAGTTGATCATGGTACAGTAATGTTGTTACTTTGTATAATGTTCTCCTGCTTGTGCTCACTTCACTTTGCATCAGTTCACGTAAGTCTTTCCATGTTTCTCTGAAATCCACCAGCTTTCTTAGAGTATTCCATTACAATCATATATCACAACTTGTTCAACTATTCCCCAACTGATGGGCATCCCTTCAATTTCAAATTCTTTACTATCACATAAAGAGCTGCTATAAATATTTTTGTTCAAGTAGGTCCTTTTCCCTTTTTATAAATAATCTCTTTGGGATACAGATCTAGTAATGGTATTACTGGATCAAAGGGAATGCACAGTTTTATAGCCCTTTAGGCATAATTTCAGATTGCTCTCCAGAATGGTTAGATCAGTTCACAACTCTACCAACAGTGCATTCAGTGCATTAGGGTCCCAGTTTTCCCACATCCTCTCCAACATTTATCATTTTCCTTATTGTCATCTTAGCCAATATGATAGGTGTGAGGTAGTACCTCAGAGTTGTTTTAATTTGCATTTCTCTAATTAATAGTGATTTAGAGCATTTTTTCATAGCGTTGATTTCATCTGAAAACTGCCTGTTCATATCCTTTGTCCATTTATCAATTAGGGAATGACTTACATTCTTATAAATTAGACTCAGTTCTCTATATATTTGAGAAATGAGGCTTTTATCAGAGATGCTATAAAAACCATTTCCCTGCTTTCTGCTTTCATTCTAGTTTTGGTTGTATTAGTTTTGTTTATACAAAAACTTTTAAATTTAATATAATCAAAATTATCCATTTTACATCTAGTAATTTTTTCTGTCTTATGTAGTCATAAATTCTTCCCTTCTCCATGAACCTGATGAGTAAACTATTGCTTTGTCTGCTGATTTGCTTATGGTGTCACCCTTTATGTCTAAACCATGTAGCCATTTTGACCTTATCTTGGTATGTGGTATAAGATGTCTGTCTATCGCTGATTTCTGCCATACTGTTTTCCAGTTTTCCCAGCAGTTTTTGTCAAGTAGTGAGTTCCTGTTCCAAAACCTGGGGTCTTTGAGTTTATCAAACACTAGATTACTATGGTCATTTACTACTGTATCTTCTGTACTTAATCTGTTCCACTGACCCACCACTTTATTTCTTGGCCAGTACCATATAGTTTTGATGATTTCTGCTTTATGATACAGTGGGAGATCTGGTATGGCTAAGCCACCTTCCTTCACATTTTTTTATTAATTCCCTTGATATCCTTGACCTTTTGTTCTTCAAGGAGATTACAGCAATATATCACAAGGGTCATATACTATGACCAGGTGGGACTTAACCTGTTTACTTCCATTTCTTTTCCTTCTCTTATTGTTATAAATAACATTTCTAGTACAATATTGAATAATAGTAGTGAGAATAGGCATCCTTGCTTCATCCCTGATCTTATTGGGAAGGCTTCTAGCTTATCCCCCTTACTGATAATACTTGCTGATAGTTTTACATGGACACTAGTTATCATTTTAAGGAAAAGTCCATTTATTCCTATGTGCTATCATGTTTGTAATAGGAACGAATGTTGTATTTTGTCAAAAGCTTCTTCTGCATCTATTGAGATAATCCTGTGATTTCTGCTGGCTTTGTCATTTATGCTGATAGTTTTCCTAATGTTGAACCAGCCTTGAATTCCTGGTTGTCACACCTGGTCATAGTTCATAATTCTTGTGATATATTGCTGCAATCTCCTTGCTAGCATTTTATTTAAAATTTTTACATCCATGTTCATTAGGGAAATCGGTCTATAGTTTTCTTTCTCAGATTTCACTCTTCCTGGTTTAGGTAACAGCACCATATTTGTGTTGCAAAAGGAATTTGGTAGGACCCTTTTTTGTCTGTTTTTCCACATAGTTTATATAGTATTGGAATTGTTTTTTTAAAGTTTTGTAGAATTCCCTTGTGAATCAGTCTGTCCCTGGGGATTTTATTCTTAGGGAGTTCATTGATGGTTTGTTTGATTTATTTTTCTAAGATGGGGTTATTTAAGTATTCTATTTCCTCTTCTGTTAATCTGGGAAGTTTATATTTTTGTAAATATTCACCCATTTCCCTTAGATTGTCAAATTTATTGGCATATAATTGGGCAAAATAACTCCTAATGATTACTTTGCTTTCTCTTCATTGGTGGTGAATTCACCCTTTTCGTATTTGATATTGCTAATTTGGTTTTCTTTTTTTATAAAATCAAATTAACCAATGGTTTATCTGTTTGAATGGTTTTTTCATAAAACCAGTTCCTAGTTTTATTTATTAGTTAAATGGTTTTCTTGCTTTCAGTTTTATTAATCTCTTCTTTGATTTTTCAGGATTTCCAATTTGGTGTTTAATTGAGGATTTTTCATTTTTTTCTAGCTTTTTCAGTTGCCTGCTCAATTCATTGATCTGCCCATTTTCTATTTAATTGAGGTAAACATTTAGAGACATATATTTTCCCCCAAATAGTGCTTTGACTGCATCCCATAAATTTTGGTACGTTGTCTCGTTGTCATTCTCTTTAATGAAGTTATTGACTGTTTCTATGATACGTAAGATTAGGTTATTTAGTTTCTAATTAATTTTTAATCTGTCTTTCTGTGGGCCTTTATTGAATGTAATTTTAATTGCATTATGATCTGAAAAGGATGCACTTAATATTTCTGCCTTTCTAGATTTGGTTATGAGGGTTTTGTGTCCTAATACATGGTCAATTTTTGTGTAAGGGTCACACACTGCTGAGAAAAGGGTATATTGCTTTCTATCCCCATTCAGTTTTCTCTAGACCTGAACTAGGACTTGCTAACTTTATGGGGCATAGCCTACTATTGGGTTACCTGGGCACCACATGCACTGAAATATGCTCCATTTTAACCGTAGTGACGTAGACCTTTCCTGACAACCTTCTACTGAAAAATTGTTTCACCCATCTTTTTATTGGTTCTGCTACTCCAGAATTCATTTTGAGGCATTATTTTATAGTTGTTGGGAGGTGAGTTTGGAAGAGTTCAGGCGAGTTCCTGCCTTATTCTGACATCTTGGCTCTGCCCCTTCCTCTGGTTTTACTTTAAGGAAAAAAGAGTGAAAGCTATGACTTTTAAGTGACACCCAAGTAAAAATGTCATTTGTATCCAGTTAGTTTTGACCTACCTCTGGAAGCATCATTTGCATGCTAAGTTAGAAAAATGCTGTGATATATCTCCCCCCACCCCTAGAGCATTCAGATGGACCCACTAAAGGTCTATACTAACAACTTAGCTATGCTACTTAGCAACTCCCTCTCGCTAATGACCAAGTACTTCTAAGGATTCATTAAATTTGTAGCTTACTATCTGTGCTTTATTCATTCCCCCATATTCCATAATGACTGGTAATCTGACCAATTTGGGGGGAGGGGGAGAGGAAGACTTTCCAATAGTTGTCAAAAGTGCAAGAGGTCTTATAGCTACTCAGACGTGAAACACATATAGTAACCCTCATTCTACTCACGCGGACTTTGTAGTTGAAACTGTGGCTCTGAACATGACTGTTAGAGCCATATCACAACCACAGAGAAAGTCAAGCACTTAAGGCCTTTGGCAATAAATTTAAATGAAAAGCAGTGCACAGACTTAAGAACATCATTCATTAAGATGGTCAGTTACCAAAATTTACTCTTTATATTGAACAAACAAAACAGTGCTTGAAATCTAAAGATGTTATCTGGCAGTGGCAAAGCATAGGGTCTTATCACCAGTTATGATACCCTGAACTTTGCAGCTACTCAATCAATGCCAATAGTGTATATGTTACTATTTCTCACCTAGTTTAAGCATACATGTATACCTCTGGTTCCCAGAACAAGTAAGCCCATGTCCTCTCAAGGAAATCTGAATACAGGCTAGTAATGAAGAAATAAATACTCCCTATCCTCTTTACTTGTGTTTTGAAAAATCTGCCCCAGCTAGATCTGATCTTGATGATCAGAGAATAACAATCAGAAGAGCTATTCTTCAGGAACAGATAAGGTTGGAAAGGTAAATTAAAAATAGATTGTGCAGGACTAGGTTAAATAGTTGGGACTTTATTCTATACGTAACAGAGATTCATTGTAGATTTGTTTTCCTTTTTTTTTTCCTTTGTGCAAGATTGAGCCCAGATGAAAATGAGGGTTAGGAAGATTGTTGGGATAGCAATATATAGGATGGATCAAGGAGAGAGAAATTTCCCAAATTTCCAAGATGAGAAGGGTAGACTCAAGCAAATCCATGTGTTAGAGTCTTAAAAAATAACTTGGGCCCTTAGTAAGTCTTCTCATACACAAAATTTACTAAAAGAGAATGTAGAATGGGAATTCTTAACCTTTTTTTCTGTCCTAGATCCCTTTGCTATCTAGTGAAGCCTAGAGAACTACTCTCAGAATAATGTTTTTAAACCCATAAAATTAAATAAATAGAATTACAAAGAAAACTAAATGTTAATCAGAATAAAGATGTAATTGTCTTTCCAATGAAAGTTTACTAGTCTCCTAAAATCCTTTCATGGACCCCGAGTTAAGAACCTCTCATTTAGAATCTCCTTTTTAAAATGACTTTAAGAAAGGACACATTCTCATATGTCTGAGGTAGTTTAATTCAAAGCTTTTTAAGATTCTTCTTAGCCTAATAATCCTAATTACTATCATAAATATACTTTCAGTTTAAGTTCAGAAGATATATGACAATAATATAATCTGCTTTTCTTTACTAAATTTGAAATAAGGTTCATGTGTTCATATAAAATAATAATGGGAAAGTTTTATGACTTTAATTTGGTTTACGTTATTATCTAGACAATATTACGAACTACTACTAATACATGTTTTGGAAAATTCATAATACTACAAAAGTTTTAAAGAGATAATTTGCATTACAGGTTATGTTCTCAGTGGGCTGCCATTTCTCTCAGAGGACACAGTGACTGTTGTAGAACAGATAGAATTAATTAAAAACCTAAGCTTAAAACCAGATATCATCATTAATATTAAGGTAAGAATCTTTATAATCACTTGCTCTTTCAACATTCTCAAATAGTCAAAGAAACTAGTCAAATTTTTAGTGACTTAAGTATAATGCTTTCATTAAGGCAGGGAGAAATGGTGTTGTCTCAAAAGAATACAATTCCAAAACAAAGCTATCATTGGAGGTATATTTTTCACATCTTCCACTCCAACATTGACCATTTCTCTTTTATATTTGCCACACAGCATGAGACTAGAGACATAGAGCCTTTATAATTCTAAATCATCTCATTCTAAAGCTCTCCTCTCTAGATTTTCATAACATTCCTTTTTCCTCGTTCTCCTCCTACCTGTCTGATCACCCTTTCTCAGTCTCCTTTTCAGGATCTTCATCCAGGTCATGCCCACTCACTGTGGTTGTCCCCCAAATCTCTGTCCTAGACCATCTTCTCTTCCTCTATACCATTTTTCTTGGTGATCTCCTCAGTTTCAATGGTCTCAATTATCCTCTTTGTGCCTAGATCTATTTATCCAGCCTTTACCTCCTTTCTAACCTCCAGTCTTACATCTCCAACAACTTACATCTTGAACTAAATGTCCTATAGATATCTTGAACTCAACATGTCCAAAATGAAACTCATGATTTTCCACCCACCCAAGTTCTCCCTTCTTTCTAATTTTCCTATTACTTTTTTTTTTTGGTTGGGCAGTGGGGGTTAAGTGACTTGCCCATCACACAGCTAGTAAGTGTTATGTGTCTAAGTCTGGATTTGAACTCAGGTCCTCTTGAATCCAGGGCCAGTACCCTATCCACTGCACCATCTAGCTGTCCCCTAATTTTCCTGTTACTTTCAAAGGCACCACATCATCCTAGTCACCCAGGCTCACAGCCTCAGTGTCATCCTTGACTTGTCACTACCACTCATCACACATGTACAATCTATTGCCAAATCCTATTGATTCTACATTAGCAACATCTCTCATATGTGCCCCCTTCTCTCCTTTGACACTTCCTCCACCCTGATTGAGGCCCTCATCACCATGGAAGGTGATAAACTTTGCAATGGACTTCTGGTTGGTCTGCTTATCCTAGTATCTCCCCACTCCAGTCCATCTTCCACCAAACTGTAAAACTGATTTCCTAATTGACAGATCTTACCACTAAACCCCAGTGTCCCCCTATCACCTCCAGAATCAAATATAAAATCATCTGTTTAGCATTTAAAGCCCTTCATAACTTGGCCCTCTCCTACTTTTCTCTTCTTGCATCTTAATGCCCCCACATACTCTGTGATATAGTGACACTGGTTTCATTTGTGTTCATGTCACAAGACATTCCATCTTCCAACTCCATTCATTTTCACTGGTGTTCTCTCATGGATGGAATTCTTTCTTTTCTCACCTCCATATCCTGGTTTCCCTGGCTTCCTTTAATTCCCAACTAGAATACTACCTTCTAAAAGAAGCTTTTCCATCATCTGTTTCTAGTACATTTATTCTGTTGCTTATCTCCAATTTATATTATTTATAGATTGTGTAATATTACTTGTATGTTGTTTCCCACATTAGACTATGAGCTTCTTGAGAGCAGGAACTGTCTTTTGCCCTTTTTTTATTTCCAGAGCTTAGCACAGTGCCTGACACATAGTAAGTGCTTAATAAATGTTTGCTGTCTGACTGATTGACTAAATCCAAAGACTGAGTCTTTCTTCTTAGAGGAGAAAATAAGAAAAGATTAAAAACACAAGATACTTTTGGTAAGGTTTACATTGGTCATCCATTAGGCTAAAATGTGAGGAACCAGTGGCTTCCAAAATAATTTTATTTTGTCCATATAAATAAGTCAAGCTGAATATTTTTAAAATTTAAAAATGAGATAGTCAACTTGAAATCTGAATGCCAAACTAATACTTTAATGCTTAAAGTACAATAGGCTAGCTAGCTAAATAAAAGTAATGTTAATAACATACTTTTTAATGCCTATGATCAGTGCTTTCTTACAAGTCTCACTTTGGGGAGATAAAATTTGCATTGAAACCACAGAATTTTGGATCTGCGACCTTATTTTACATCATCCTGAATTATATATTTCTCAGAAGGTTAATGAAAAGATACATATATACACACATGATATAAACAGAGGTTCTTAATCTTTTTTGTGACCCGGACCCCTTTGACACTCTGGTGAAATCTGTGGACTCTTCAGAATAATATTTTTAAATGCGTAAAACAAAATGCATAGGATTACAAATAGAATCAATTACATTGAAATACAATTTTCAAAATATTTTTTATCTCACATAAAACAGACAAGAAAAGGCTTTTACAGTGCAGGGGAAATGGGGAAAGGTAAGAGGGAATGAGTGAATCTTATTCTCATCAGATTTGGCTTAAGGAGGGAATACCATATACACTCAATTGGGTTTGGAAATCTATCTTACCCTTCAAGAAAATGGCAGGGAAGGAGATAAGAGAGCAGAGGGATGATAGAGGGGAAGGCAGATTCAGGAAGGGGTAATCAGAAGCAAACACTTCTAAGGAGGTACAGGGTCAAAAGAGAGAATAGAATAAATGGGGGAGTGTGTGTAGGATAGGATGAAGGGAAATATAGTTAGTTTTTCACAACATGACTACTATGGAAGTGTTTTGCATGACTACACATGTATAACCTGTATCAAGTTGCTTACCTTCTCAATGAAGGTGGGTGGGGAGGGAAGGAGGGAGAAAGAAAATTTGGAACCCAAAGTCTTAAAAACAAATGTTAAAAATTGTTTTCACATGCAACTGGGAAATAAGATATACAGGCAGTGGGGTACAGAAATCTATCCTGCCCTACAGGAAAATAGAAAGGGAAGGGGATAAGAGAAGGAGGGGGGATAGAAGGGAGAGCAGATTAGGAGAAGGGGTATTCAGAATGCACACTGTGTTGGGATTAGGGGAGGGACGAGATGGGGAGAAAATTGGGAACTCAAAATCTTGTGAAAGTGAATGTTGAAAACTAAAAATAAATTAATTAAAATCAAAAAGAATGAGGAATCAAGAGAGCAAGAAAAAGTCACAGCTCCTTCAAGCTCAGCAACGCTAAATTCTCCCAAATTATTATAATTCAAGTTCCTAAAAGGAATGTGAAAATCAAGATGAAACCAGATTGAACAGTAATCACATCTTTGTAAGGCAGAGATTTAAAACTCCTGACCTTGGACTGACCAGACTAAAATGTAATTGGGAAATGTTTAACAAAACAAATGAAAATACAATACGACTCAGAAAAAAAAATTTAATGAATTTATAGACCCCAGTTTAAGAACCCCGGATCGAAAACTATGCAAATATATTTTGAGACAGTGAAATTGGTGTGTTTGTTTCTTAACCAGTGCCCTGATTATGACTTATGCCAAAGACTTTCTGGACAAAGACAACATAGTCTTACAGGATTCACATATATGCGAGAACAGTGGGATCCTGAAGTTATTGAGAATCGTAGAAAAAAGAAGAAAGAAGGAAAAAAAGAAGGAAAAGAAGGAAAAGGAGAAGAGGAAGAAGAGGAAGTAGAAGAGGAAGAAGAAGAGGTAATAGCCCAATTGACCAGCACCATGTATTTTCTAATTTATGTTATACTAAAGAACAATAATTTGGGTAGTGGAAAAGAGCAGGTAACATGCAGACATACACACACATTTATTTATCTATTTATAGAAAATCATTCTTTTCTCTAGAGTTTGCTGATGTCTAATGGAAATAAAAATTTAATTAGCCAAGAAAAATATAGAATCACAGAATCTAGGACATCATAGGCAGCTAAGTGGCTTGGTGAAGAGAGTGTTAGGTCTGGAATTACAAATATGAGTTTCACATCTGGCCTCAGACAAGTACTAGCTGTGGGCAAATCACTTACTCTTTGTCTGCCTCAATTTCCTCATCTGTAAAATGGGGTTATAATGGCACCTGTCTCCCAAGGTTGTTGTGAGGATCAAATGGAATAATTTTGTAAACTGCATTGCAAACCTTAAAGCACTATATAGATGCTAGCTATTATTAACAATCTAGTTCAACTTTCCACCAAATGCTAGGCTTTCCTTTACAATATTTTTGACTAGGAGTTACCTAGCCACAGCCTGAGCACTTCAAACAAGAGGGATCAATCACATTACTTCACGATGTACTACATTCTGTTTTATAAAATAAATCTAATTATTATGAAGTTCTTTTTTTTATTGAGCAGAGAGGTCTTTCCCGTAATTCTTACCATTGGCTCAGTTCTGCCCTCTAGAAAGACACAAAATAAGCCCAATACCTCTTCTTTATGATAAGCCTTGAAGTGTTTGAAGAGAACTACCGTATTTCCTCTTACGCCAGGTTAAGTGTCCCCAGTTCTTTTCATTGTTCCTCATGACATGGCCTTCATTTGGGGGCAGCTAGGTGGCACAGTGGATAGAGCATTGGCCCTGGATTCAGGAGGACCCTAGTTCAAATCCGGCCTCAGACACATGACACTTACTAGCTGTGTGACCCTGGGCAAGTCACTTAACCCCCTTGCCTAACCAAAAAAAAAAGAAAAAAGACATGGCCTTCATTCCTGTTTCCTTCTCTTGACCACCTTATTCCTAATGTTTCCATTTATTAGCATTCCTCTTTAAAATGTGATATACCAGTACTCCAGAGGATCTGCAATCTCATCTATATGGGTGTCTTCCCAAGTGAGACAGATCACAGCTCATTACTTCCTTCCCATACTGTATAACTCTTGTCCATATCTTCTCATAAATTACCGTAAGTTACTGTCTGTCTGATGAGATAGGGGCCTTCTTTAGGTTACCTTGACATGGTAATGACCAGTTGATCATATCCATTATCCCTTGCTTTCAATACATGACTATCTCATCTTCCTTTTAAATCTTATGTTTCTTTAATGACAGCCTTTATACTACCTCTGTGTAATTCCTTTTTTATAATTTGTTGCAGCCTGTTCAGGCCCACCATGCACCTCTCCATTAACCTTTAGGTAATCTCTATTACCCTTTAATCACTTGAGTGCTTTTGTAACTGTAGCGTCCCATGACTCAGAGCCATAAAATATCATCAGAAAAAATAATATTAAAAAATTTAATATTAAAAAGATGAATCTGAACAGGTTTGACTCCAGAGGAGAGATCACAGAATTACAGAATTTGAGTTAGAAGGGCCTTCTGTGGCCATCTGGTCCAATTCATACATGAAAAGGAATCCCCACTGTGATGTACCCAACAAGTAGCTGTCTGTTCTCTGTATGAAGACCTATATGGAGAGGAACACACCACCTTTCATGGCATCTCTCCTCTTTCTTTGCAGAAGTGGAAGGAAATCTTTGAAAAAACATGGGAAAATGGGTTTTCTAGGGCAAGTAAAGGTAATGTTGCCCTGATTTAAAAAAAAAAAAAAGAAGAGAATGGAGTCTGTAAGCAGTAGGCCAGTGAGGTTGACTTTAATTCCTGGCAAAATTCTACTGAGAGTTAATAAAGATGGCTAGTGAACAGGTAGAAAAAGAACCCATGAGTACAAAGAGCTTCTCCAAACTAGTAATAGCAGACTAACCTTGTTTCCTTTTTTGATAGAGTTAATAGACTAGTAGATCAGAAGATGTTATAGATATTGCTTACTTAGATTTTAACAAGGCATTTGCTAAAAACCAAAACAAAACCTGAAACCTGAAAATGTTAAGTGACTTATCCAAGACAGCCCAGAGGTAAAATTTGAACTAAGATCCTGACTCCAAACCCAGCACTGTTTCAACTACATAACCCTACTTCCCAGCCCATAGTTGACTGCTTATCACTCTACAGTTGTAGAGGATCAAGAGACAGGAGCCTCAAGGTTTCTCATTCCTCATTCCTGTTCTTATGCTAACTTTAAACATTCATTTTCTCCCTTACTGCTTTTCAGCATGAGTTGATACGTTTATAATCTTCCTGGCCTTTAGAGTCAGGAAGACCTGGGTTCTATTCCAACTTCTGTATGGGGTGTTCAGGGGAGACTAGCACCTCTGTTGTGAGGGCTTGCCAAGCCCTTTTTAGGGTGTCCACCTTCACCCAACTCTCACCTCTGCCTCCAAGAAACTGTAGCATGGACAGCAGCCACAGCCCTGTAAAACCATCTCAGCAGACAGGCTAAACTAGGCTGAGGGTAACAAAAAGGCTCCAAACCCATTGGTGAGTGAGGGGATATCTACATCAAGTAGGTGAAGACTTCCCCCAACAAAATGGACAGATGAAAACAACTTGTTTCAACAGCCATGAAGGCGGCTGAAGCAGGCACTGTGAAGCGCTTAGAGTCTGGTTAGACATGAAAGATGCTGGGATCATCCACTGCATCCTGGGCCATCACCAGTCATCTTGACTTTTTTCTTGCCACTGGACTTTGATGATTCTGGAAGAGAAAGTGAAGCTGACAACTTTGTGCAACTCTGCCTGACTGAAATCCAGTTCACACACCAGTCAAGATATCATGATTTCATGACACCCCATGATGTCATTAGTCCTCTTCCAAAAGGAAGGATGAACAACAACAGTGTGACGCTGGGCAAGTCACTTAACCTCTCAATTCTCCAGGTACTCTCTAATCCTGTAAATGACAGAGAAAACGACAGTCTGCTTTTGATTCCTTGTCAAGGAGTTCCCTCTAATCACGGGTCTGTTCCAAAAAACAAACGAAAAAGGAAGCCAACATAGAAGGCTATATAAACAAGCCAGTGGTCAATGGTGGTAAAAGCTACAAAAAGGTAAAAGGGATGAAGACTAGTAAAAGTCCATTGGATTTTACAATTAAGAGGTCACTAAAGTGAAGAGAACAATTTGACTGAAATGGTTAGAATAAAGTTAGATTGCAGGGTGTTAAGGAATGAGTAGATAGCGAGGAAATGGAGCAAACAAATGAGACTTTTCTTAATAAAACTTAAGCAGTGAAGGGAAGGAAAGAGGTTCAAGGAGATATGGGTTAATGGAAGGATTCTGAACCCTGCCTCCCCCCTTCATTGCAGAAGAGACACATACAAAAATCATTATAACAGAAAATAAACTAACAAGGATTGAAGTTTTGAAATATGGACTAAGTACAGTCACTTTCATCTGTTTCTGGAAGGTGATGAAGTTCTCCCCCACCTATCTCCCTAATCCTTCCACCATTTCCATAGGGCTAAGAGAGAGAGATTTTGACCTTGAAGTCATTGGAGAGTGGTAGCAGTTCAGAATTGGCTGGGAAAGTGTGGAAAGGTGGGTGAAGGATCCCTAACCTGAATCCTAATGCTGAGCTTTTCCAGTGCCAGATCAAGCACTGGGCTGATTGGCTGTTCTCCTAGGAGAGAGCTCTTGGGGACTTCTGAGAACTTGCTCTTTGCCTTTTTAATTTGAGCCTTCTTCCAAAGTACAAGGTGGGAGGAGGAGAAGGGAAGCTGATGGGCTCTTTGGGCCCTATTTGCCTCTACATTTGTTCATGTGCTCCTAGGAGTCCTGAACATTATACATGTATATTTTGGGGGGTGAAATAAAGCTTGTTCCATACCCAATAACAGTGGTGTATGTTGCTTGTACAGCTTTGGGGCATCCTGTCTTCTACATTTGGGATACCCTAGATATGATCTATACTAAGTTTTGTCTAGTACTGGGCTTCTTAAACTTTTTCCACTAGTGAGCCCTTTTCATGTTTTGGCAGTGTTTGTTGGCATTGTGTGACGTAATAGCATGTGTGGCGCAAAGTGCGCATGCTGTGTGTTCAGAACCAAGGCTTCAGTGAAGTTGTAAGATGCAGCACAGGCAAGCACTGCCAGGAACACCTTGGATTCATTATGCATTTGATTTTTAATTAATTTCTGGTTGCTTCATGTTCAGAAACCTTTTACTGTTGCCAAATTTTTCTCAACCCCATTATGGGTCTCGACCCAGACTCTAGTAGACTTTTCTAAAGCAATTCAGATGGGGTCAGTAAGCCAACAAAATATCGATTTGTGGTCAATCACTCAGGATTGGAACTAGTCTATGTGAGACTTAAATCTTGAGGGACCCTACTACATATATATGTACATACATATATATACACACATATATACATACACACACATAGATATATACACATACATACATACATATTATATGTACACACACATACGTTATTTCATATTTGTGTTTGTGCCAGGTCCTCCTGATGAATTATAATAGCTTGCATTTCTAGAGTGCTATATGGTGTATACAAAGCCTTTTCCTCATATCTCTGTGAGTATATTTTTTAAAGATAAAGGAAATGATATGTGAAATAATTTGCATGAAATCACACAGTAGTTGTTTTTGTTTTTTAAATAATATTTTATTTTTCCCCATTTACATGTAAAAACAGTTTTAAGTCTTTTTTTTTTTTAGTTTTGAGTTCCAAACTCTATCCTTCATTCCCTGAGACAGTAAGCAATCTGATAGGTTATACATGTGCAATCATGTGAAACATTTCCATATTAGTCATTTTGTGACATAATTTGCATATCACGCAATAATTATTAAGTGTAATATAGGGCCTCTAACAAAGAAATATATTTACTTCAAAAATACAATTGAAAATATACAAATTTTTTTCCCTCCACAAGAAGGAGGCATAATCCTCTTCTCCTACTGTACCACCTCAGTCTCTGGGGATGGGAAGATAATTAGGTTCATAGCTTAGCTCAGTTCCTGTAGAATATAGTCTCAATTCCAAGTCCAAAGCCAAGCTCAGGCTCAAATCGCAGCCCTGCTGGCTTCTCAGAAGACTTGGCTCACTTGGACAAGTTTTGGCTGGCTGCATCATCCAAACTGCAGTCCTTGGCTTCAAGGTCACCGTGGCCCAGACTCCCAGGTCCTGTGGGGAAAACCTGTTGCACCTGAAACTGAGGAAGAACAACACAGAACAGAAACAAATACTACCAGAACCATTTCTTGGAGATGGGGTAAACAGGCAGTAAGAAGGGAAGTCAAGTCCTTCCTCTCTCAGCAGTTTGGTTCACAGGGTCCATGTTGGGCCCAGCAGAAAGGCAATGTAATATAGCTGAAAGAGGACTAGCCCTAGTCAGAGATGAACTCAAGTTCAAATCCTTCATCAAGGATTTACATCCTCCTGACCTTGGTTCAGTCACTTCACAGATCACATGCTCTCTAAGGGCCTCATGAGCAAACTCTGAATCCTATGAATCAATAAGTAATTGAGGGGAAGAATCTTTATAAGAAGGTCTTTAGGATCACTACCTCTAGAGTTGCTACATTTTTGCAAAAAAAAAAAATTCTGTTGCAAAAAAGGTATTGTAGATTTCTGGAGCACCATTTTTAAATAATGTGTTTAAACATAAGGAATTTTCTTACTAACTGTGAGACCCTGGGCAAGTCACTTAACCCCATTGCCTAGCTCCCCCCAAAAAAAAGTAAACATAAGGAATTTCAAGGAAATGTCATATTGTAGTTTTACAAATCACTTTTTTCTAAATTGTTTGACTTAAAGAAACTACTGAAACATTTTTCCCTTTAAGGTGTTCATTGCAGAGATGCAAATAGTGGCAGAAATTTTTCGTCATTTAGTGCAGAGGCCTGAAGATTTTACAGAAAATATTGAAGCAAGTATTCACCATTATAGGGATGAAATACTACGTCTTCTAGAGGTAAGACAAAACATTTTGTGATGCCATCCCAATTAAATTACTAAAAAATTATCTTACTCAGAAAAAAATAATTACAAAGTTAATTTTGGAGAGCAAATGTGACTTCAAACTTCAAAGAAACCATCAGGGAAAAAAAAAGGGAGCAGATTCAGTAGAAATCAAACCTTAAACTATCTTATAAGGTAAGAACATTACTGAAGTATAAAATGGATAATTATGATTATTTTAAATTAAAATGTTCTTGTATAAATAAAACCTGTGCAGCCAAGAATGGAAGGAATGCAGAAAATTGGGGAAAAACTTTCATAGACAATCTCTCAGATAGGATGTGATTGGGTTGGAATATTGCTATGGTATGGGAAATGATGAGCTGGTTGTTTTAGAAAAACATGGAAAGATTTGAACTTTTGAAGGAGGATGTTATCTACCAACAAAGAAACAGATGATAACTGGAAATAAGCATAGTACAATCTTACATATATGTGTATGAGTATATGTGTGTACATATGTGTATGTAGATATCTATGTATATATATATGTATGTGTATAGATATCTATGTATAAATATCAGTGTCTATGTATATAAAGCTTAACTATAGCCTTCTTTGGGGGGAGGAAATAAAGTAAAAAGTGCACAGCAGAGAACAAAAGAAAACCTAGAAGAAAGCAAAGAAAAGCTGGGCAACTTTGAAAATAATGTGTAGTGTTTATTATATAGGTTTTCCTGAAATAGAAATTTATTGTTTTATATTGAATCCTCTCTTATGGTCTGTTGTGTACATGGCAGTTTTTTTATTTCTTTTCTTATTTTGTATTTAAGTTTAAAATAAATTTTAAAATTTACAAAAAAAAATTTGTGGAAAGTTGAGGATAGCACTGAAAACTAGGAATATTGTCATCTGTGTGATTAATAACTGTGCAGAATAACTTCCATTAGAGAACTGAACTTTTTAGTGCCTGTTTTATTTTGCCTGTTTATTACTATGCTGATTAAAAATAAACTGCCCTATACTTTCCCACAACTCCAAATCTGGCTTTCACTATATCTTTATATTCAGTTAGCCCTCATTATTTTACTATTAATTATCCAAATCTCCTGAGTTAGAAAGTTACATTTTGGGCCAGACCTGTGATTTCTTTTTTTAATTTAATTTAATTTATTTGTCACATTTTAAGTTCCGAACTGTCTTCCTCCCTCCCTTCCTATCCCACACTAGAGAAGACTCACTAGTTGACACAGATTTACAAATATATGTAAAACCATACTATGTATACTTTATTTATACATCATATTATACATATTTATCAGTTCTTTCTCTAGAGGTGGATATCATCTTCCTTCATAGGTCCTTTGTAGTTGATTTGAGTATTTGTAATACTCAGAGTAACTTGGTTGTTCAGTTATTCTTTGAACAATATTGCTGTGATTTCTTTATTTTAGGGATTTCTTCTGCCAAAACAATTGTGGTTCTTTGAAATGCCCTTTCAGTTTCTTGGGAAACTTGACAGGTTAAATAAATGAGGGTCATAAAACTAATATGCGTCAGATGAAAGGCTTGAATCCAGATTATCCTGACTCTGAGACTGAATGACTGTTTACTACTTCATTATTTTTCTGTATATATTTTCATAGCGAAACAAATGTCATTATCACCCCAAAGTATTCACTAATTAACTAATAATTTATGAAGTTACTCCTCAGTCAAACCTCACCCCCTGCTTAACACTAATACTCTATCTCTAGTCATCTTTTCTTTTGGGGTCAATTTCTTTGTCCTTCAGTCTCTAATTGTTCATGGGCCACTTCAAAAGAAAATTATCTTTATTTCAAATGGTTAACAATGGACCTTGGGGAAATTGATGAAGCCCTTGAATATTTTTGCAACAATGACTCCTTTTATGAATATGCTGTAAAAGTTAAGGGTGTGGTAAATGCAAATTTTTGTCAGAAATATTAAGTAAAAAGCCTCCATCAACATGCCAGTCTTGATTTCTTCTAAGAATTTGTTTATAGTTGTAATTAAAACATAAATTTATTTAATTCAAGAGAAACTTTTTTTCATAATTTTATTTCAGGGTAGAAGTCTAATCATACCTTTTTCCTTTGACTGTTTACCACAGAATCTTGGTTCACATTTTAGATGTATTTACTTTAAGTATCTTTTTCCATTGCCAATTAAATTGTGTAAAATTGTCAAAGCTACCTCATTTGTCTTACGATTACTCTATAATAGACCAACACAGTACTTATTAATTCTGATTCTCCTTTAGAAATGTTACAGAATAAGTTAGAATTAGGATATATCCTGATAGTTTTCTGAGAGAAGAAAAAGCATCTTAGCTCTGCACAAGTTACCCAAGACTGCTTTGCAGGACTCAAGCATTCTTGATTTTATGGTCCTGAAAAATCATATAAAAATTGAGTTTTTATAAAGCAAATCATATGTTTAGTGCAGTAGGGGAAGGACACTCTGTGGTGACCATCCCATTTATGGTATTAACAAAACAGATAAACTAATATAAGGTTTTTTTAAACCTAAATAACTTCTTCAAATACTTAGGCAAATATTTCAATTTCTTCAAACCAATGTACTTTGTGGGTGACAATTCTAATTAGTATTAACACCCTCCTGATCTGACTAAAACCAGTTGTCCAGTTTCTTCCTGCTCCTTAAGATATAAACCAACAGGGTCTTGATCTAGGCTCCCCACCTCCCTAGGAAACACAGTGGTGAGACACTGATGATAATTGAATCTATATGAGCTGATGAAATCACCAAGTGAAATAATATAGAGGGAGAAGAGAAGAGGACCCAGGACAGAGCCTTGGGGGACCCCTAATCATGACCGGGCTGAAGATCCAGCAAAGAAGACAAAAAAGGAGTGTCAGACAGGTAGGAAGAGAACCAAGAGAGAGCAGACAGTGTCATGAAAACCTAGAGAGAAGAGATTATTAAGGAAAAGAAGGTGATCAACAGTGTCAAAGGTCAAGAAGGATAAGGATTAAGAAAAGGCTATTACATTTGAAAAGTTAAGAGATCATTGATAACTTTACAAAAGCAGTTTCAGTTTAATGATGAGAGTGGAAGCCAGATTGTGAAGGATTTAGAAGTGAGAGGAAAGAAAGTATAGATGACCTTGTAAAGGAGTTATCAAAGAAGAATGGAGAGATATAGAATGGTAGCTAGAGGAGATGGTTGGATCAAGTCAGGATTTTTTGATTTGGTTGTTTTGGGTTTTTTTTTAAGAGGGAGAAAAGCGTGTCAATAAGGAGAGGCTGAAGATTAGAAAGAGTAAGTGTTGATAGAGAAGGCAATCTGCTGGAGAAGACAGGAGATGTGATCAAAGATGACTATTGAGGGGGTTGCCTGGGCAAGGAGAAAGTCCACCTCTTCACGTGGGAGTGGGAGAAAGGAAGAGAAGATGGAGGAAGATATCTGAATGGTATTGTTGAGGTTTAGGGGTTAGAGGTGCTGAGACCCCAAAATCACCACACATGGGTCCTGTCCGAATAAATTCAACCCAAGCCTTCTTTCAGCCAATGACAAGGTTTATTAGAACATCCATCATATTGGGCAGACTCTTAAGGAATCTGAACATTTGTGAGCTTTTGGATGGGTTCTTAAGAAATCTGAACAGTGGTTAGATCTTAAGAATCTGAGCACTTTAATGGAGACGCAATGGACCTTATATACAGAAAGACTGTGGGAGGGATCTAGGAGTGGCCAAATAGTTTGGGGTGACTGGAAGGGTCTCAGGAAGATCTGGATGGGAGTGGCCAGTAAACTGGGGTGAACAGACCACCTGGGACCTGGACCTTGGCCAAGGGAGAATGGAGCCTGGCTAGGATTAAGGGTGGGAAATGGCCTGGGGCCATCTGGAGGTAATAGACAATGGAGGGCTAGGTAACAGAATTGGGAGATTGGGTTTAGGCAATAATGAAAGGCCAGTTGATAGGATTATAGCCTCAGGCAATTTTGGCCACGTGGGAAAGTCCAGGGTTTTTCCTTTTTGGAGTCCAGATCCCATCCTCATCAGTAATAGATGTAGAGAGAAGAAATAACTATACATGAATGGTCTGTTTTGTGTGAAGTACAAGGCCAGCTGGAGTATGGGATATGGGGAGGAATACTGTGAGGGGCTGAAGGAGAAATGAAAATGTTTGGAACAGCCATCCTGGTAAAATTGATTAAAGAGGTATGAAAAGATTGGTCCTTTGCAACAAATCTTTATCCTTATGAATATGACTTAGATACATTTAATAATTATGCATATGTCATTATATTATAATATTTGATCTTCCTTGAGAACACTTGGGTTCAAGTTTCACTTTGTGAATCCTTGATCTTTTTTTTTTTCACATGTAGGAAATGATGGCTGACCATGATTCTCAATTTCTTATTGAACTAAATGGAAATAAGACCGCAGAAGAGCTCCATAAGGTAACTAGAGTGTTCATAAAAAATAAATATTTTGCACTTGAAAAAATAAATGAAAAATTCTTGAGTGGATTATAATTATTTTTCCTAAGTGCTAGAAAAAATAATTGAAGTTAAGCTAATAGCTTTAGGAAGAAAGAATTTGTTTTGATTTTTAAGATTAATTAAATACTGCTTTTTCCCATAATTTTAAAAAGCCTGAAATACTTGAAAATAAGTGAGTTTTAGAGAGTCAAAAAGATCAACCATATCTCATGTTTATATTGTCAGCATGATTTCACATGATAACTTTCCAATCCATTGGTAAGGAAAATTGTTTCCAAAGTACTATGTGGAATTCTCTATACTTAATTGTGGGAATTGATATTACTAACAAGATGGTCCCTGGAGAAAAAAAAATAATAGAACATTAAGTACTTATATTGAAGTGTTAGTAAGAGGGGATGCTGAACCTCCTCTGAATCAATGTTCTTTTGCTAGATTTTCTTGCTATCCTAGTACCTCTTCTTCCCTCCTCCCAATTCATATTCACAGTAGCAGGTTGGTTTTGAGAGGGATAACTGCTCTCCTATCAATGTATTTCCATTCACTACTCATTTATTTGTTTGTTTATATGTTTATGTACAGCATTCTCTTTTTAAATTTTGAGTTCTGAATTCTCTCTCTCCCTCCTATCCCTCCCCCACTCGCTGTGAAGGCAAGAAATGTGATATCAATTATAAATGTGAAATCATGCAAAACTTATTTCCATATTAGCCATATTACAAAAAAAAAGCAAGAAAAATAAAGAAAATGTATCTCAGAAGTCAGCAACGGTGTGCTTTCCATTAACAATTATCCAGCAGTTATTCAGCCTCTCAGTTACCTCTTCAAAAAAGATACCTACTCAAATAGCACACCAAGAACAGGAGTTATAGATTATTTCCCAAAAACTTGTGGTGCGTTCTCTCATGCACACACACAATTGTAAGAGGAATGGGTATAAATTTATAGTACAGTTGTAGTGTTGATGAGGTCTAGAGGTTTAAGGGTACTGGGACCCCGAGATCACGACACATGGGTCCTGCCGGAAAGAATTCAACCCAAGCCTTCTTTCAGCCAGAGACAAGGTTTATTAAAGATCAGCCATATTGGCTAGACTCTTAAGGAATCTGAACATCTGTGAGCTTTTGACTAGGTTCTCAAGGAATCTGAGCAGTGGCTAGATTATAAGAATCTGAGCACCTTATTGGAGACAAGAAGAACCTTATATACAGAAAGACTTCGGGAGGGATCTAGGAGTGGCCAAGTAGTCTGCAGGGACTGTGAGGTAATAGATCACCAGAGACCTGAACCACTTGGCCAAGGGAGAGTGGAGCCTAGCCAGGATTAAGGGTGGGAAGTGGCTGGGGGCCCCATGGAGAGGTAAGACAATGGAGGGCTAGGCTAGGTTAAAGGTATTGGGTGTAGCCACAATGAAAGGCCAGTTGATGGGATTAAATTGGCCTCAGGGGAAAGCCAGAGACCTCCTTGATCAAGTGGGGAGAATTTAAGGAGAATCCTTGTCTAAGGACAAATGAGACCCAAATTCTTTTTGGGGTAAGGGGCAAAGGTCTTGGCTTGAGCCCATACCCTATCAGTGGGGCACATGTGTAAGAAACACTGTAGCCAAGGCATGATTCCATAACTTCAAGGGCTCCATGTCCTTTCTTTCTTTGAAGGCTCACAATGTTCATTACAGGGTATAGCACTAAGGATGAACAACTTGTTCCAGTGTCCAGATAGACTGGCTCCTGAAAGTGTAGAGTGTCCCAGGGCACAGAATCTCTTTTGCTGAACAAGTCAATCCAGTGTGGAACTGGGCCAAAACACAGTTCTTGCTAGGCTTGGCTGGGCAAGTCTGTTGGCTCTTTACACAACTTGGCATCTCTGATGTATATGTTGATCCATTGGACTTCCTGATAAGTCATTTTTTTCAGTTGTGTAACCCTGTTTAGCCTTTTCTTAGCAGAGATACTAGAGTGGCTTGCCATTTCCTTATCCAGCTCATTTACAGATGAGGAACTGAGGCAAAGTTAGGTTAACTCAAGAAGATGAATCTTCCTGATTCCAAATCCAGTGCTCCATAAGCCTCACCACCTAGCTACGCTAACAACATGTTCTTCTGCTGTGGTGATACAGCATTCTTTTCATTTAGGAGGCTATTTTACTCTTCCAAATAGGACAGAGACTCTCACCTGGGTATTGGCAAAAGCCTCTGAAGTTTGTAACCTCCCAGACTTGAGATGGGAAGGGTATACTCCCCAGATTCAACACTTCTCCCTGGCCCAGAGGTGGGATTATCTCAGAGAAAGACTCCACCCTTACTTATGATGATCATGCAATTACATTTCCCAGATTCTTTTGAGGGCCTATGGGAAATGAAAAGCAGGTGACCTAGGCAAGTATGCTAGGACAAGTTGTCTTTTCTTACCTTTTCATTTGCTGTAGAGTTAATCAAAGCCTCAGAACCCCAAGGCTTGAAATGCTTCATTTACACATGAAAGCATCTAACCTCTATTTATCATTTTCTTTGTCCTGGCCCCACTTCAATCTCCAACTTCTCTGAATTTTAAAGGAGGCACATCCTTACACTATAATATGCAAGTAAATAATTACTAGATGGTAAAAAAGAAGTAAGGCAAAATTTAGACATAAAAAATGAAATACGGCATCCATAAACTTAGTCATGGTTTAGTATCAAAACAGCTTGTAGGAACACTAACACATTACTCTAAACCAGAGGGGTCAAACTCACCACAGCCCCAAGTACAGTAAAAGAATATTAAACTGCAATTGGAGATATTTAACAAAATAAACAAAAATACAATTCAACATAGGAGGTGTTACTTTGTTATTTTTTAGGTGAAGCAGTGGATAGAGTGCTGTGCCTGGAGTCAGGAAGATTTGTCTTCCTCTCAAATCTAGCCCCTGCTTTATACCTGGGACCCCAAAATCACAATACTTGGGTCCTGCCTAAAAGAATTTGATCCAAACCTTCTTTCAGGCAAAGATAAGGTTTACTAAGAACATTGTCATATTGGGCAGACTCTTAAGGAGTCTGAACATTAGTAAGTTATTGGCTAGATTATAAGAATCCCAGCAGTGACTAGGTTATAAGAATCCAAGCAGAGTGGCTAGATTATAAGAATCCAAGCAGTGGCTAGGTTATAAGAATCCAAGCATCTTAATGGAGACAAGATGGACCTTATATACAGAAAGACTATGGGAGGGATCTAGGAGTGGCCAAATGGTCTATGAGGTAATAGAATTCCAGGGACCTGGACCACATGGCCAAGGGAAAATGAAAAAGTGGCCTGGGGCCATAGGGAGGTTCACAATGAAAGGCCAGTTGATGGGATTATAGCCTCAGGGGAACACCAGAGATTAGGCCATGTGGGAGAGTCCAGGGTTTTTCCTTTTTGGGGTCTAGATCCCATCCTCATCAGTTTCAGACACTTGCTAGATGTCTGACCCTGGGTCACTTAACCCTGTTTGCCTCAGTTTTTTCATCCGTAAAATGAGGTGGAGAAGGAAATGGTAAACCACTGCAGTATCTTTGTTGAGGTTTAGGGGTGCAGAGGTCCCAAAATCACAATACACAGGTCCTGCCCAAAACAATTCGACCCAAGCCTTCTTTCAGCCAAACACAAGGTTTATTAGAACAGCCATCATATTGGGCAGACTCTTAAGAAGTCTGAACATTTGTGAGCTATTAACTAGATTCTTAAGGAATCTGAGCAGTGGCTAGATTGTAAGAATCTGAGCACCTTAATGGAGACAATATGGACCTTATATACAGAAAGACTGTGGGAGAGATCTAGGAGTAGCCAATAGTCTGTAGGGACTGTGAGGTAATAGATCACCAGAGATCTGAACCACTGGGTCAAGGGAGAATGGAGCCTAGCTAGGATTAAGGGTGGAAAGTGGCTGGGGGCCATAAGGAGGTAAGACAATGGAGGGCTAGGCTAGGTTAAGGGTAACAGAATTGGGAGATTGGGTGTAGCCAAAATGAAAGGCCAGTTGATGGGATTATAGGCAGAGATTTGGCCATGTGGGAAAGTCCAGGGTTTTTCCTTTTTGGGGTCCAGATCTCAACCCCATCATCTTTGCTAAGAAAACCCCAAATGAGGTCACAAAGAGTCTGGCAACTAAAACATGAGAACAACCACGAAGTTAGTATGCAGCCCACAGCTCATTTCAATTTGAGTTTCAATAAATCAATAAACATTTATTAAGCACCTGCTTTGTACCAGACTCAATGCAGAGCTCTAAGGATACCAAAAGAGACAAAAGACAGTCCTTACCCTCTAGAGTAGTCTCAGGGAAACATAAACATTGTCTTTTTACTTGCTTCCCCAGTGCCATAAAGGAAAGTTTAATTAAGAATCAGCATGCCACTGATCGATCCCACGTGTGCAGGTGCAAAATCACAATTTCCCCTAAATATCAAATTGTGTAAATTGAACAAAAAAAAGTGTACAAAATTTATCACTGGTTGACACCGTTTAGGGTGCTGACATGATTTAAGGGTGCTAGGACCCCCAAAATGTCAGGGTACAGGGAGGAGTCACCTGGAATAAATTCACATATTCAAACTGTCTCACAGTCAAGTGGCAAAGGTTATTGTGATGCCCACAGGTGATACTAAAGCTTAAATGTAATAGGGACAGTGAAAAGAATGCCAAGTAAACTAATGAGGAGATACAGGGCAGGATTAGGGAGTGGTCAGTATATGCTTGTAGTCTGGCTGCTGGGCTTCTGGGATGGATAGGAAAACTCTGGGAGTCAACAGAGATAGCTTTGTTGAAAGGACAAGATAGAAGGGTTGCCAGAGCATGGTACTTGGGAATTTGGTGCCTGGGAAAGAGTCCTTGGGCCAGCACCCTGCACTGATAGCTTTAATCTGAGGAATTACAGGATCGACTCTGTGCCTGTAACAAGGAGAAAATTTTCTCACAGGGGCTTGCTGAGATTAGGGGTGCTGCCAGAGGCATGGTCTTTACATTTTGGGGTCCAGGTCCCCCCACCCCATCATGCTTACTTATTATCTTAGTACTCAAAATGGATTTAGAACCTAGGGTTAACTGAAAGTCTCCTTCCTCTCCCCATCTGGTGAGATCTTAAACCAATTTGATGGGTACTTGTTTAGGATACTCAAGTCCACTGCCAAAAGCTATTGAAAGAACACAACAGCATTTTAGCTGAAAAGAAAGGACATTATTATAACACCCAGGCAAGCCTGAGGCTGGAGGTGGTGGAAATGCAGGTGGCCCATCATAGAGTGAGCCCAGCAGACCGACTCATGCAGCAGAGATGCCCAGCAAAGGGAAGACCCAGTCCAGCAACCTAATAACCTGCCAACCTGTTCCCAGTGAAGAACAAGCACAATTGAGCAAGGCTGCCAACTCCCTGCTCCAAAGAAAGCTCTCTGGAAAAAAGAGTATCATTTAATATTTTTCTTTCAGTTATTTTTTCTGATCTTCCATGAATTTTTCTTTTCTATAAACTATTTCATGAGGGAAAAAAACTCATGGATGCTACCATTCACAGCTGTTCTATGATATTCCATAAATCTTAAATTTACAAAACTAAAATTAGTCTTCATTTATGAGATATTTCAAATAACATTTAGTTCTTTGTTCTTTAACCTTAGTCAGTAATAGACAGATTTGATTGCCTGGGACTGAGAAGGGCAGCAGTTATAACTAGACTTCAGAGTTCTGAGGAAGAGCTGTCAGATGGCATGGATAACGTAAGTTGTATTCAACTAATTTAACATATACACATTTTTTCATTTATATTACATTTGTGTTTTTTATTTATATAATTTTCCATTTTAAAGAGATGTTTCAGGTTATCTTTTAAAAAATAGACTCACAAAAATGTGTTATTTTATAAAACTTCTTTCTCTAAAATATGGCATTTTACTATGCTCTTTATAAATAAATAACATACGATATAATTTTTATCAAGTCAACAGGAATTTATTAAGCACTTGTTCAGTCATTTTAGTCACGTCAAACTCTTCCATGACTCCATGTGGGGTTTTCTTGGCAGAGATACTGGAGTGGTTTGCTATTTCCTTCTCCAACTCATTTTACAGATGAGGAACTGAAGCAAACAGGATTAAGTGACTTGCCCAGAGTCACACAGCTAGTAAGTTCTTGAAGCCAGATTTGAAATCAAGGTGATGTATCTTCCTGACTTCAGGTCTGGTGCTCTACCCACTGTTCCACCTAGCTAGATACTGTGCTGATTGCTGGGACCACAAAGGCAAAAACAGTGCCTGCTCTCAAGGAGCTCACATTCTAATAGGCAGGAAAAAACATGCAAACAATCATGAACATGCAAGAAAGACACACGATAAACTGGAGCTAGCTTCAGAGGGAAGACATTAGCATTGGGTAAGTCTTCTTGAAGAAGGTAGCATTTTAGCTGAGACTTGAAGCAGGCCAAGAGAGTCAGGAGGTAAAGATAAAGAGGGAGAGAATTCCAGGAGTGGGAGGCAGTCAGTGAAAATGTACTGAACTGAGAGCTGCAGCGTCTGGTGTAATGGACATCGAGAAGACCAGAATCACTGGGTCTTTTGTGGAGGGGAATAACGTGTAAGGCTAGGGAAGTAGGAAGGGGCCAAGCTATGAAAGGCTTTAAAAGCCGAACAGAGGATTTAATATTTGATCTTGGAGATACAAGGGAGCCCTAAAGTGTATTGAACAGGGGAGGTAACATGTTCAAACCTGAACTTTAAGAAGGTCACTTTGGCAGCTAAGTGGAGGTTGGACTGGATTGAGGAAAGATTTGAATCAGGGAGACCTACCAGAAGGCTGCTGCAATACTCCAAGCGTGAGATGAGGAGGGCCTGTACCAGGGAGGCAGCAATGTCAGAGGAACAAAGGGGGTGAATTTGAGAGATGTTGTGAAGATAGAATTGACAGACCTTGGCAACAGATTTGATGTTAGTGGAGGGGTTGGGAGGTGGGACAGTGAAGTGCTGAGGATGATACCTGGGTCATCTGATGATGGGTGACTGGGTCACTGATGATGGCAGCCTCAAAGAGTAACAGGAAAGTTAGGAAAAGGAGAGTGTTTGGGGGGAAAGGATGATGAGTTCCATTTTGGTTATGTTGATTTTGAGGTATCTATTAGACATCCAGTTCATTATGTCCAGTGGGCAGTCAGAGATGTGAAACTGGAAGTTAGGAGAGCTGGAAGGCTGAATAAATAGATCTGAGAATTATCTACTTCTTTATGGTAAATGAATCCATTGGGGCCTGTGGCATCAAAAAGCAAAACAGGATTGAGAGAGAAGAAAATGGAGGGAGAAGAGACAGAGGCCTGGGGGATACCCACAGTTAACAAGCAGGACTTGGTTTAAAGATATTCAAAAGGTACTTTGATGTCACTGAATAAAAAAGTTGGAGTGAAATTAAAATTTCATGAATATGTAATAAAGTATAAAAATTTATTCGTTGTTAATGTATTAATTAATAGGCTACCAGATGACATAGTAGATAAACTGCTGGACTTGGAGTCAGGAAGACCTGAGTTCAAATCTTGTCTCAAACATTTTTTCAGCTCTGTGATTCTAGGCAGGCCAATTAACCCCACCAGCCTCATTTCAAAAGAGAGAACAGCCTGTTCTTGGCCATGGGTGACAAATTCTGTGCAGTCTAAAGGCATCACTAAAAAAGTCTGTAAAATTGTGGTGAGGAACAAATGAGATGATGATTGATGATGATAGACAACTTTTATATGGTGCTTTAAGATTTACAAAATGCTAAAAATCAATCCATAAATAAATAAATAATTTTTAAAGTTTAAGTTAAATTAAATTTTAAAAAGTGTTTTAAGACATAGTGCTGAGTATTACTAGCACTTAATAAAAATATCAACAGGTTTTTTTAACATAGCTGTCCCTGATTCCATTTTCTGTATATGTCTTTTTATTTATTTATTTGAATAATATTTTATTTTTCCCAATTACATGTAAAAAAAACAATTTTTATATATTTTAAAAAAAATTTTGGGTGCCAGATTTTCTCCTTTTTCTCCACTCCTCCCTCACTGAGAAGGCAAGCAATTTGATATAGTTTATACATTGTACATCTCTTTAAAATCTAAGTTGATCAATAAGTCACCTGCATAGTCACATCATACTCTTTAAATACTCCCCCATCCTTTTCCACTCACCGTAGTTTCTTCACAGTATCATTTCTGAGATCTTCCCATTGCTGCCAACTTGACTTGTAGAATTTTGGAGCTTGGGATCCTAAGCTTATTCTCACTGAACTTCCATACAAAGCTATTGTGCTCCTATTTATGCACCCTGTCCTTTTTAAATAAGAGATACTTTTCCAGAACCATATTATAATCATGGGTTCCATCCCATCCTAAGTCTCACTGGGATCAACTGTGCCACCTTAGACAAGTTAAGATCTTTAATTCACTTTGCTTATTATTCATACTTTGTGAATTTATATGTAGATATCTGAGGTCATGGGTTCTATTACTCTCCATTCTCAGATTGTATTTCTTATGAAATACTATCGCTGTTCTTCCTGACTATAGCTACTTTCTACAGTATCTACTTTGTTAAATATGCATAGTCAGTTTTGTCTTATATCCCCTCCTTTTTCACTTCAAAGCGGTTTTTTTTAAATTAGATTAAAACTCCAGGCAATTATTTTTTTTTTCAGCCAAGACAAGGTTTATTAGAACATCGATTGGGGGTGGGTGAGATTTAAATCCACCATGTTGGCCAGACTCTTCAGGAATCTAAGCATTTGTATCACTAATGCAAGTGGGCCAGATATTAAAAATCTGAGCCCAGGCAATTATATTTTTACCAATCTTTGTCAAGTGTTCTTCTTCTCTGGGCCCATTGCTGTATTTTAAGCTATGATTAAAAAATTCTAACTCTATTCTCTGACACCATCTGGTCACTTCCCAAGTTTGCCTTTGTTTCCAAAGCTGCTGCTTTTAATCAGCAAAAAGGCTGAAAACACCATCTTTACCTATATTGGGTCTTCAATTTCTTACCCACAATTTCATAATCTTTAGCAATGCTTCCTTATTTCCTTCCAGCAACATTTTATGTCCCACAGTAGTCGCCAGAAGTAGGTAGTGGCTGTTCTGTACCAGATGTCTTGTTGTACTTTGGTACACTTCATCAGAAGAGTCACCAAACATTACATTTACCAGGTGATTTCTTTGCTGATAGCACTTATGGTTCTAACATTATTATCTCTTGATGGGCAAACAGTTGATTTCTATCATAGAGTCCAGCTTTTTTTCTTCCCTTCCTCATCTTTGTCATGTTCTTCTACCTCCTGAAATAGGTCATTTCCTTCTGCCTGCCTCTTAAATCTTTTTTCTTCCTTTTTTTTTTAATCCTGAAACTCTTTTCCCATCTCTTTTCAAACAACATTGCATTTTCCTTGAAAACCTATATAGTACAGAGGCAACTGATGTACAGGGAATAGAACACTGGGCCTAGAGTCAGGAAAACCTGAGTTCAGACACTTACTAGTGGTGTACTACTAATAGTCTGACTGTTTACTTACCTGGCTCCCTTTAAGTCCCAGCTAAAATCCCACCTTTTACAGGAAGCATTTCCCAACCCCTCTTAACTCTACTGCCTTCCCTCTGTGAATTATTTCTTATTTATCCTGTATATAACTTGCTTTGCAGGTTGTCTCCCTCATTAGACTATAAGCTCCTTGAGAGCAGAAACAGTATTTTGCTGCTTTTTATATCTCCAGTTCTTAGTGCAATGCCTGGCACATAGTAGGTATTTATTAAATGTTAATTGATTGATTGAATTCCATTCCATTCAGATGGCCTAAATCTGAGATCTTTCAACATCCTAGTTACCTTCCAACCAGAATATTATTGTTATTGTGAAAATCAGATACATATAGTTAAAGAAAAATTTGTGCTATGTTGATACTCTGGATATTATCAGCTATATCTTAGAAAAATGTTTAATTTAGAAAAATATAAGTTACATGTAAACTATTTTTAAAACTGACAAATAAAAACAGTGATAATAGTTTTTAAAAACCCATCAAATGAGAAGATGAGGTAGAGAAGAATATTACTATTTAAAGTTTAGTAAAGATGTATGAACACAACTTAAATTTCACTTTATGACCAATAGGATGAATTATTCCGGACTCTTTCATCTTATAAATTAATCGCACCTAGATATAGATGGCACAGAAGCAGATGGGGGAGAGCTTGCCCAGTTGCTTTAAAAGAAGGTCACATTGCAATGGGATTGCCAGATTTGAGTGTCAGGTAAGCAACATTAGCAACATTTTGTGAATGACATTTTCAACTTTGTCTTTATGTTTTTACTTTGTTGAAATATCTTTTTTTTTTTTTAAGTTTTCTTGGTAAAATGTACTGTCTTTCATCTGAAGAGGCACTCAAGGCATTTATGAAGAACCCACGTCCCTACCTTCTTCCGCCTATGCCAATCCCACCATGTAAAGTTTTTGTATATGGACCAAAATCCTCAGGGAAAACAACTCTGTGTAATTTAATTGCAGCTAAATATGGAGGACAGGTATGCATACATGCATATATACATATGTATATATATACATAAGTGGTCACAATTTTTTAATATTTTATATTTAGACACAGTTTATTTTATACTTAGACTGTTAGATTCTATGGATACCAGGGTTTTACCCCCCAAAAAAAAGTGGTGCATAGGAGGCATTTGATAACTACTTGCTGACTGATTTAACACCCCTCCCAAACTCCTCTTCTGAATTTCTTTATTTCTGTTGAGAGTACCACCATCTTTCCAGTTCCCCAGGTTTACAACCTTAGGCTAATTAACTGGGTACTTAATTTTCCTTGATTCTTCACTCTCCCATATATCCAATTAGGTACCAAGTCTCATCATGCCTACCTCCACAACCTCTCTCCAGTCTGTAACCTTCTCCTCATGTAGCCACCACCCTAGTTCAGGCCCTCATGACCTCTCAACGAGATTATTGAAGTAGCCTAGTAATTGGTCTCCCTGCCTCTCAACGGTCCATCCTATACCCAGCTGTGGAAGTGATTTTTCTAAAGTGCACATCTGACCATGTTTTTACCTTACCCGGATATAAGTTTCTCATTTTGGCTTTTAAAGCCCTCCACAATTTATCCTTAAACTCCCTTTCCAACCTTACAATAACATTATTTTTCTCCTCTCACTCTGTGATGTAGCCAAACTGGCTCTCTTGCTCTTCCTCACACACAACACTCCATCTCTTATCTCTCTAATTTTGTACTGCCTGGCCTCAGCACCTGGAACGTGTTCCCTCCTTAGCCCTCTCAAGAGCCACCTTCTACATGAAGCCTTTCCTGAGCCTTCACAGCTATTAGAGCCCTCCTTCCAACAGACTTGCCTTCTTATTTACATATTAGAAGTAGCTAGGTGATCTACTGGATAGAGCGCAGGGCCTGGAGTCAGGAAGGCCTAAATTCAAGTCCAGCCTCAGACACTTACTGTGTGATCCTGGACAAGTCACTTAACCTCAGTTTCTTCAATCTCAGTGATCTCTGCCTCAGTTTCCTCAACTGAAAAATAGGAATCATAATAGCACTCACCTCACAGGCTTATTATCAGATATCAAATGAGATATTTGTAAAGCATTTAGCACAGTGACTGGCACATATTTGTTCCCTTCCCATTATGTTTTTTGAACTTTTTATTGAAGCAAGACTCAAACTTGTACAAATACACCCTATTGGAGTTCTTTTCTTTTCTTTTTTTTTTTTTAGTGAGGCAGTTGGGGTTAAGTGACTTGCCCAGAGTCACAGCTAGGAAGTAGTATGTGTCTGAGGCTTGATTTGAACTCCAGTCCTCCTGACTCCAAGGCCAGTGCTCTATCCACTGCACCACCTAGTTGCCCCACCAAGTATTTATTAAGCACCTACTATATACCAGAAACTGTACTAGGATTATGAAGACAAAAATGAGAAATACTCCCAGTCCTCAAGGAACTTGCCATGTACTGGGGAATACACCACATAAACAGCTAAGTAAATACAAGATAATTTTAGGCAGGAGAGAAAACTAACAATAAGAGAAATCAGCTAGTATTACCCAGAGATGGTACCTGAATTGAACTTTAAAGGAAGCTAAGGATTGAAAAAGGCAAAGAGAAGGGAATGTAATCCATGCCTTTGCAAATGTATGGAGTCTAGAAATACTGTGCCATACCTACTTAGGGTAACAGCTGGTAGAACAATTTGAAACTTAGGTCTTCTCTGGCTGTAGAAATGTTTTCATGATCATAGACCATCCTATGCCAATTCCCTAGCCTCTCTCCCTCTTGCAACCCTTTTAAACTCCTCGTGTCAGTTGGTGATTTTTCTGTCAGGAAGGAAGGAAGGATGAAAGGAAGGAAGGAAGGATGAAAGGAAGGAAGGAAGGAAGGAAGGAAGGAAGGAAGGAAGGAAGGAAGGAAGGAAGGAAGGAAGGAAGGAAGGAAGGAAGGAAGGAAAGAAGGAACGAGGATTTACAAAGTCTTAAGCACTTTACAGATATTATCTCATTTAGCCATAACTTGGTTCATGACAGTTACAGATTAATTACCTCCTTAACTTTCATCAGGGAAAATGCTGTCCTGCAAGAGGACTTGTGTAAGGAGACAAGATTTCTACTCCAAAGAGATATTAATCAGCATTAATACATTTTTGGAATTGAACTGACATATATCACATGATGACATAGGTAATGCTAAATTTGTCTGATTGTGCTTCTTTTCTCAAATATTCCCTCCAGGTTCTTGACTTTGAGCACCTTATGGAACCACATGTTGAAGAAGCCAAAAAATTATTCCTAGAGAAATCTAAAACAGAGGCAACAGAAGCAGCTATTAAATCTGTGACAGAAAGGCTACAAGTAGAAAAATTGATTAAAAAACATGGTAAATACATATTTTTAATTCTAGAAGAATTTGGTCCTCTTCTGCTTTAAGCTAGACAAAGAAAACAACTATGACCTCTGAACAGGGGTAAGGTCTAAACTTAGTCCTCTCAACAAAACAGAAAATGCAGAAAAGGTCCCTTTACTTTTTGTTAACTGCAGTTTCATCAGATCTTTACATTGGGATTCCTCTCCTTTCATGAGCCTTTATGCTTTGGAGAGACTAGTGGAGAAATAGTTATATTTATAGCTATGTTGTAAGTTTATCACATAACAAAAACAGAGGAAGAAGGCTCATGGTTACTTCCAATGGTAAATGAACAAATAAATATTTTCTATTTTTTATATTGTACTTGCTCAACTTATCTATGAGCCCTGGCTAGGTGAGTTCCTTGGTATTAGAATCATTCATTTCAGATTCATTCTTATTAAATGCTAAGATTGATACCAATTCATTTCAGCAAACATTACCAGGCAGTGTGCTAGGGGAGAATATAAAGACAATGCTTGACCAACTACCTAGAATCTAGAAGAACGATGATGAAACATGTTACTCATCTCTTCTGACAAAGAGGGGATGGACAGTGTGCAAAATGAGATATGCATTTTTTTGGATATGGCCAATACAGGAATTTGTTTTGCTTGACTATGCATATTTGTTACAAGGGTTTTGTTTCTCTTTTGTTTTCCCATTGGGAAGAGAGAAAATAGATTTTTTTTAATTGAAAAAATTAATTTAATTTAAGAAACAAACACAACAGAAGAGCTGACAGTTGTCATAAGCAAAAAGCATCCTTTATTCCATTGGAGGAGGGAAGCTAGAGAGAGTGAACACAAAGGATTGTTGTTATGCCAAGCTCAGGGCACAGCTTGCTTACTGGGCCTTCGCTCCAGAAAATAGGGTATCTCCTAATAGTGAAAAGAGAGGGGTGGTCTTGGCATGGAGCTCCTGATAGGGTATATTGCATGATTATTTTTACAACAGACTTAATTTGTGCAAATATTTTTCTTAGGCCAATGAAATTTGTTATTTGTTTGTTTGTTGTTGTTGTTGTTGTAATGAGGAGATATCCTAGGACACAGAGTGTTTGGGAAAAACTGGCCTGGAATTTTAGTAAAATGCTGTGGATCAACCCTGTAGTGACTAATGCCCATACAGATAATAAAGTGAAGGCTGTAATAACTTATTCTAGCTTACTTCTTTTTTTTAAACTAAGATTAGACGTGAACGCTTTACACAGACATTCGTAAGAAATGAGGGACAGAAAGAGCTGGGGCAGGAAGCAGAGTTGGGGATTAGAAAGAGCAAAAACTACAGCATTTTGTATTTGAAGTTCTGTTCCCACCTTTCACAAAACAGCTTTGATCTGTTTGCTTAATTGGCTGGTTGTCTTGTTTTCTGAATGGGATAGTCCGGGTTTATTCTCTCCCATGGAATGAAGCTAGATCAATCTTCCCTCATTTCTGTGTAGAGAAGAAGCAGGTTCAGATCTATGTGGCCTGAGGTGGAGTGGGCCTACAGTTTTATTTAACTTTACTGTCCCCCTATATTCAGCAGTTGGATCATTCTATTTTAGAATGTCTAAAGAATTTAGCTATTGGTTTTTGGTTTTTCTCATGCTTTTTTTTATCTGTATTTTCCCTATCTAGTCCAGGCTGAAAGTCCAGGGCTATGAATGCCCATCTCATGGGCTCAGTCCCACCACTGATTGGCACAGGAGCTTTGGCCTACTGTTTCCAACATGGGCCAGTTCACTCCTCCATAGGTAACCTCTTTCCTCCACTCATGGAAGCTAACCATATTGACTCTGGATTTAGTACAGACACCTAGTTGGTTTTGTGGACTGAACCTCAGAGTCCTGAGCTCAATCACCAGCTTCAGCTTCCTTGACAGTTGGAATTATAAACGTGCATCACCATGGCTGGCTTTTTAATTTTTTTGGTAGAAGGGGGGCAGCTACCAGTATAACAAGTTCTGGGTTTTTTGTTTGTCATTGTTACTCTGTGTGTGTGTGTGTGTGTGTGTGTGTGTGTGTGTGTGTTGAGAGGTCCTTCTGTTTGTTTTCATTTTTAAAATGAAAGTATCCTTTACTGCCAAAACCTATTACTGACTTTTAGATTTAAAAGAAAATGAAAATAAATCTGATGAATTAAAACTAGAAGAAAAAGACTCTTTGAAAAAAATTGGGGACGAAGAATTCACTGATGAAAAAAGCTCAGAAAATAAAGCCCCGGAAGAAAAAAGTGGAGAAGAGCTAAGCTCAGAACAAAACACAGAAGATCATAGCAGTGAAAAAAAAGGTAAAGAAATATACTCTTAATTTTATGAAGGCCGTCATCTGTTCATTAGGCTATGTGTGTATGGAGGCAGTGCCTTTATTTTTTTCTTTTACATTTTAATTGATTATTTATTTTTAACATTCTTTTCTTTTAAAATTTTGAGTTCCAAGTTCTCTCCCTCCCCCATCCATTGAGAAGACAAGCAATATGATATCAATTACACATGTGAAATCATATAAAACATATTTCCATATTATCCATATTTTTTTTAAAAAGAAAAATAAAGAAAGTGGGAAAATTGTGCTTCAGTTTGTGCTCAGAGTTCATCGGTTCTCTCTCTAGAGAATAAATACTAAAAATAGCATTTTTTTTCTTCATGAGCCCTTTGGATTGTCTTGGACATTGTATTGATTAGAGTAGCCAAGTCTTTCACAGTTGATTGTCATAACAGCATGGCTGATATGGTGTACAATGCTATATGGATCTTCTCAATTCTCTTTGCATCAGTTCATATAGGTCTTGCCATGTTTTTCTGAAACCACCTTACTTGTCATTTCTTATAGCACAATAATACTCCATCACAATCATATGCCGTTAACGTGTTCAATCATTCAACGATTGATTAGCCTCCCCTCAATTTCCAGTTCCTTGCCATCACAAAAAGAGTTGCTCTAAATATTTTTTACATATAGGTCCTTTTCCTTTTTATTTGATCTCTTTAGGATACAGAACTAATAGTGTATTGCTGGGTCAAAGGGTATGCACAGCTTTATAATTCTTTGGGCTTAGTTCCAAATTGTTCTCCAGAATGGTTAGACAAGTTCACTACTTCATCAGCAATTCATTAATGTACCTATTTTCCCCTCATCTTCTCCAATATTTGTCATTTCTGAGGTATGAGGTGGTACCTCAAAGTTGTTTTAATTTACCTTTCTCTAATCAATAGTGATTTAGAGCATTTTTATATGACTATAGATAGCTTTGATTTCTTCTGAAAACTGCCTGTTAATATCCTTTGACCATTTATTAATTGGGAAATGGCTGTTATTTTTATAAATTTGACCTGGCTCTATACTCAGTATAAATTTTAGAAATAAGGCCTTTATCAGAGAAACTTGCTATAAAAAAATTTGATACAACTTCATTTTCTATGGTACCTTATAGCATAGTGTGGTTTCCTTGGATTACCTCTTGCCTTTTTTACTTCAGCTGAAGCAAAGATTCTGCTCCAGCCTTTTATTTTAATTTTATGTGTGTCTTTCTGTTTCAAGTGTGTCTCTTGTAAACAACACATTGTTAGATTTTGGCTCCTAATCCATTGCGCTGTCTGTTTCAGTTTTATGGGTCAGATCATCCCATTTACATTCACAGCTATGATTACTGTGTATATATGTATATATACATATAGGGATGTGTGTGTGTGTGTGTGTGTGTGTGTGTGTGTGTATTGTTCCCTCTTTGAACCAATTCTGGTGAAAGTGAGATTCAAGTACTGCCTGTCACATCCCCCCATTTTCCCCTCCATTGTAAAAACTCTTCCTTGCATGACTCTTTTATGTAAGAAAATTTTCCCTATTCTGCCTCTTCCTTCCTCTTTTTCCTAGTGAATCCCTCTTTCTCACCCCTTCATTTTTAAATTTTTGGAAATCATCCCAACACAATCAACTCACACCAGTCCTGGCTTTTTCCTGACTTCCCCTGTCCTATAACACCCATATTCCAGTGCCAATAGATGTCAAAGGATTTTAATGTTATTTTCATTTGTAATTTTGATTTGCACATTTTCTAAAGTCTCCAGGATGTTGGAATTTTCTATATGCTGTGATTTAAAGTCATACTGGAACTATTAATTTTAATTTTCCATGAAAATATGTTATGTTTTCAGTCTTCCTAGGATGATCAGAGAAAATGTCAAGTCTTTAATGTTTCTGTTCATCACTCAATATATGTGACAGAATAGGATAAGTGTTTAAACTTGTAAATTTTGAGTTTATTTTGATATATAGTGTGAGATGTTGCTCCATATCTAATTTCAGCACGGTTACTTTCTAGTTTTCCCAACAGTTCTTGTCAAATAGTGAGTTCTTGCACCAATAGCTGAAATCTTAGGGTTTATCAAACACCAGGTTGCTGTTAATTGTGTCTATATATTGTTCCACTGATCTATTTCTTACCTGGTATCAATTTTGTTTATGATTATAGCATTGTAGTATAGTTTGAGATCTGGTATTGCTAGTTCCCCTTCCTCCTCATTTTTTTCCATTTTTTTTTTATATTCTTGACCTTTTGTTCCTCCAAATGAATTTTGTTATTATTTTTTCTAGCTCTATTAAGTAATTCTTTGGTAGTTTGATTGCTATGGCACTGAATAAATACATTAATTTAAGTAGGCATTGTCACTTCTGTTACATTGGCTCAGTATATGCATGAGCAATTACTATTTCTCCAATTATTTAGATCTATATTTGTCTGAAGAGTACTTTGTAATTTTGTTCGTCTGGTGTCGTATGCATCTCCGCAGGTAGACTTCCAATTATTTCATATTGTGCATAATTATTTTAAATGGAGTTTCTCTTTGTAGCTCTTCCTGCTGGATTTTGTTTGTAGTGTACAAAAATGCTGATGTTTTGTGTGGGTAATATACAGAAATGCTGATGATGTGTCATTTAGGGTTTTTTTAGTTGATTCTCTAAGGTTCCCTAAATAATCCATCACATTATCTGCAAAAGTGATAGTTTTGTTTCCCCATTGCCTATGCTCATTCCTTCAATTTTCTTTTTCTTTTCTTATTGAAATAGCTAGTGTTTCTTTTTTTCTCTTTTTTAAAAATTAAATTATTTTGATTTATCAACAATCATTTCCATAAGCTTTTGAGTTTTAAATTTTTCTCCCCGTCCCTCCCCATCTCCTTCCCCAAAACAGCGTGCAGTCTGATATAGGCTATACATATACATTCCTGTTAAACATATTTTCACATTAGTGATGTTGTAAGAATTAGAACCAATAAGAGGAACCACCAGAAAGAGGAAACAAAACACAACAGAAGAAAAAATAGCAAATAGTATGCTTCAATCTGCATTCAAACTTGGTAGTTCTTTCCTTGGATGTGGATAGCATTTTCCATCATGAGGCCTTTGGAGATATCTTAGATGCTTGTATTGCTGAGAAGGGTTAAGTCTGTCAATATTAGTACCTAACTTATTATGTTATTCCCTTCTTGAGCCAAATCTGATGAGAGTAAGGTTCAAACAATGCTCATCTCCCTCCCTTCTTTCCCTCTGCTGTAATAGATTTTTGTGTCTTTTCCTGTAATATAATTTACCCAGTCTGCCTCCTCCTTTTCTTTTCTTTCAGTACATTTTCTTAGCTAGATCAGATTAATCCACTTACTTAGATCCATTTAACCCACTTGGTTAGAATTTTTTTAATCATTACATCAAAGTCAACTTGTACCCACCCCCTTTATGTATACTCCTTTAACATAGTATAATAACAGTGCAGTTCTCAAGGGTTACAAGTGTCATCTTCCCTTGTAGGGATATAAACAGTTTGCTCTTATTAATAACATATTGGTTCTTTCTGTCCTGTTTACCTTTTTATGTCTCTCTTGAGTCTTGTATTTGAAGATCAAATTTTTTGTTGAACTCTGGTCTTTTTATCAAGAAGGTTTGGAAGTCCCCTATTTCGTTGAATATCCATTTCCTCCCCCAAAAGATCATGAATAGCTAGCATTTCTAATACAAAACTGAATAGTAATGGTGATAATGGACATTGTTACTTCACCCCTGATCTTAATGGAAAGGATTCTAGCATACCCCACTACAGATAATGCTTGCTCTAGGTTTTAGATAGATACTACTTATCATTTTAAGGAAAGTTCCATTTATTCCTGAAACTTCTAGAGTTTTTCACATATGTTGTATTTTGTCAAAAGCTTTTTCTGTATCTACTGAAATAATCACATGGTTTTTATTATTTTTGTTGTTATTATGGTCAGTTGTGCTTATCACACCTCTTCTTCTTAGAGAATGTTAAATAGAAATGATGGTTTTGCATAGTGTCCTGAAAATCAGTTAAGCTGCCATCAGACCACACTGGAAAGAGTTCTCAGGCACTTTCACCTTTGAATTGAAGAAAGCAAGAAACCAAGCAGTGTTTTTCAACTACTAAGCCAAAATCTGAAAGTAAAAAATAATAGTCTGTCAGTCAATAAACATTTATAAAGTGTCTTCTACGTAGGCTGCGCTATGGTAAACACTGGGGATTCAAAGCGAAGTAAAAGACAATGGGGAAGACAACATGCAAACAACTAGGTATGAAGGAGCTATAGACAGGATAAATCATCAACAGAGAAAGGAACAAGAATCAAGGAGGATTAGGGAAGGCTATTGTTTTCCTCCCTGAAAGGCCAAGGGGTCACTTGGGAGGAAGAGTGCTGAGTCAAAGATCTACCTGCTCAAGAGTCACATTAGGACAGCCACCATAGATGACTCAGTACACTGCTTCTCTGAGACTGGAACAGTTTCACTACTGTCTCCCTGGACCCAGACTGCTGCCAGAAAATCAGACCATGGCTTCTAAGGTCTTCAGAATTTTGCACAGGGTGCATGAATTCCTTGTCTTGACCACTCTATCTCTCAAGTGCTTTAGTCTCCCCTTGCTCCCTTTACCCCAACCTTGACCATCACATTCCTAAAAACTTCTAGGAACACATGAATCTAGATATCAAGAGTAGGGGAAATCATATAAGAAAGGGATTGTCCTCACCTACAACTGTGGGTTAAAATTTTAATAAATAAATAAATGTGGTTATTGGTTTTGGTTTTTTGTTTTTTTCCTGTGGAAGCATAGTATAGCCACTAGAAAGATAATGTGATGGGGAAAGCAGCTGGATCTAATATCGGAAGAATTCAACTGTGAATCTTGATTTTATATTTACTATATATATATGACTTTGGGCTTCAGATTCCTCATATGTAAAATGAAAGGGTTGGACAAGATCTCCAAAGGTCCTTCTGACTGCAAATTCTTTTAGTCTCCCCAATTTATTATTTATTTATTTTTAACATTAATTTTTTTTTTAAGTTTTGAGTTTTGAATTCTCTCCCTCCTTCTCTCCCTCCCACTCCTCCCTACCTATCGAGAAGGCAAGAAATGTTATATCAATTATACATGTGAAATCATACAAAATATATTTCCTTATTTTGGCTGCAAATTCTTATGATCCTATACATGTTTCAAGCTCATTCAGAAGCCCAGGATTTTTACTAGATTATTGAACAAATTACAGCATTTTAAGCAGATATGCCCTGAGTCCCTTTCATGAAAAGATAAAGTGAATTAGATGTTTCTATACCTTTTAAAAGATAAATATTTTTATTACATTATGTTCATTAGAAAAGGAATCTACTTCATCTGCCAGTGCCAAACCAGTCAGTAAATCTGTGATTGACATTGACTCCAAAACAGACCAGGAAACAACTCATGAAGTCAAAGATGTTAAATTGACTTTTTTGGTATTTTTGTTTCTTTATATTTAAACAAACAAAACAGTTCTTTCTAGAATTGGAGACAGAGGAGGGGAAAGTGAAAAGTGTTTTTAAAAAGTATTTCTATATATAATTTATGACTTTAGAACTTGAATTAAAAATTAGACATGGAAAATAGAGAAAATGGTGTGTGATATGTTTTTTTCCCAAAAAAAATGCTAATATTTTAAGTAGTTTTAGTGGAAAAGATAATTACTTGTCAATTAAGTTATCTCTGTCCTACTGTTCCTGCTAGGGATTGTTTCATTCTTTGTGTTTGTATCCCCAGTGCTGGGGACACAATAGGCATTTAATAAATGCCTACATAAGTTATATAACTAAAAATGTTAATGCTTCCCCCATTTGTAAAATGGGCATAATACCATGTTTGTATGATTTCTTTTAGTAGCTAGTTTGCTAATAAAAAAGGCAGCTTCTTTTGTGGTGAAACAGGGACCTTAAATCCAATAGCCAGAAATATAATTTCCTTTCTAGAGGAGCATCTTCAGTTGCTTTGACTAACACTTTTTTGTACTATTGACATTCAAGACAATCTGCCACTGATGAATTTAGAAGAAAAAAACCTCGTGAATGGAATGAGGAAAAAACATGCAAGAAAATTTGGTTATGCAGTCCTCCCTACCTTCTTTATAAGATGTGAGAGAGCAAATAGGAAAGACAAATTTTTCTGAGAGCCTTAAAAGATGCCATTCACCTTCAAGTGTTGTTACTGTTAACAGTTTTATTTCTCTTCTGGAAAATGGGATAATCTGGGGATTTCAGTCAAACAATTGCTTGGTGTTATACAGTGCCAATTATGTTAAATGTCCTACAGTGATACTGACTACAGCTAGAACAAAAATAATAATGACAATGAAACACCATATCCTGATCAAAGTGCTTTTAAAGTGATCTTGAACTAAACTGTGTTATTAAGTTGTGTTGTAGTCAACACTTTTTAAATTTCTGTTATGTGTAGAGCATTGTGCTAGCCAGAAGGAAGGAAGGGAGGGAAGGAAGGAGGTAATACATATTTATTAAGCATCTACTATGTGCCAAGCACTATGCTAAGTGCTTTACAAATAATTATCTCATTTGAACTTCACAACAACTCTGTGAGGTAGGTGCTGTTATTATCCCCATCTTACAGTTGAGGAAACTGAGGCAAACAGAGGTTAAGTGGCTTGTTTACAGATAGATAGTGAAGGGAAGGAAATGGAACCACAGCACTGACAATGGACCGGGAGGACAGAGAGGGCCACAGTAGACACAAGGAACTGATTTAGGGGTGAGGCAGAAAGTGAAAAAGGATAGGAGCTTGTGATCAGAAAGAAGAATTTCAGGGTTAGAGATCACGGAGGAATAATAGTTATGGATGATGATAAGATGAAGGACGTGACCCTTGTCACATCCCCACGTGGGACTGGTGAAGTGAAAATGGAGGTTATGGGAATTTAGGAGGTCAATAAACTTGCTAGGCCAATGTTTGAAAGGACATCGACCTGCATAATGAAGTATGAAGGCAGGGCTGAGTTGGAAAAAAAGACTGTGAAACCACATATTCAACTTCTTGGGAAAGGAAATAGAACGACCTGGAAGTTGTTAAATGATAGTCATCGTTCATCAGCAACTTGGTCTTTACCAATACTTCCTTCCCACTTTTTCCCTTACCTCCTCTGGCTCCATGCAATAGGGATGTAAAGGCAGTCCAACAGTAATGACTCTTTTGGAGGTTGGATATTTGATGACCAATTTTTCTTGCCAGATTGTCCATCTGCCTCATTGAAATGCTCATTCAATGATAGTATCTAATGAACTTTTTTTTTAAAATCCCAACTTCATATTTAAAAGAATCAGAAACTTCAGACATAGTGGTAACTGCTGATCATCCAGATGTCCAGGAATTGGTTGAAGAAGCGATGAAAGTTGCAAAGGAGGTTCCAATTGAACTTCAGTTTGAGCAACAAGTTGATGTTTTGGACCAAATCTATAAAGATGTAAGCACTGTAGACTATAAGCTTTAACAGTATATGTTTTGAAGTAACAGTGTGATATTTGTTATAATAACAACATAGTAATAATAATAATGATGATGAGAGCTAACATTTGTAGAATGCTTACCATTTGCCAGGTACTGTGCTTTACAAATAATCTCATTTGCTTCTTACAACAACCAGGGGAGATAGGTGCTATTATGATCACCATTTTATAGATGAAACTGAGGCAGGAAGAGGTTAAGTGACTTGCCTAGAGTCTCATATAAGTGTCTGAGACTGGATTTGAACTCGTCTTCCTGACTCCAGGCCTTACACTTTATTCACTGAGCCACTTAGCTGCTTCTGGGGTATATTTAAAATATTTTTTATAAAATATGACTCTATCTTCAGTTTGACTCAGTTAAATGTTGATTGCCTTCTAATCTAGAAAGCCAAATCAACAGGAGTTAATCATTGCGATATTTTACAGAAAACAACTATAGATCAGTGTGTCTAGAAATTTAATAACTTTTAAATTATTTATCTTCTTAACCTATAATGTGATGGAGTCTAGCTGGTACCATGAGGTCAAAGCTAAAGTTAACAGATTTGGGGCGAAGAAGAAAAAGAAGGAGAAGGAGGAGGAGGAGGAGGAGAAGAAGAAGCAGAAGAAGAAGACGACGACGACGACAATGACAACGACAACCTCCTACCTCCCAAAGTTTTTGAGAGGATCGAATTAAATTATAATTGTAAAGTGCTTAGCACAGAGACTGGCACAGCACTATAAAAGTGTTAGCTATTACTTTTTATGGGTCAGTTAGCTTTGCTCTGCCCCACCTTCCCACATTCCACCCCCACCTCCAGGAACACAGCTGAACTGTGCAATTATGATATGTCTGTATCTCCCTTCTCCTCATATCTCCTTCACTCCCAAGGCTTCCATTGTGCCTGAGCTGTGCTTAGTATACTACCTGAATTAGAGTCAGTTTTCCAAAAGGGCAAATTTCTAATGATAAACAAATCAAGAGACAGCCCGTGGGAGATAATGGGGTACACTGGAACAAGTGCTAGATTGGCAATCAGAAGATGAAGGTTTGAATCTTTGTTCTTTCGTTTACTACTTGTGTGACCTTGGGCAAGTTCCTTAACTTTCCTGGGCCTCAATTTCCTCAGCTGGACTGGGTACCCTCTGAGTTCTCTTCCAACTCTAAATCCATGATCCAAGGATATATTGAATGTTCTGAGACTTTGCCCCATTAACCTGGTTCACGGGAGAGGGCAGGGTTGTCCTTCGTTCTTGAAGAGGACCAAAATGACATCACTATGTTAGAGTCAGGTAACAATGTGTTCAACAGTGGCAGATCAGACCAATACAATGCTGTACCACAGGTCAGGCACAAATAGTCTATGTGAACATTTGGGGTGGATCTCACTTTCTTTTGAGCTGCTTCAATTCTGCTTTGTTTATAGAGCACAGTACCTTCTCTAATGAGGACATGCCATTCTGGGTGGTGCTGTGCTAGCATCCTCTATGTCACCCAATATCCCCCATGTCATACAATCAGTTCCAAGTTCTTAAGAAAGACCTTGAGTGTCCTTGTATCACTTTCTCTGACCACCCCATGAGTACTTGCCTTGTGTGAGTTCTCTGTAAAAGTCTTTTAGGCAAGTGTATGTTCTTTAAATAAGTATAAAGTCTAAGCTTTATATCTCCCACAGTGTTTATGAATGAATGAATGAAAAAATTGACTTCCTTTGTAACCGCTTGTTTTATTTTATTCATTTAAAAACATTATTTTGAGATGGACCTCACCAGAGTGCCATGACACACAGAAAAAGTGAAAAAGCCCTGAGTTAGAGCCTCAAAGATAGTAGCATGGTGACATTCCATGTTATTCCTCCCATCTCAAGTCATGGTTGTAATACAGATTTACAATTTTGCTGCAGCTTACTGAGAAAAACAAGGATAGATTTCCTGGTGCACCGAAGCATGGAGGATGGGTGATGGATAATGTTCCTATGCTTCAAGATTTCTGGGTAGCCATAAACGCTAAAGGAATTCTTCCTGATTTCGTCGTCCTATTAGAAAATTCAGAAGATCAAGGTTGGTAAATATTCAGCATTTCAATGTGAAATGAAATTCCCTATTGTACATCACTGCTATGTGATAATGGTTTTTGACATTCATTTTAAAAATTTAATTTAATTTATTTTTTGGTACATTTTAAGTTCTAAACTGTCTTCCTCCCTCCTTCACCACCCCATACTAGAAAAGGCCACCATTTGACATAGATATATAGGTATGTATGTGTGTGTGTGTATGTGTGTGTGTGTGTGTGTATAATACATGTATATTTATTATATATACTATACTATGCATACTTCTATTCTGTTTATCAGTTCTTTCTCTGTAAGTGGATAGCACTTTTTTTTTTTTATCATGGGTCCTTTGGAATTCTCAGATCATTGTCTAGATCGGATTAGCTAAGTCTTTCACAGTTGATCATTATTATAATATTGTTCTTACTGTGTACAATGTTTTCCTGGTTCTACTCACTTTTGACCCCATTTGGGGTTTTCTTGGCAAAGAAACTGGAGTGGTTTGCCATTTCCCTCTCCATCTCGTTTTTACAGCTGGGTTGCTGAGGCCAACAGGGTTAAGTGATATGCCCAGGGTCATAAAACTAGCAAATGTCTGAGGCCAGCTTTGAACTCAGGTCTTCCTGACTCCAGGCCTGGCACTTTATCTACTGTACCACCTAGCTGCACAACAGTATATTAGTGTCCCAGTTTTTCCATATCCTTTCTAACACTTCTCATTTTCCCTTTTATCATTTTAATCAGCCTGATAGGTATGAAATGATATCTCAAAATTGTTTTAATTTGCATTTCTCTAATCAATAATGATTTAGAACATTTTTTCATATACCTTTGATTTCTTCTTCTGAAAACAGCCCGTTCATATCCTTTGACCATTTAGTGATTGGGGAACGACTCATATTCTTACAAATTTGACAAAGTTTTCTATACGCTAGAGGCTTTTATCTGAAAAACTATCCATAAATTTTTTTCCCCAATTTTCTGCTTTCTTTCTAATATTGGCTACATTGGTTTTATCTGTGCAAAACCTTTTTAATTTAATGTAATCAAAATTATCCATTTTACATCTAAAATGCTCTTTCTTGTTTAGTCATAAATTTTTCTCCTATCCATAAGTCTGATAAGAAATATGTTCCATATTCTTCTAATTTACTTATGATATCTCCCTTTATATCTAGGTTATTTTGGTAAATGGTGCAAGATTTTGGTATATACCTAGTTTCTGCTGGACTGCTTTCCAGTTTTCCCAGTAGTTTTTGCCAAAGAGTGAATTCTTATCCCCAAAGCTTAAATCTTTATATTTGTCAAACACGAGGTTACTATAACCATTTACTACTGTGTACATATGTCTACTCTGTTCCACTGATCCATCTTTCTATTTTTTAGCTAGTTCCAGATAGGTTTGATAATTACCACATTATAATACAGTTTAAGATCTGGTACTGTTAAACCTCTTTTCTTTAAATTTTCTTCATTAATTCCTTTGATATTCTTGATCTTTTGTTCTTCCATATGAATTTTGTTATTATTTTTTCTAGTTCAATAAAATATTTTTGCTAATTTAATTGGGATGGAATAGAATAAGTAGATTAATTTAGGTAGAATTGTCATTTTTATTTTATTGGCTTGACATTCATTTTTTCAAAAGTTGGTCCCTCTCAGCCCTCCCTTACCCATTTAGAAGGCAAGCAATATGATATCAATTATACATGTGAAGTCTCGCAAAACATATTTCCATATTAACCATGTAAGGGAGAAAAAAGCAAGAAAAATAAAGAAAGTGAAAAAAGTATGCTTCAATCTGTTCTCAGAATTTAACAATTCTCTCTCTGGAGGTGGATAGCATTTTTCATCATGGGTCTTTTGGAATTCTTAGATTATTGTCTTGATCAGAGTAGCTAAATCTTTCACATTTGATCATCTTACAATATTGCTGTTACTGTATACAGTATTATCCTGATTCTGCTCACTTTGCTTTGTATCAGTTCATATAAGTCTTCCCAGGTTTTTCTGAAACCATCCTGCTCATCATTTCTTATAGCACATTAGTATTCCATCACAATTACATACCACAAATTGTTTAGCCATTCCCCAATTGATGGGCGTCCCTCAATTTCCAATTCTTTGCTACCAACAAAGAGATGATATAACTGTTTTTGTACAAATGGCTCCTTTTCCCTCTTCTTTGATCTCTTTGGGATACAAATCTAGTAGTGGTATTGCTAGGTCGAAGGATATGCACAGTTTTATCACCCTTTGGACATAATGTTTTTTGGTTTAAAAAAAAATACTGGAGGTGGGTTTAGTTATCTAAGTAGTCTCTATAATTATGTCTGCACCATCCATTAAATAATCCCGTTCTGAACCAGGAAGCATATAAAGAGTATTTCTAGGTGGGTGAGAGGTGACCTAATACTAGTGCCTGCTATAATGTCTCAATGAGCAATGTAATGCCCAAGACAGAAGCTTTATGATGTTGTCCCTTTTTCAGTCCAGGAAGAAAGACCCTTTAAAATACAAGCAAAGCTAAATGTGTTCTCTTTGTAATGTAACAATCTGTTTTGAATACATATTTAAAGAAAATTTTCCAGAAGGAAAAAAAAGAGCCTTTAAAAATGCCTTCCATCTCTAAATCTAGAATCCTATATTCTTGATCAAAATATAGTACTTCAATTGAAGTAATAAAATATAGATCCATCTCATAATAAGATTTGTAACTATTATAATGAAGAGATTATAGCTTCCCAGGTATAGAACTTTTACTTTCAATTTTTAAACTATAAAACCACTATTTTAATAGTTACAAAAACAATGTAAAATTATTTTTTTAATTGTGTTACAGGAAAATTTTTACTTCATAGGCTGTTTTTAGAGAACAAATCTGATATTGTTGCTGAAGTAATGGCAAGAAAAGAGGAAGAAGCAGAAGAGAAGAGGGCACTTGAACAATCTCAAAGGTAGAACTGTTTGATATTATACATTAATAAGCCTATTTTTAATATTAAGAAAGACATTGAATAAACATTTAATAATGTATTGTAGCTATTCAATTGATGTTGCTACTTCCTATTGGTGAGTTTTTTATAATACAAAATAGCTATGTAGTTAGCACAAATCCTAATTTAAAAAAAACCTAACTTTTCTAAGTACTTTTCACATCTTTAAGGCAGAAGTTGTGGCTATACTGTCATTTAGTATCACAGTTATATCTTTCACTCAAGAACAGCCCTCAAGAGGCTCTTGGTAGGAGGAACAGTTAAGTTGGATTTTTTTTTTTTACTAATTTAGCTATCCCTAAAATAACATTGCAAATTACAATCTGCAGTCTAGAAAGACAGAAAGTAGAGAGGAAGTATCCATACCTAAGTTTATGTGCATATACACATATGTCTTCTGATGGTTCATTTTAGCATGGATGTGACCATAGGTTCTCAAAAGCTATGCCAGCAGATTGAAAGCTATGAAATGTCCTATCAAACTTAACTTTGGCCTCTAATATTACTATGAGTTACCCAGACAGTGAAGGGATGCTGACTACTTATGGGCTATTTGTCTAATAGCCCAAATATGTTTTACCTTTGGGCTAGAGTCCAAATCCCAGCCACTGAGGTTGTACCATGAGGTTGGATGCCTGAAAGGGTCTCTGAGGTGAAAAAGGAAGTGATCACCCATATATGGGGAGGAGGAAGGGCTTCCTTCCTTTACAACCCCAATTTTATTTTTTCATTTGGGGAAAGATGTTACACAGACCATAAGATGGTGTTGTATGAGCCTAGAGAACTGTAGAAGGAAGGTGAGACTCTTTGGAGAGGAAAGGGGAAATTAACAATCACAAAAATAAAAACAATTACATTGTGGGATTATATATATATATATATATATATATATATATATATATCTCTGTATCTATATAGATATATATCTATATATCTATATCTATATATATATATATATATATATAGATATAGATATATATCTATATATCTATATCTATATATATATATATATATATATATATCTGTATCTATATAGATATATATCTATACATATCTATAGATAAATAGATATAGATATATAGTCCATTGGCTCAACAGATAGTATTTCTATTTCTAGGATACATCAGAAAATTCATATTTTAACCCATGATATAATCAGTCAGTTTCTGGCAGGGTTTAGTTATATCTTGCTGAAGAGGAGCAAAATTCTGTTTGAAGTCTAATAATATGAGTGGATGTCAAGAACAAAGACTTCCTTCTATGAACCACCATGAGGAATATTCAATGTGTTGGCAAGCTAGAATGGGTCATTCTGGATACTCTTTACCTCTCATTCCTCTGCATTCACCTTCCACCCTTATCATGTTAGAAGGAAAGATGCTTAGGTTAAAAGGTCCAAAGATGTTCAGGAGTATGCTGGTAAATGTTTAACAACCAGCTCTTCTAAAAAAAAAAAGTGTGCCTAACAGTTTTAAGTTTAATTTGTATTATTAATATTTTCTCCATCACTTTCTTAGAACTAAACAATCAACAAAATAATAAATGAAGCCTTAATTTGTAACATGCCAATTTCCAAGGTGTAACACTCACACTGAAAACTTAACAATCATCTCTCAAGAGTCAGTTTGAATAGGCTCTACCCCACCACCCCTGATTGTGATGCACAAATGGACCTCTCCCAGGTCTCTATGGTACATTTACAACACTGTTTAATCCAGAGGGGAAGAAAACATTTCAGGTAAAGCCATAGCAAAACTCAATCATCAAAATCATTAATTACCATACCAGATTCATAACTCACATACATCCCAGGCTGTTGTCTCAGTGTTGGCCTTCATAAGAAGATGGTTAAATTAACACTGATAATGGGGGTAAAGGCACATCCACATCTACAACTTTGGAAGATGGCTTGATATTTCATATTTTTGTAGTTGCAACATGCAATAGAATGCTGTTGCCAACACAGTAATAAAGTGTTCACTTCACCAAAGCCTGTTGGCCCAAGCCATGAGGTGAGAAGGAGAAGATGGAGCTAGTATGCAGCTGCTTTCCATTGGGAGATTTATCTTGGGCCATTACTTAGGCCTTAGTGTACCCACCAACATGTGTCTTCCAACAAGATGTTAGTTTTTTTCCATTAGCACTGTTTGTGCTGTCTCTTTCATCAGTTCTTATAGCATTATAATATTCTGTCTCATTCACATAGCATAATTTATTCAGCCATTCCCCAACTGATTGACACCACCTTAATTTCTCCTTCTTTGCCACTCTAAAGAAGAGCTGCTATAAATATTTTTGTTCACATGGGTCCTTTTCTTCTTTCTTTAATTTCTCTACATTGTAGAAGTAATGCTGAGTCAATGAAAATCTACATTTTAGTTACTTTGAGGATACAGTTCTGAATTATTTTCCAGAGTGAGTGGACCATGAAGATAAATATTCCAGCCAAAAGTCAAGGAAGGGAAAAGAATTCCCTTTCTTGAACTTGGCTTGTCTTTTCACTCCCAGAAGCAAGTTTTGACAGAATTATTCCTCATCTTGGTACCAATTGAATATACCAAGTCAGGTTGTTGAAACTAGGTCTTCTGATGCGTAGCCAAGGCTGACACAGGGGCACTGGTCCTTCCACAGCACCAGCCTCATACACAGAAAGAGTGAGTAGAGTCTACCCTAGCTCCAAACTAGATAACACTGTAGGGAGAAGTAGAAGCAGGGGCCTAGTCTCCATGGTATAGGCCTCAGATGGTTCGTATGCCTACTGACCCTCTTAATTTCTGTGGGCTCCTCTTCATATCTGTGGGCAGCCCAGGATCATGGCTTTCACCACTTAGAAAACCAACTTAGAAAGCAAGGTTAGGAGAAAAGAAGACAGGGGTGGGGAAACTAGCAATTATATCTCCCAAACCCTAAGCCAGGCTTGGAGTTCAGGGCCCATGTTAGACCTCTTCTCTCTCTTTGCTCCCCAAAGAATCCAGCTGTCTCTCCTTCATTCTGCAAGCAGAATCTGCCCAGCCTCAGATATAACACCTATTCCACAAATAGGGAATATTCCTATATTCCACAAATGCTTTCATATTCTCTACATTTGATCACATTATGGAATCATAGGTTTGGGGCAAATTCTCCCACCTTGTGCACATTGTTCAAACTCCAATTCAGAAACTTCTTTGGAGCTTAAGGTGATGATACTCCTTCCAACAGAACATAAAATTTGCTGGTACCATTATAGAACATAATTAAATATTGAAGTTTAAATAATCTTGGGTATAGGCTACATAAAGGAGGCAAAAGTAACAAAAGAGAGAGCAAGCATCATAAAAGAAAAAAGTCTCTAATTCTGCCTACGTAAGTTTAAAGTTACAAAATTGCAAAGATATTCATTTTGGAAAATTCTCATTTCAGAAAGTTAGATGAGCTAACAGTTAAATTTGAAGATGATAGTAAGACAAAGGAGACTGAGAAAACTGAAGGCAAGTATAATTGCGCAATATAATATGATTTTGTGTTGTGTCATTTCATTTAATTCAAAAGAATTAAAGGAACCTGTGGTTAGGGTCAACCTTTGTGATTCACATTGCATCCACCTGTTACCTAAAGACACTTCATAGATTGTATCCAGGTAGGTTTGAATCCTGGCTCTTCCACTTAGTAGGTGTGTGACCCTGGAAAATCCCTTCACCTCTCTGACCTTGGAATTCTTTATTAATAAAATGGGGGTGATAATATTTACACTACCTACCTCAGGAAGCTGCTTTTAGGTAAGGAGATAATGTATATAAGGCATTTTGGAGACCATAAAGGTCAAATGTTCAAAATAAAAGTTCAAAAGTTCAAAAAAGTTACAAATGTAAGCTATGATTCTTTTCTCAATATAGGTAGAACTTTTGGGATAAGATAGAGTAAGCAAGTTTGATTAGATCACAAACTAAAGCGAGAGTGAGAACAAGCTATAGCCAGAAATATTCAAAGATTCAAAAGGCCTCCTTTGCTATCACTGGTTATGGTAAAGGCCTCCTTTGCTATCACTGGTTATGGTAAAGGCCTCCTTTGCTATCACTGGTTATGTTACCCATAGGCCATGTGCCAGGAACTGTACTAAGTACTTTATAGTTGATCCTCACAAACCGTGGGAGGAAGTTGCTATTATGATCCCCATTTTACAGTTGAAGAAACTGAGGCAGACAGAAAGGAGTTGTACTATATGACTCCTAAGGTTCTTTGTAGCTCTAAATCTATGATCTTATGGGTGTTTTGTTTTGTCTTTTTTTCTCTTTTTGAGACCAGATCTTCCTATCTTGCCCAGGCTGGAAGTGAAATAGTCACTCACAGTAGTCACTCACAGGTCTAGCCTCGCTGCTAATGGGCTTTAGTCTGAAATTAAATATTGCTCATCAGTTTCCCTTCCTCAGTCTGAAGGCTCTTCCATCTCCTAGCTTCTGTGACTCTGTGATTTAAAGGGAAGACCTGACCTAATTTCTATATACCTTACTGCAATTTCTCATTGCAAAAAGAGCATATCCAAAATAAGTTTTATTTAATTATTTTTGACCTATTTTTCATCCAGCAGTACCTGCTATTTTCTAGACACTATCATCATTGCCAAGGATACAAAGACAAAGCTGAAATATTTCTTGCCCTCTAGTTCACATCACGTTCTAAAAGAAGGGTTGGGGTGGGGGTGGGGAGAAAAGAACAGGTACATATATATATGTGTATAGGTATATATATGTGTATGTGTGTGTGTATACATACGTATGTGTATATATATGTGTGTATATATGTATATTGTGTTTTTATATAGGTATATATACATACTCTGTGTGTGTGTGTGTGTATAATGTATAAATACATACATACATACACACAGGAGATACAAGTTAACATTAGAAGAAAAGGCATACCAGCATCTAGGGTGACCAGGAAAGGCCTCCTGTTGAAAATGGTTTTTGATCTAGGTCTTAAATGAAAACAGGCATATTCCAATAAGTGGAGGTCAAGAGGGAAAGAATTCCAGGTTTGGGGTTCGACCAGTAGAAAAGCACAGAGATGTAGATGAAGCAGCATCTGTGAGACAAGCAAGTGAGCCCGTATGGCTAGACTGTAGAGAACAGGAAGAGTAACATTTAAGAGAACTGGACAGGTAAGAAGGGGTCAAACTGTGAAGAACTTTAAATGTCAAACAGAGGAGTTTCTGTTTGGTCCTTGAGGGAGCCACTAAGTTTATAAGGTCAGATCTATGCTTTAGGAGAATCACTCAGGTGGCTATATAGAGGATGCCTTGGAGTGAGGAAAGACCCAAGTCAGCAGTCTGTTGCAATAATGGATTCAAGCAAAAGGTGATGAGAACTTGAACTAGGGTGGTGGATATTGAATGGAAGAAGGAGATGGTTTGGGGAGTGTTGTGGAGAACACTGTGGGTATGTGTGTGTGTCTGTGTGTGTGCGTGCTTGTGTGTACATATATATATTTGGCCTGGACCTATGGTTTCTCCAGTATAGAGAACTCCTGGTATGGGAACTTAAGATTCTGTGATTTGGCCCAAGGTCATCATTTAAATCACAAAATCCCAGAGTTGGTCCACCCTAATGTACACCAGCACCTGCTCCAGGGTTTATAGTGTCAGAGAAGAGTACATGGCACTAAGTGAGATGACTTGTCTGGAGTCTCGAGCTACTACTATATTAAAGGCAGAACTTGAATAAGGTCATACTTACTCTAAGGGTGCCTCCCTATAACTTCTGCCATGCTTTCTTGAAATCTGCATATAAATAAAATGAAAATGAAAATGCTAAGAAAAATGAACCCTTTCCCCACAAATTCTGAAGTGGATTAGTTTGAACAAGGCACAGAAGATACTCGAGTATAACCTTCTCTCCTCTTTTTTTTTTCCTTCTAAATAATCTTGAAGCAGGTGAACCAGAACCTGAAGCTGCTACAGAAGAGCATGAGGCAGAAACGGCCGAAGTGGAAGCCGAGGTTACCGAGGAGCCCGAGATGACCACCGTGGAATCTGAGCTGCCAGGAGAGGAGTCTGAAGTGATAGCAGAACCTGAGGCCGAGCCCGAGGCTGAGGCTGAGGCAGAGGTCGAGTTAGGTTAGATTGTATTTAATGTGGTTTCATTACCTTTACCCACCTGTTTAGCCCTTTTCCAATATGATTCTCTTAAACTAGATTTACTGTTGGATCTGAGGAGCATTGGGCCCATAATACCCAGTGATAGCAAACTGTCTTTCCTCAGATTCCTTGTGAAGAGGACTTGTCCAGGGTTGACCTGGGTACCCAAAAGGTGACAAGGTCCTGCCACTTGAAATAGATCTCTTCCCCCAAGAAGGGACCAAGCTAGAAGGGGGAGAGGAATGGGGGAACACAGCCAAAAGAGAATCAATTTTTAAGAAATCAGTAAGATAAAATCCTATTCTGTTTACTTCATTTGATTGGTTCCCTTTTGGTGACCACTACAAGTTTAGAGGAAAGGGATCCTAGAGGTTAGTGGTCAGTGTGTCTGCACGTATCTCTAGCAGAGGTCTAGCGATTTCAATGGCTGAGCAGGTTAGAATAGGGGCCTGCCTGGCAGTTGTAATTCAGGCATCACTAAGACATACCTGGCATTACATTTCTGGATGTTGAAAGTATGTAGCCCCTACTGGCATGACCTCCATGACTAAGGGCTAGGGAGGTTTCATGGACATCATCATCATCATCATCATCATGAAAGCTAGGATTGATATAGTGCTTTAAGGTTTGCAAAGTCATTTCATTTGATCCTCACAACAACCCTAGGAAACAGTTCTATTATTATCCCTATTTTACCTGAAATCAGGAAATTGTCATTGTTGTTTAATCCTTTCAGTCCTGTCCCACTCTTCCTGACCTCATTTGGGGTTTTCTTGGCAAAGATACTGGAGTGGTTTGCCATTTCCTTCTCCACCTCATTTTACGATAGAGAAACTGAAGCAAACAGGGTTAAATGACTTGCCTAGGGTCACACAGCTTGTAAGTGCCTGAAGCCAGATTTAAACTCAGGGAGATGAATTTGCCTGATTCCAGGCACAGTGCTCTATCCACCTCACTAACTAGCCAGCTCATTGGAGCATAGTTGCATGTAACCTCATAAATTTTTGTGCTAAAAGTTTAACAGGTTTCTTTTTTTCTTGTAACTTCTGAAAAAGTCTCTGCTGTTCCACTCTAGCATAGCAGTAGCTTCTGTCAGCTCATTCTCAGGAAATTTATTAGAATCTAAGCTGTGCAGACTACCCATCCTGAGATAACTATCACCTAATATCATTGACCATCTATCATCTTTAGGCTCACAATAAGATCTAGCCCATGACTGGTTTCTCCCAGACAGCAAGTAGCTATATCAAAGGAAGGTCACTGAAGGTCTTGAAAATGTGCCAAGGTCAAGTTGCCTCAAAAACCAATCATGAGGGGGCAGCTAGGTGCAGTGGATCCTGGAATCAGGAGGACCTGAGTTCAAATATGGCCTCAGACACTTGCTAGCTGTGTGACCCCAGGCAAAGCACTTACCCCTGCTTGCCTAAAAAAAAAAAAAAGGTTTAAAAAAGAAAACCAGCCACGAGTGCCAGAAGGACTATTCATGATTTCATGCCTGTGTCCTGGACAGTTAACACTCTTAAATTTTCAAGAACATCTCAGGAGCAGTATTGAGATCAAATGTGAGATCAGAGCTTTTGCCGGAAGTCAGCAAGAACAATCCAGCCTCAAATTGTATCACTGCTAAAGACCCATCCTGTGGTCCTCCCAGGGATAGTGATACTTTTATTGGCATGAAGAAGGCTGGTTTAGAAACATTCACATCATGCACAAGCGACTTCCAAGGCAACACTTCCTGTATTTATTACTTGTCTACGATCAGGCTGGCTGTAACTCATCCCCTGCAATTACTCACATCCTTCCATAAATACCCTCAAAATATATGTGAGTTGTGCATTGGGTTTGGCTTTCACCTTTTACTGGGATGGAGCTAATGCTTGCCATATTTATTCACTTGGAAAGCATTTGCTACTAAGTAACCAAAATAAGCAACAGATCCCAATCACCTCTCCAACCCTTGGAATTACCCTCACAGAGCTAGAACAAACCATGACATTGGCCAGTGTGCACTATGATCTTAACAGATTCAGTGAGGTCTTGGCTGCAATCCTGGCCAATCCTCTCCATCTTTGGGTGTTAATAACAGTGTTTTGCACAGTGCCTGGAACATAGTAGTTGCTAAATAAATGCTTATTAACTGATTGATTGAATTGCCATATCACAGTGCCAATTCATATTGACCTTGAATTGAAAGGTCAAAAAATAGCTCCCGCTATTTTGCCACATCTCCCTCATCCTGTATTTGTGAAGTTGATTTTTGAACCTCACATTTGGAATTTTATGTATAAATTTATTATATTTCATCTCATTAGATTCAGCCCATCATTCTCAGTCAAATATATTTTTTTGGTCCCAGACTTTGTCATGTTGAATATCCCTGAGTTTGCCTCAGTTTCCTCATCTGTCAAATGATCTGGAGAAGGAAATGACAAACCACTCCAGTACCTTTGCCAAGAAAACCCTAAATAGGGTCATGAAGAGTCACACATGACTGAAAACCAATTGAATGAAATAGATTTGACCAGCATACCTTTCCATGGTTTCGTTCAAGCCTCTGATAAAAATCTCCTGAACAACACAGACCAAGGAGAGATCATGAGGACTCTTCATTACAGATCGCGGTCCAAGTTGACATTACCTAGTGATGATTACTCTTTGGGACTAGTTTTTACAATCCATGTAACCATACAATCACATAGCCATACGATCACCCAACCGACATCATTCCTCGTCTCCTTGTCAGTAAGAATGGTGTTGACTAACATTTAATTGAAATCTAAGTCTATGACATAGACAGCATCCCCCAGTTTACTAATCTGGTTACCCTGTTGAAAAAGAAAATAAGGTTAACCTTCTGTGACTTGCACTTAAGGAAGCCATGTTGCCTGTTAGTGATTCCTGATTTCTTTGTCTAAATCTTCACAAACAATTGCTATAATGATCTGTTTTGGTATTCTACCAAAAATCAAGGGCAAGATCACTGGCCTATATTTTGATGGCTCTGTTGTCACCCCTAAGAGCACTTAGCAGTGATCACTGCCAGTTCTTATGATGCCCTTGGATGGAGTTTGTCCACATCTAGGGATTTGAACTCATCAAGGGCATGATTTGCCTTTTCTTGTACATCCCCCGCACTTGGCTCAGTGCCAGCCACATAGTAAGCAATTAGTAAATGCCTGTTTTTATTGCTGTCTGGAGTCTTTTGTACTCAGCCTAGGATAACATTACTGATTGAGCCAAGGAGCTGTGAAGTTTCTCTACTCCCAGAAAACTTAATCAGAGAGTCTTAGGTACTAGGAAGATATCAGACCAGGGACAGTGTAGCTTAGGTGACCTCCCTGCCCTGGAATTAGAGGGGATGAATCACCTAAACCAAGAATACAGGTCAAACCCAGAAGACAAGTTTTGCCATAGACAATTGTCTAATCTTCCCCTTCAGAGTGGTATGTTCTCCACGCACAACCATGTTTTGTGCCTGCAAGATGTGAGGACCACAGTTATTAATTCCATTTGGCAATGGAGGTTGGAAGGCCAGGAGGAAGGAAGGGTAAAAAATGGAGAAGGTAGGGTGGAAGATATTGGTTTGTACTTGACATGACCCAGGACATAGCTCCAGGACACAGAGTTTATTGGTTCAACTCTTGAACAGAGGTCAGCAGAGGCCTCAATCTGGGCCACAGACAAGCCCACAGCTGATAGCTAGGTACAAGAGATACCAGCAAGCTCTGGAGACCCCATAGTCTACAAGCAAGCTGCAAACTGATGGATTCTACCAAATAGGACAAGGAAGGGAATAAAATAACAGGTCATCATATTGGCCAAGAGAGCATAGCCAGGACACAAGCCAGAATTTAAGGGTGGAGTAACTAAGTACGGAGCCCACAATGCTGAATAGGAATGATAAGACTAACAGGGCAGAAGGCCAAGCAGAGGTCAGAGAAAAGCAGCATCCTACAAAGATGGAGAACTTGCACCTACCTAGTAGTCACACATTTTCCCTAAGCACTTGCAGCCGGCCAGAACTTTAGGGACCCTGAACTTACTCTTTCGTGTACATTTTATTTCGGTCTGGTTTTTCTTCAGTTAGTTATGCATAAAGTATCGGTGCAAACTGATCATAGGAATTTTAAGAGAGTGGATTTTAGCTGATGTCATCAATTTTTCAGCTCAGCTTGAATAAATAAATGAAGGGAAAAAAGAGGCCATTACCATAAGACTAACTGTTGAACTAAATTTAATAAAAATTGGTTCTTTCTTGGTTCCTACACCAGGAAATTTATTACTAGGAATACCAGAGGGGTGCAATAATAGAATTCTCACTTCACAGGCTTCTTGGAAGGATCAAATGAGAAAATACAAGGTACTTTGCAAACCATAAAGCAACATGTTACTATTGGCTATTGTTATTATTATTATTGTTATTGTTACACCATGCCCCCACAACATTTGTACAAAAGTCACTATCATAACAATCATAATAACATCTTTTTCCCTAAACTAAAATTAACTCAGATGCCCAGAATCTGAATGAACTTAGATGGGGGTCTAAATGTGCTCTGAGAAACTACGTATACATCTATTGTTTAAATATTGTTTCTTCTTGTCCTCACAAATGCATCAACACTTTTCCCATCCAGCTTTCATTTATCATTCCAGTCAAAAGTGCTCTCTCTCACCTTGAACTCATACAGCAGTTTTTTTCAATTCAATAGACTTGGTAAGCACCTATTATGTGTGAAACACAGTAGTAGATGGGAGGGAGGGGTTAATAAAACAATTTATAACATAGCCCTTGCCCTCAAAGAGATTACATTCTAGTCAACAAAGATTTATTAAGCACCTACTATGTGCTATATGGACAGCTAGGTGGTACAGGATATAGAGTGCCAGAACTGGAGTCAGGAAGACATGAGTTCAAATCTGGCGTCAGACACTTATTTCAGCGTGACCCCGGGCAAGTCCCCCTGTTGGCCTCAGTTTCCTCATGTAAAATGAGCTGGAGAAGGAAATGGCAAACCACTCCAGTATCTTTGCCAAGAAAACCCCAAATGGGGTCATGAAGAGTTGGACACACTGAAAATGACTCCCATAGCAACAACCACAAAAAGCAGCACTATGGTAGGCCCTGTTCTCTTGTTGTGTTTGGGTAAGTGGGCTTCATTTGCTGCTCTGTAAAATTCCTGTGTCCTCTTTGAAACAAGCCAAGAAATTGTCTTGAAGTTGGCACTACTCACTGAAGCAATTTGAATGTGGGCTCTATATAAGAGTTTTAAAATGAAAAAACACTCAATCGGTTCCTTCCCCCTATGACACTTCCTATACTTGGCAGCAAAAAAAGCCTCTCCCAATGAGTGATTATGTGGTAAACCAGCATCTGCTGGAGAGAGAGGAAGAGGTGAAAACCCAGACACAAGACTATACTCAGTAAGATTTATTATAAAAGCCATCCTGCAATTGATAAGTGGTCCAAGGACATGACCAGGCAGTTTTTGGAGGAAGAAATCCAAACTGCACCAGGAGGCAATTGCCTGGAACTGCAACAGGCACACTAACACAATCATCCTTCCTGATCTGGGGTGAGGGGAGGGGAGCAGCCAGGTAGTCATGCAGCACCTTTCAGTAATAAATTGTTATCAAACAATTCATTAAGATTACTATTATTATTGAAATATAAATATAACATAATACAAAGCATTAATAAATGGTTTTCTTTTTTTTTTTTAACAACTACTTCTCTTTTAAAAGAACCATCACTCTTGACAGGAGAGGAAGAGGTTTCAGGAGAGACTGATCCATTAAAAGGTTAGCTCAAAGGTCACACTGTAGTTGTTTTCTCCTTTTTTTTTTTTTTTGCTTTTTGGTGAGGCAGTTGAGGTTAAGTGACTTGCCCAGGGTCACACAGCTAGTTAAGTGTCAAGTGTCTGAGGCCAGATTTGAGCTCAGGTCCTCCTGACTCTAAGGCTGGAGCTCTATGCACTGTGCCACCTAGCTGCCCCTTTTTCCTTTTTTCTTATAAAGAAGCATAGTGCATCCTAGATTGCTACCTGTCTTTTAGTTTATTTCTCTAATACCACATGATATATCATTTTTATAAATACCTCCTCTACACACACACACACACACGTGTTTTGAAATGAATTTTATATTTCAGTTCCATCAAAATGTTTGATTTTGTCCCTACTCCCCCCACCCCAATTTTGTTAACTGGGAAAATAATAATGATATTTCAATTTTTAAAAACTATATTCATATAGAGAAGAGTACATTATTAATATGGGCATGAGTCTTTCCAGGGAGTTGTGCCTGGGTGAGACACCAAACCTGTTGTGCAATGGATTCCATGACTCTTCATTTTTTCTACTAGCAAACCCTAAGACTTGGCTTTACTGGTACCTCTGTTACAGGTTTCTTGTTACATCCCTTCTCTTTGAAGCCAGAATTTCTGCCACACAACTTTGAATACAGGAGAGGACACAGGCTTTTCCAACCCTTATCTTTTGTGCTGCTCCCTGGAAACCACCCACACAACCTGATGTCAGCAGCAGCAGCACCATCTTTGTCTTTTGTGGTTGTGGTGGTGGTTTAGAGGAGGGGGTGAGGTTGAAAACAATAGATAAAAGAGAATCTCCTAACTACTTAATCCTGATTCTATATGAAAACATTCCAGAAACTGGGCATTGCTCATTCTTATTTTCCTTGCTCTTGTCTCAGTCAACTCTTCTTTCCTGAAACCAGCCAATCAACTTATTCCATCCTGTCTGATAGGATCAGATGCAATATCAAATTCTAAGTTTCTAGCTGGTGTAGATTTGCTTTGGAAAGGCTGCTAGGTATCTCCACCCTTCAAGAATAGCAATTATTTCTATTCTGGCCAGAAACTCTGAGGTCTCAGCCCTCCCAGATTGATTCTTTTTTTTTTTTTTTGCTAGTCGATGGGGTTAAGTAATTTGCCCAGGGTCACACAGCTAGTAAGTGTTAATGTGTCTGAGGCCATATTTGAACTCAGGCCCTCCTGACTCCAGGGCCAGTGCTGTATCCACTGTGCCATCTATCTGTCCCAGCTGATTCTTTTGAGAAGGCAAACTAGGCCATCTTTTGCCTCACCTCTTACCTATCCTTTAGTCTCTGAATGGGTCAGCACCCAACAGACAAACAGAGACCCAGGAAAGACCTTAGCTTAAACAGGCCAAGGTCTCCCACTGCATTAGAGGCCATCGCCGGTCTTCCTGACCTGTGTCTTGCCACAGAGACTCCGAATGACTCTGGAGGAGAGAGTGAGGCCGATGGCTTTTCACAGCCCTGCCTCACTTTGGTCCAATTCACTTGCAAGTCAAGACATCCCCGTCCTGATGTCATTGGTCCTCTTCAAGAATGAAGGACAAACAGCAGCACTCCCTTTACTAACTCCAGATCAGGAACCTTGGCCAGATCTGTCCCAAACAAAGCCTTTCCTACTTTTCCAATCTTCTCCACACACTTTATGATCTAGCTACATTGGCCTATTCACTGTTCCTAACTGACAACACTCCATCTCTTGTCTCTCTGGTTTTGTACAGAAAAATCCAACAGTCCCACGACTGGAATGTTCTCCACCCTTGCATCTGCCTCTTAACTTTCCTAGTTTCTTTTAAGACTCAGCTTGACCAGGGCGGCTAGGTGGCACAGTGGATAGAGCACCGGCCCTGACGTCGGGAGGGCCCGAGTTCAAAGTCACCGTCAGACTAAACACTTGATACTTATTGGCTGTGTGACCCTGGGCAAGTCACTTAACCCCAGTTGCCTTAAAAAAAAAAACAACTCAGCTTAACCTACACCTCCTGGAAGATTTCCCCTGCTGTTAATACCTTCACTCTGAAATTACCTTCCATCAACTCTGTTTATATCTTATCTATAAATAGTTATTTACATGTTGTCTCCCATTTTAGAATATGTTCTCCATGAACAGGTACAGTTGTGGGGGTTTTTGTAGGGTTTTTGTTTCTCTTTGCATACTCATTATTAGCACAATACATTGTAAGCTATTAATAAATGCTTATTGGCTGGCCAACTTTCTCTAGCTTTTCAAATGCATCCTTCCCTTGGACAACATCAGGCTTGCAACAGACCTGCTATTGCCTCCCTCACCATAGGCCTACTGGCAATGGGTCTGTAGAAATCTTTTCCTTGCCCCCAATAAAGATCCTTCATCATCTGGCTTCTGAAGATTTGTTTTCAGAATTTTATGCTGGAAGAATTTGTAGTCATCTCCACCTTCCTGAAGTTCTAAATGCTATCACCTTGAGAATTCCAGATCTTATATAAAAGGAAACTCTTCCAAGTCTCTACTTGGAAAGTAGAGGGGGTAGGGTCATGATGGAGACTGCCAGTTTTTCTCCTATCTCCCCAGAGTCTTTTTCTCCAGCAACCGGAAGTGAGGTTGCCCTCTTCCATCTTCTTTCTTAAAGCTGGAAGCCAGAAGTACCCAAAGTGACTTGAAACTTGAAGAAAGTGTCAAAGAAGACTGAAGAAGGCTGGGGCTCTCTTGCCACCCCCCATCCCACCCTTCATGCAGGGCAAAGAATCCATCTTTACCAGTGAGGAAAGAGCCCTCATTTCAATGGGCTTTGGGCCTGGGGTTACAACTATTACACTGCCCAATTAATCAGCAAGCATTTATTTATCTCTTACTCTGTGCCAGGCATGGTGCTAGGCCCTGTGGATATAAAAAAAAAGGCAACAATAGTGCCTACCCTAAAGGTGCTCACTTTCTAATTGGGGGAGATAGCATGTAAATAAGTAGGTCCATGAAAAGATATATACAGCTTAAATGAAAGAGGATCTAGTGGGGGAAGGCACTAGTAGCAGAGGGGATAGGGAAAGGAGATGGGGTTTGGGCTGCGTCTTGAAGAAAGCCTGGGGAATTTAGTGGTGGACTGAGGAGACCAGAGCATTCAAGTGCCTGGGGGCCAGGCAGGAGGTGGAGAAATTGAAAGCAGACCAACATTGCTGGATCATCACAGATGTGTAGACTTGAATTGTCATTGTTTAAGGAAATGAAAAGAATTCTATTAAACTGGCAAAAAAAATTTTACTTTGAATTTTTTTTTCCACTCAGAAATATTGCCTGAATATTCAGAAGATAGTTACCCTGAAATCCCAGAAATGGAGCTCATGAAAGACCTTCTTAGAAATTTCACTAATAGTTGGAAAGTCTTAGAGGCGGTGATTGCTGACTTACCTTTGGTTCAGATATTAAAGTTGGAGGTTGCTGAGAAAACTCCAGAGTATCTACTTCAGCAAGTAGTGGAGGCTATGGACAGTAAGTATTGTAATGTTGTTTAAAGACTTGTACTCATATTGCAGAAGAAACAATTTTAAGAATTTTTTTAAAAGTGTCACATTTTCCACAAACATTTTTCATTAGCCCTTTTATCTACAGGGCACTCTGTTAGGTATTGGGAGTAGGCAAACTTTCAAGCAAATAAGTCTTCTTCTCTCATGGACCCTACAATCTATTAAAGGGACAGTTCAGTTCAATTCAGTAAACATTTACTAAGGGCTTACTATATACCAGGCCCTGTGCTAAAGTGCTCTGGATGCACAAAGAGGTAAAAGACAGTCGCCGGCCTCAATGAGTTTATAATCTAATGGTGGCGGGGTGAGAGGAGATAGCATGCACACAAATACATACAAAACAAGCTACATACAGGATAAATAGGAAGTCATTAACAGAAGGAGGCTATAGGAATTAAGAGGGGTTGGGGAAGGCTTCCTGTAGGAGGTGGGATTTTAGTTGGGACTTAAAGGAAGTCAGGGAGATCTATAATTGGAATAGAAGAGGGAGAGCATTCCCAGTATGGGGGACAGTGAGAGAGACTGCCTAGAGTCAAGAGATGGAGTGCCTTGTTCATGAAACAGCCAGGAGACCAGTGTCACTGGATTGAAGAGTACACGTTGGGGAGTAAGGTGGGAGAAGACTGCAAAGGTAGGAGACGGCTAGATTATGGAGGGCTTTGAGAAAGAAATAGAGACACCTAGGTGACACAATGGATAAAGAAGTTGCCTAGCATCAGGAAGATGTGAGCCTCAGATACTATCTGGCTGTGTGCCCCTGAACAAGTCATTTAACCTGTGCCTACTCAGTTTCCTCATCTGTAAAATGAGGATAATAATAGCACCTACCTGCTTGAGTTGTTGTGAGGATAAAATGATATACACACACATAAATGTATGTTGTATTAAAGGGAAAGCTCTTATTTTTGAGAAGATTAAATGGTGACTTTCTTCATATTTCTAGGACCTTTCAGGTATGTTGGATGGGAAATGGGTTTGGAAGATTTTGATGAAGAAACAGATGACTTTCAAGCTGAGGCAGAAGCTGAGGAAGAGGCAGAAGAAGATGAAGAAGAAGAAGATGAAGAAGATGTAGGAACAACTTTTTAAATTACTAATTTTCCTTTGATATTCATTCTGGATTCACATGGCTAATGGTGGATTTTGAAATCTGAGAACTGCCCAGTGTCACTTATATGGAAGATCTCATTCCTTGAGAAAAAAAATGTCAAAATGGCCAGTTCATTATAGATGTGGGTGCAGATCGCTTTGGCAACCATAAAGGAGGACTAGAGTAGGGAGAGACTTGAGGATTAAAGTTCACTAGGCAAGAGGAGGTGAAGGTCTGAACTAAGTCTTCTGTGTGAGTCAAGAGAAGGAGTGGGAAGTGAGAAATGTTGTAATGGCAGAAATGCCAAGACTTGGCAACTATTGAGAGATATGAGGTGAGAGCAAAGGAGTCATTGGGTATAATGCTGAGGCAACAAATTAGCCTGGGAGACCAGAAGGATAGAGGTAACTTCAGAAAAAGAAAAGTTTGAAAAAGGAATGGGCTTGGGGAGAAAGATAATGAGTTTTGTTTTGCTTGGCTCTAAAGGATACAATCTGCAGACTATGCAGACAGACAGATTTAGATTGATTGTAAGGGAAAACTTCCTAATGATCATAGCTACCCCCTGAGGAGAGAATCAACGTTTTCTCTTTACTGGAGGTTTTCAAGTGGATGATCATTTGCTGGCAGGGGGCCTGGTACAGAATAAGCATTACTGTTGTTGTTGTTGTTGTTGTTGTTTGTTGTTTAATCAGTCGTAGCTGACTTAGTAGCCCTCTTTGGAGTTTTCTTAGCAAAGATCCTGGAGTGGTTTTTCTACTTCCTTCTCCAGCTCATTTTACAGATGAGGAAACTGAGGCAAACAGGGTTAAGGGTCACACAGCTAGTAAGTGTCTGAGGTCAGATTTGAACTCAGGTCCTCCTGCTTCTAGGACCAGCATCCTATCCACCACACCACCTAGCTGCCTGGAGAGTTGGCATTTAATGCTTGTTAATTGATTACTTTATACTACCTGGATTGCATTCCTTCCCCCCCCCCCCCATTCCCCCCCATAGAATTCCTCTCTTCCTTCAAGACTCAGCTCAAACACCACCTTTATGAATCCTTTCCTAATCCATTCCATCACTGGTGCTTTTGTACTTATTTTCTTGATATTTATTCTGTATTTAGGTCCTGTTTTCTCCGCCATTAGAATTGAAGCCCCTTGACAATAGGGATTATTTTATTCTTCAAATTTATATCCCCAGCTCTTAGCACACTACCTAATATGTTGAATGATTGATTGAAGCAGAACAAGGTCTAATCCCTCTTGGACCTGATGGTCCTTCATATACTTAAAGGTGGCCATCGTGTTCCCAACCTCAATGAGTCTTTTCTCCTCCATGCTAAACAACCCCAGTTCCTTCTATCAATCCCTGAATGGTATGTTCTCCAGTCACCTCACAATTCTAGTTGAACCTTTTATTGGCCCCTTTGTCTGGGGTGGGTGTCAGGAGGTAGGGGTGCAAAAGGGGCTCCGAGGATGTTCTTTGGCTACTTCCAGTGACACTTGGGCTCTCCCCTTTTTTTCCTTTCTAGGATGAAGAAAGACTTAAAGAGAAAAGGAGACATTTGGGAGACACGAAGAACTTTTGTCCAGTGGCTCTCAAAGAAAACTTTATGTTATTTCCAGGTCCCCCAGAGGACAGAGCTAAGTATCGAGAAAAGGTTTACTATTTTTCAAGTATTGAAGCAAGAGAGAAGTTTTTGGAGAGCTCTGAGGACTATGTGGCTCATGAAGAACCATTAAAGGTAAAAAAAAAATTATAATAGTAATAGATAGCATTTATCTAATACTTGAAGGTTTGAAAAGTGATTTACTTATGTTAACTCATTTGATCCTCAAAACAATCCTGTGAGGTAGTTGCTATTATTATTCCCTTTTTTACCAAGAGAAAACTTGGACTGAGAGAGGTTAAGTGACTTGTCCAGGGTCACACAAAGAATAAGTACTTGAGATAGGGTTCAAACTCAGGTCTTCCTGACTCCAAGTCCCACATTCTATCTGTTGCATCTCCTTAAAGTTTGCAAAGCTCTTTACAAATATTGTCTCCTTTTGTTCTCACAACAACCCTGACAAGTAGATGCTATTTTTATCCCGCTTTTATAGATGAGGAAACCAAGGCAGGAAGAGGTTAAGTTAATTGTTCAGGGTCTACAGGTAGTGTCAGCAGCAGGAGTTGAACCTGTCTTCTGACTCCAATCCCATCATTCTATCCACTATCCCCTGCTGCCTCTGTCTCTCGGTCTCTCTCTCTCCCTCTGTCTCTGTCTCTCTTTGTCACTCTCTGTGTCTCTGTGTCTCTCTCTTCTGTCTCTCTATCTCTGTCTCTCTGTGTGTCTCTTTCTCCTAAGACAGCATCAACAGGCTTGTGTTTTTACTGATATAAGGGGACTCCTAAGTAAGTAAACTGCCTGTGTCAATGCCGGTTGTCACCTTTTCTACAACTTCTAGTCTGAGAGTTGCCCCTAGAACACATGAAAAATTAAGGGACTAGACCTGGCTCGTATAACCTGTATGTGTCAGACACTGGTATTCTATCCAGTATATGCAGCTACCTACATGTCTATACTACCCAGTCTCATCTAAGTCAGTGGCTTAAATAAACTGCGTTAATTCCAAAAAGAACTCTTGAAACAGGAGTTCTTAATGGATTAGAGTGGAAGTAACGATCCTTTCAAACAAAACTTCAGTGGCCCCCTTGCAGTAGAGTATTTTAAAATGATTTAATGCCTCTGACAAATTGTGTCAAATAATATAAAACTGATTTTTAAAATCATTTTATTTTAGGGTCGTTTCATAGTAAAACTAATAATATTGTAAAAAACTCTACTTAGTAAGGACCATATGAACCGTTTGCTATTAATGTGTTTTATAACTGGGAACAATATTGTCTGGGACAGCTCTCCTTGTAAGATGCTTCACGACAATTTTCATCTCCCCTTTCGTATGTATAATCCAAAGAGGAATTGTTTCAGTTCATCTCATCTGGGCTTAAAAAATTCAAGAATTTTATTTTGTGTGTGGTTTACAAATCTCCACATAATGCTTCCAAAATCATGGAACTGATTTTTTTAAAGTGTGTTTATTAGGTCTTCTGCCATTACAACATTTTTTCTTTGGAGGACTTCTTGGACTGCTTCCTGAGGGCTCAGGTTTCTACAGAACAGTTTGGTAAATGTTGTCATAGATTGTTACATCTATAATGAACTGACCATTTTAATATCCTGTCTCAAGGAATGAGATCTTCCACTTATGTGATGTTGGCAGATAATTGAAACTTACCATCCGGTTTTGTTTTGTTTTTTTAACATTTTAATGAAAAATCTTTCTAAAATGTCTAACATCCCTGCTTTCTTAAACAGTATACTAAACACAATTTAATCTTTTTTAAATTACTTTAGAGGATCATTATGAGCATTAATCATTGCATTGTGTCATTCTCTGATGATGCTTTTTACCTTACACTTAACTGGACCCTTAGTCCTCCTCTTTTATAGTTTTTCAGTCCACAGCTTCTGTTGGGAGCTGCCCAGTCTTCATATCTGAATGTTTCTAAACTACTGTCTTATTTTACTGGCTTCATATGGGTGAGGACCTCAGGGCTTGATAGTGATTCCAAACCTCTCTCTGGAAGAGGTACATGAATTTCTGTCAGCTAGTTTTCTCACTTGTTCAAGAGTCATTGGGTTTTTCACTCCCTCTTCTGGGTTCAAGGCTATATTTCAAGTGCTTTAAATTTCTGGAAATGATGGGGTGCTCAGGACCCAGCCCTAAGATCATGTCTCTGGAAGCCTTCTGATTTCTTCGTAGGCCTCTGTCCTATGAGAAAATTTTCTGTTGTTGCAGAACACATTCTCTTATTGGAACAGACAGAGGGGTACCTGGCCCAAGGATTTTTGTCCCTGGCTGGCCCAAGGACTCTTCCTCCCTCCAGATCCCCAAGGTCCATGCCTCTGACAACTCCCTCAATGTCCGGTATATTCCCTACACTTTCCCATCCATAGCTTCCAAATACACCTGGACCCTGATTACCTAATTAGCATCCCTGCCATTCCTTTCCCATGCTCCTTTTCCATATAAACCCCAGCACTATCTTCAATCTCTTGCAGGTTCCCGTATGCACCCTTGCTCAATTTTGCTAAAGCATTACAGTAAACTCTTTACCACTTGATTAAGAGAAGGCTTGAATGTGTGAATTCATTCCTAGCAGCTCTACCTTGCATTCTTGGGGTCCCAGCACCCCAAAACCTCATCAGAAATATATTTTCCTGGCAAGTATGCCTTATTTCTGAAACATTTAAAATGTGATCCTTTAGTTAACCTAAACAATGTTTGGTGATGAAAAGCCCATCCCTACAAAAATTCTTGGCATGTCTAGTTTTTAAGAAATTCTAGGTTTTTCCTTATAGCTAACAACTGATCACACAATAGTTTCATCCTATTTCATGTTGTCATTTTTTTACTTTAGTGGAACAAACAGCTGGTCACCATTTTCTGTGTAATAACTCTTCATGCACTTGAAAATCATTACTGAATTGCTGCTCATTTTTCCCAGCGTTCCCTCCCTCTATTCCTTCCTTCCTTCATCCCTTCCACAAAAATTTATTGAGTGCCTTTTATGGGCAAAGCCTTTGGCTAGACACTATGGGGCTTACCAAGGTGAATGAAATGTATCCTACCTTTAAGAATACTATAGTCCAATAGCAGAGGTGAGGCAGTACACAGCTAATTATAAGACCAGACACAATGTGTCATGTGACATTAGAGAAATGCAAATGTTATGAAAATTCAGAGGGGAAAGAAGTCCCAGAGCTGGCATTTGATATTTGACCCTGAAAGATGGATAAGGATTGAACAGGTGGAGCCCAAGTAAAAAGGCATTCTTTGAAAAGGGGAAGTATGAGAAAAGATGTAAAAGCAGGAAAGCATATATTATCTGGGGAATGGCAAAAGGTTCACTTAGTCAAACTGAGCTCAGTCCCAGTCATCTTTTCTCATCTTTTTTAATTTTTAACATTTTAATTATCTTTACAGTGTTTCTATATACCCATCCTATATTCTTAACTTATGTCCCTCTTAAAACACAGAAGCCCAGAGCATTCATTCATAAAACAAGAGAACAATTTGTGAAGAAACATTAATAGAACCATATTATATTTCAAAATTATTTTAATGTTCTTTTTTTCCCCTACCCTTTTCTCTTCATCCCTTGTCAGGCTCCTCCATTAAGAGTGTGCCTGTTAGGTCCCCAAGGATCTGGCAAGACGGTCTGTGCTCGATGGTTAGCTGAAAAATTTGGCATATTTCACATTCAGTTTGAAGAATTTCTGCAGGAAAAAATCATGAGCAAGACTGAGAGGAGAGTTGGACCTGAATATGATGAAGAAATTGAGGAAGAAGCAGCTGAAAAACAAGAATTAGAAGAAATTGCAGCTCAGGCTAATATTAAACTTGAGAATGAAAAAAGCAAACTGGTATTGTAATACCTAAAGTTTAGAGATAACCTACAAATCTATGATTTACAAATAACTCTTTGGTTTACACAGAGTGAAAAAGCACATTGAGTGTTTTGTAATAACTTTTCATTTGACCAAAAATTATCATGCCACAGAAAAATGTTCACCAGTCCATTGTCCCCACACTCTGAGGTAGACACACTATCCCAACCAGAGTGAGTGTTAAATACTAATGTGAACATAACTACAGTAAAAGTTAACATAACTTATCCTAACCAGTTTGGGATCATTTCCTTGCTTTTGTCAGAGAGTAGGAGGGAGGCAGTATTATTTCAGCCTTTTTGTTCATAGACTGTAAGATCTCTGAGTAGTGACATTCTGTTTTCTGTAGTTTACAAAGCCCCAACATAAGCTATTTCTGCATGTGGTCAATTGCAATTACAAATCATTCTTTCAAAACTGTAAGCAATATTATTTTAAATTGCCTGTTCTTCATTGGTCCCTGGCATATAACTATCTGTAAGATTTACAGTTTCAGCTGGGAAGAAATTTAGGTAGACCTAAAACTGACTAACTTAGAAGGTAGTTAAATCTCACAGATATGATTTCAGTGGGCACATAGATTTATAAGGTGATTGACTCCTGAGATGAATTATACTAGCCATTTGTGAATAGAATATAGTCACAGCTTTGTAACTGTTAGTTGTAGTATATTGTAGATTTTGCCATGTTGAATATTGGCACAAAGTAAGCCAAAATTTTCAACATTTTCATAAGCCCCAGTGTGACAGTAGTTTGAGAGAAATAGGAACCTTCTAAATCATTTGTGTACTCTTCGTTAATGTATGTTTATTGATATTTTTTTTTCCTGTTTGTCTGAGTTGGGTTTCAGCATAAAGAAATAGTGTTCACTGATGAGGAAAAAGCTATTAAAGCAAACCTCATGGAAAATGAAGCATTACCACCAGAAATTATGGATCTCTATCTTTCCGAATGGTGGCTTAAAGAACCAATACGGTAATTTTGACTTTTAGTAGTATCTTTTTGCATGTTTTCATTTTATTAATGGGGCAGCTAGGTGCTGCAGTGGATAGAGTACTGGGCCTAGAGTCAGGAAGACTCATCTTCATGAATTCAAATCCAGCCTCAGACACTCACTAGCTGTGTGACCCTGGGCAAGTCACTTAAATTAACCCTGTTGGCCTCAGTTTCCTCATCTGTAAAATGAGCTTGAGAAAGAAATGTCAAACCACTCTAGTATCTTTGCCAAGAAAACTGCAAATGGGGTCATTAAGAGTCAGACACATCTGAAAAATTAAACAACAATGCTAATTTAAAAAATGGGAAGCACACAATCTTGCCTCACTCCATTGGGAACTGGGAAAGCTTGAGAGCATCTTTCATCATCCAGGACCCAGGCAAGTATGCCGTCATGAACTTGACATACGATACTGATGAACTTCTCTGGGCAACCAAATTCTGTCATGATCTCCCACAAGTCCTCACAATTGATAGTGTCAAAGGCTTTGATCACATTTGAACTGGAGGAGATGAGTCTTTCTGACTTCAGGATCAACAATCAATCCACTGTGCCACCGCATTAACATTGTTAATTCTTGCTTAATTTATTTTGATGGGTTGTTTATCCACCTGTAGACATCTCTCCAGATTTCTTACATGGTTTCTTTATCCTTCTCCAAAGCAGTCAGCATTTTAGCTGATTCAATTGCCTTATAATTTTTTCTTGTACTAATGTTCTACTTTGCATTACTTTATTTTTAAATTTTAATTGATTCTTATCTTCTTGTGTGGCTTCTTTTAGCCATTTTTCTCCTCTTTAGTGTTTTTATCGGTTGTTTTTATGAGGTTACTAGCTCTCTTCAATATCCTATGTTTATATTCTATGTTTATATAAAATTGTCATCTCAGTTGTCTATATTTTTACTCATAAATGTAATTTCATCTAAAAAGCTGAAAATATTTTAAAAATAAATAAAGCAAATTATGAATTTTCTCATTTAGCTCCACAGGTTTTATCCTAGATGGATTCCCACGAAATGTAGAGGAGGTACAATTTCTAGGTGAGCGCGGATTTTGCCCAGATATTGTTATTGGTCTCATAGTTGAAGAACAAGAAATTATAGATCGCCTACTTGCTGAAGCTGTTGCAAAGTGGAAAAGTAAACAAGAAAAAAAGGCCACAAGAACTAAAATGATTAAAGAAATGAGAATGAAAATTAGGGTATGTATATCTTTACAGAAAAATTCAGTAAGTTTTTCAAGGGAATAAATTGATTGAGAAAGTAAACTACTTGAGGACAGAAAATGTTTTTTTTCCTACGTTGTTTGTATCCTGATCACTTAGCACAGTGCCTGACCCACAATTAAGTACTTCATGAATGCTTTTTTAATTGAATGATTTGTTTTCATCATACTTTTTTTTAATGTAACCTCTTAGCATATTGCACAGTAAGGAGATGGCTTCTTTTACTTGAGGAACAGCAAGGAGATCAGTATCACTGGATTGAAGAATATTTAGAGTGGGTTGTTGTTTTTTCATCTTTTCAAGTCATTTCAGTCATGTCTAACTCTCTGTGACCCCATTAGGGGTTTTCTCAGCAAAGATACTGGAGGAGTTTGCCATTTCCTTCTCCAGCTCATTTTACAGATGATGTAACTAAGGCAGAGTAAAGTGACTTGTCCAGGGTCACACAGCTAGTAAGTGTCTGAGGCTGGATTTGAACTCACAGAGGAGTCTTTCTGACTCCAGGCCCAGCACTCCATCCACTGTACCACCTATAAGAGGAGTAAGGTATAAAAAGACTGGAAAGAAAGGAAGAGACCAGGTTTTGAAGGCCAAATAAAGGATTTTATATTTGCCCCTGGAGTTTAAAGGGAGTCACTTGAGTTTATTGAATAGGTGAGGGGATATGGTCAGACCTTTGCCTTAGGAAAATCACGTTGATATCTGAGTGGAGGATGAACTCAAGAGACTTGAGACAGGGAGATGAATGAGAAGACTTTTGAACCAGTCCAGGAGAGAGATGAGGGCTTATACCCGAGTGGTGGCAGTGTCAAAGGAGGCAGGCATGAGTGGGAAATGTTGTAAAGGTAGAGTCAATGTGACTTGACAATGGATTGTGTAAGGGACAGTGAGAGAGTAAGGTGTCAAGGATGACACCTAGGTTATCAGCCTAAGTGAGTGGGGAGATGGTGATGCCCTAGAGAGTAATAGGGAAATAAGTAAGAAGGGAGGTATGAGTTGTAGGGGCAGGGGGAGGGAAAGGAAATAATGAGTTTCGTTTTGGGCATATTGAGTTTAATTAAGATGTCTGTAGGACATCCAGTTCAAGGTGAATACTGAAGGGGTAGCTAGGTGGAATAGTGGATAAAGCACTGGCCCTGGAGTCAGGAGGACCTGAGTTCAAATCTGCGCAAGTCACTTAATCCCAATTGCCTTGCCCCAAAAAACCCCCCAGAAACCCCAAGATGAATACCAGTTCCAGATCCATTCTTTTTCTTCACACTTCTAGAGACTGTAAGGAATCTGGAATTGGGGGGAGGGCAGGAAAGCGACATTTTCCAGAAGCTGGTTCATAATGCTCCTCAAATTCTCTCTTTTCCATTTTCATTGCCAGCCCACTAATTTGGGTCCTCATTGCCTTATTCTCAAATTACTGTAATAGGTTACCAATCAATCTCCTATTTTCCAATCCCTCCCTCCTCTAGTCCATGTTGTTCTTTCTAAACCAGCACTTTTGATGATTTTACTGTCCTACTCAGAAATCTTCAGTGGTGTCTTACTGACTGTAAGGCAGGTGTCTCAGTTTGGCATTCTCCCTTAAATGAACTCTCTACTCCAAACTGTTCACTTCTCCTGCATGAGGACTTTCTCTCCACTATGCATTTATTCAAACCATTCCTCACCACCTTTCCACACTGTGGAATATCTTTCCTATTCCTTTCTTCCTATACAAATCCTGCTTAACTTTCAAAACCAACTCACATTTCACCTCCATAAATACCCTAGCCAGGGGTAGGGAACCTACAGCCTCAAGACCACATGTGGCCCTCTAGATCCTTAAGTACAGCCCTTTGACTGAATCCAAACTTCACAGAACAAATCCCCTTAGTAAAAGGGACTCAGTCAAAAGGCCGCACCAGAGGACCTAGAAGGCCACATGTGGCCTCAAGGCCACAGGTTTCTCACCCCTGCACCCAAATTGATCCCTTCACACTCCTGAACTTCCTGCCTATACTATTCATTTGATTATTAACCATGTGCTAAGGAGCTGTCTCTTCTATTACTGTCTTGTTAGTTAAGTCTTCTAATGTTAATGTTTCATGTATATATGTTTTTTCTGTAATTATACTGTAAAAACCTTAAAAACAGAACAGATTGTATAACTCTTATTCCACAGTGCCTTGAACTTAATAAATATAAGGTCTGATTATGAGCTAATGAGAATGATTTTTTAATTGTTTATTAATTTATTTTGATTTAGCAATAATCACTTCCATATGCTTTTGAGTTTAAAATTTTTCTCCCCCTTCCTCCCTACCACCCTCCCCAAGACGGCGCACAATCTAATATTGGCTATATACATTTACATTCCTATTAAACATATTTTCACGTTAGTGATTTTATAAGTAAAAATTAAAACCAATAGGAGGAACCATTAGAAAGAGGAAACAAGACTCAACAGAAGAGGAAAAAAATACAGCAATTCAACTTCCATAGTTCTTTCTTTGGATGTGGATAGCATTTTCCATCACGAGGCCTCTGGTGGTGTCTTAGATCCTTGTATTACTGGGAAGGGTTAAGTTTATCAATATTAGTCATTGCACAACGTGGCTGTTACCGTGTACAACGTTCTCTTGGTCCTGAGAATGATTTTTTAATTATCATATCAAAACTTAACAGAGAACTTGAAAGAAAATGGGGTCCCATTGATGGCAGAATGACTAAACAAACTGTGGTATATGAACGTAATTAAACATTATTGCATGGTAAGTATTTGTGAATACGAAAAATTCATGGAACTATGGGAAGATAGGTGGGTTTTGATGCAGAGTGAAGTAGAACTAGGAAAACAGTGTGTGCATATATGTGTACAGGTATGTACATTATATATATAATATATAATACCGTAAATGAGAAGAATACGAAAGGGAAGCAAAATTCCAAGTTACTGTTATGGTCAGTCCTGGTCGTGGAGCACAGATGAAATAAACTTCCCTCCTCTCAGCAGAAGGGTAGGGATATATGGAACAGAATGATACATGTGCTGTCAGACATGGTCACAGTACTGATTGTTTTTGCTTAGCATTTTTTTTTAATAAGGCAAGGTTCAATTCTCTGAGCAAGCTATCTGGAAATTACTATGATCTAAAAATAAAAGGCATCAATAAAAATTTTTTAAAAAACAAATTATGTACAATGGCAAACCGTCATTTGAGGGTGGATTTTTAGAAACAACAAATAGTCATTCAAAGATAAGTCTAATGAATAAGATAATGTTCAAGGTGAATAATTTTGTTTGTGATTTAGGTAGCCACAAACTAGGTTTAACTATAAAGGAATGTGACTAATTTTCTTTTATGACTTATAAACTGACTCCAAGGGCAGTTCTCAAAGAGGAATCCAAAAATGTTCTAAGCAACAAACATTCCAGTGATGCTCTAAGCGTTATTGGAACAAGTCCACAACTTCCCAAGCTGCTTAATTTTGAAGGACCACAACCATTTGAATGTGGGAGTTCTCGTATGTTTATTTTTTTAATGTCTCATTGAGAGTCTTATTGTGTATTTCACAAAATCGTAGTGTTTCAGGGACAGCTAGGTGGCACAGTGGATAGAGCACCGGCCCTGAAGTCAGGAGGACCTAAGTTCAAATCCGGCCTCAGACCAAACACTTGACACTTACTAGCTGTGTGACTCTAGGCAAGTCACTTAACCCCAACTGCCTAAAAAAAAAATCATAGTGTTTCAGAGTTAGAAGACACTTCAACGACCAACCCTTATTTCAACAAAAAGCTCCTCTACATCTCCAACAAGTGGTCACCCAGCTATTTCTTGAAGACCACCGATGTGGAGGGAACCCACCACCTATCAAGAAAGTCCATTCAACTTCGATAAAACTCTGATTGTTAGAACGTTTTTCCTTGTATCAAGCCTAAATCTCCTTTTTTTAATTTCTAATTCACTGACTGACTGATAGATTTTCTCAAATGAAGAGAGGAAAATAGGAGAATAGACTCAGCTGAATAAAATAAATGTACAGTTTTATGCATAAATAATTTGTAACTATATTTAGTATGTACATGTTTGTGTATGCAGTGGCAGTTATTCAGTTATGAAAATATAAGAGGATCCTCAATAAATAAACCTATGTTAAACACAAGTTTTAAAAGATGCATGTACATTTAGAAACTCCACAAAGGGTCCCAGTGTTTCTCAAATTCACTGGACGTACTTGGTTAATTTGAGTAGATAAGAACCCCAGGGAGGTTCAGAAACTATCTGCTTCCTTGGACTCAACCTAGACTTGAGTAGATCTGTGTCCACCCTCTTATACTGATCTGATATCCTAGGTGAGAAAAACTACTCCAATGTCCAAGGAGATGAGACAGTGGGGTCCACAACCCCAGAGGTGCGGACTGGTATTTGTCAGGTTTCAGGCTTTAACAAATGATCCATTGCCTTTCATTTCATCCATGTTATCATAATAAATGAAGGATTATCTAAGCATCCAGTGAGACACACCATTTTATCACACTATGTCTGGCCATGGAATACCTATACAAAACATACCTACTTTTTTGCATACAACTGTTAAATTTTTAGACTTTCAGAGTATTTGCCTTAGCTAGCACTACAACACCATTCCTCAAAATTTTTCATCCAGTAACTTTAAGTACTCCTCCTTTCCTCCCTCTTCTATATCACTGTTCTCTCTCAAAAAAAAAAAAACGGTCCAAAGTGGCTTGTCTGTGAAGGAAAAGAATAGGAACAGATGAGCCATGTTTCTGGGCAGAAAAAGCAGAGCCAAAGGTTCAGTCACCAGGAAAGAAAGAGGACAGACATAGAGCTACCCCACTGCTTTGAGATTTCCCCAGTATATTTGTAAGTCTCCCAAGATTTCAAGTGGGTTGCAATTCCCAGTTTTAAAAATATTGAACTGTATTCATAGATAAAAACTAATTTTAATGTCTTTTTTCATTCCAAAATTAAAGCTATTCCTTCTTTTACAGGATTCCTTTGTCCCTTAGAAAGTTAAAGCTGTTCTTTTTTTTTTTTTACAGGAGGATCAGATTGCTAAAAGAAGGGCTGAGCTTATAGCAGAGAGAGATAAAAGAAAAAGACCAGAGGTAAGAAAATAACTGGAAACTACAAATGGAGTGTAACCTGCAAGGCTACTAGAAACCAATTTTTAACTATTTCTCTGTTGGATTTTATTTTTGCTTTCGGCTGACGTTACCAGTCAAAGTCACAGAGAGATCTGTAAAAAGTTGATTTTTCTCTACTTATCCAAATGCTTGTCACATCAAGCATGTCACATTAGCTAAATGCATGTCACAACAAAAATTAAGTGCTTGTAAAATTTCCCTCCAAAAAATATTAAAGACTTAAAATGGTAAATGTTATTACTGTCTTATAAATTGTGATAAAATAACATACTAAACCATTGAAACCCAATGGCCCCTGAAAACTTGCCTCTCTTGATAAGATTCTGTTTTTTAGTCTCATCCTCAGTGCTTAGCACAATGCCTGGTACTAGTAAGTGCTTCATAATGTTTGTTGACTGACTGTATCCCATAGAATGCCTAGCATGTAAGCCTGGTGTTTTAATGCTCAAATTTGCCCATTTTCAAGCAGGGTAAGAATGAGTCCCCAGAGTGATATGTACTTCACTCAAATGTTCAAACCTCAAAATATACATGATCAACATATTTTGTTGTTGAGTCATTTCAGTCCTATCTGACTTTTCGTGACCCCTTTTGGAGGTTTTCTTGGCAAAGATACTGAAGTGGTTTGCTATTTCCTTCTCCAACTCATTTTACAGATGAGGAAATTGAGGCAAACAGGATTAAGTTAGTTGCCCAGGGTCACACAGCTAGTAAGTGTCTGAGGCCAGATTTGAACTCAGGAAGATGAGTCTTCCTACTTCCAGGCACAGCCACTATGCCACCTAGCTGCCCAGCAACTTTAAGCCTTTAAGACCCATCAAAAAACATCTCCTCCATGAAGTCTTTTCTGACTAGTCTAATCCGCAATGAACAGTCTTTTCTGAAGCCTTCCTATAGCATTTAATATCTGTATCACTCAATTTAAACACAGTTCTATTCATTCACTCATTCAATCAGCAAACATTTAGTTCTTTTCTTGTTCTGTTCTCTAGTTGTTTTTTGTGCTTTAAAATTATCACTCTAAATAAACTATAGGGGCAGCTAGGTGGCACAGTGGATAGAGCATCTGGCCTGGAGTCAGGAAGACCCGAGTTCAAATTCTGCCCCAGACATTGACTAGCTTTATGACCCTGGGCAAGTCACTTAACCCTCAGTTAAGGGGTTTACCTCAGTTTCCTCATCTGTAAAATGAGCTGGAGAAGGAAATGGCAAATCACTGTAGTATCTTTACCAAGTCTTTATATTTGCCAACGGTCAGGAAGAGGCAGTCAGGACTGAAAGGACTGAACAATAACAAATAAACTGTATACTCCTTCAAGGAATAGCCTCGTCTTATATATTTTTTTAATTTCCCTCTTCCCCTCCCCCAATAGTGCCTGGTGCAGTGCTTAGTATAAAGTAGGTGCTTAACACCACTTGTTGAATTGAATTAAATACTGTCACTAAAAAGATCATTAAAGCCACTTTGTATTTTTTCAGCTATAGGAATAAATAGGATTTCACTTGTTTAGCTATTGTGGATTTTTTATAATCAGTTGTTGAATTTCTGTGAGTCAGATTAAGCAAAGTCTGACTGTATCACAAATCATTTTGTGACATGCATGTCCCAACATAAATTGAGTGCTTATAAAATTTCCCTCCAAATAACAAAAATGACTTAAAATGGCAAGTGCTGAGAAAACAATATACTAAACCGAATTTAAATTGCATTCTTCAGTCAATCAGGGATGAAGATGACATAAGTGAAGAAGAGACTGAAGAAGAGGAAGAAGATAATATTGAGGCTCTTCTGGAAGAAGAGTTCCCAAAAGATGAGGAAGAGACGAGTGAGGAAGAAGAACAGGAAGAAGAGGCTATTGACAGAATAAAAACTGAAATGGGAGAAAAGTTTGAAACAGATTTAAGTAACCTGCAAATGATACAGGTTATTACTTTTCCTTCATGGTTTTCCTTAATTTTTTTTACAATACAGTAGTGTTTAAGAATAAATCAAAATGGTAAATAATTTTAGGTCAGCTGCATTTTCATCCTTCTAAGATTTATGTTTTAAGCTGTGATTACTGTTTACTGATTGTATTACTTCAGATGTTCCAAGGGATTCATGATTTCATCATTGTGGACACACTCTCCCTGATGCAACTTGCAGCCCATGTATGGTTTAGGATATCTGTAAGTTGTTGTGGGTGAAAAAAAAATAATCATCTGTTGGGCCAAACCTCTGGTGAGGAGCCTCTCCAAACTTACTAAGGCTGGTCTTCAGGCAACAGATATACAAAGGAAGTAATGTAAAGTAAGTCTGGAAAGGTAGGCTGGAGCCAGATTGTAAAGGTCTTGCTATTTAAATAGCAAGCAGAGAAATTTGTATTTTGTGCTAAAAGCAACAGGAATCTGTTGAGAAAAGAGTGACACGATTTTGGCAACTGTGGGGAAAATGGATTGAAGAGGGGAAAGGCTGAAAGAGACACCAATTAATTAGGAGGCTATTGCAATAGTCTGAGTGATACAAAGGACCTGAACTAGAGTGATTCATGCCTTGGGAGTGGACCAAAGGAAAAGCCCTCCATAACCTTGCTCCCACATATCCTCCTAGACTTATTTTACTTTGTAACCCATTATGCGTTCTCTGTTCCAGCCAAACTGGTTGTTACTAGTTGTTTTCCAAACTTGATGTTACTACACCTACCTAGTGACATCCCTCACTCCCTTCAAAGCTTAGCCGGGGTGCCATATCCTTTCTTTGCTTCCCAGCCCCTTGCACATAGTAGGCATTTTACAAATAATCGTTGAAGTGATTTGAAGGAAGATGTATGCTTACCAAGGACGTTTGCCAGTGTCATAGATAATATCATGCATAGATTCCAAATAGAAGACAAATTCTCTAGAGTTGGTAAGATGTTCCCTTTCATATTGATTGCATCAATCTTAGAATACCACAAGACTTCTTTAATGAAATCCATATTCACTCAAAAGATATTAACCTCACAATCAAACAGAAAAAATGAAGTGAACAAAGTGTGCATGTTACCCAGTTTATGAAATACATGGGTATGTGTATGTAAATATGTATAAATGGATGTGCACATATGTATATATGGTTATGTACATGGGTATGTATATGGATATGTGTATACATGGGTATATTGTATATATGTGTATATATGTGTATACATGTATGTATGTGTGGATATATACATGGGTATATATGGGTATACATGGGTGTATATGTGTGTATGTTTGTATGTATTTATGGGAATATACATGGGTGTGTATACATGTATATGGATATATGAGTATATATACATATATCTATGTATGGGTAGCCCATTTGTTTATTCCATACATATTTCTTGGACAGGTACCAGAAATAGACAGTGGGCTGGGCCCAGAATTTAATTGGATGAAGAAAGCAGGCTAAATGACAGAATCATAAAATCTCCAATTTGGGACGTTCCTCATAGACACCCAGTCCAATTCTAACATGAACAAGTCTCTTCAACGATATATCTGACAAATGTTAACCCAAGCTTTCGTTTAATACCTCCAGTGAAGGGAAAGTTACAAGACTGAAAAAACAATCCACTCAACTTTTGAATAGCTCTGATTCTTCTTTTTTTCCCTTCATCAATTATCTTTTTTACTATGAACCTAGTAATTATTGACAAATACTAATTATAAACATGAAAAGAGCATCAATAAAACATTTGAAAATATAGTGCTAGCTCTGGCATATCATAGGCACTTAACAAATGTTTATTGACTGTATTTCATTTTATGTGTTTAAAAACATTTTTCTGAGAAGATATCCATAGGTTTCACAAGTCTGCTAAAGAGGTCTATGACCAAAAAAAAAAAATTAAGAACTCCTGACTTTAAGGGATATGGTTCAATTATCTAGAAAATTCATATGCATGCTTTCCCCCTCCAAATCCTATATAAATGGGACACCATTCTACTTCCATTTAGTGGAAAGAAAATGGTCTCTATGCTATTTTCAGATCCAACCTTTGATTCTGGCAATCGGCAAAACACTTAACATGTCTCAGACTCAGTTTTCTCATCTATAAGAGGAGGTTATTGGACTTTCTGATTTCTGAAGCCCTTTCAGCAGATCACTTTGAAAACTTTAAAAGTACTATGTAAATGTCAGTATCATCTCTAAAGATAAATATTTATTAGAATCAGCTGAGAATGTTGACTTGTCTCACTAAAAAGCACCAAAATTATTAAGCACATATGTAAAGAAGGAGATTCAGAAAGGGAATTTTCTCATCACACAGAGAACAGGTTTTCTGTGATATATGGAAAAATATGTGTGAAAAATAGTAAGTGTGAGAAAATAATTTAGAGGTATGGAATGATAATGAAGCTGACATTGAAATAGTATTTTCAGGATTGTAAATTGCTCTTCTCATTATACTATACTGTCTCAGATAAAGAGAAGGAAGGGAATAGTGTCAAAGATTGATTCCACTGTCCTCCAAAATCCTGTGCCTCATTAAAAAAATGGTCATTCTAATGATGGAAGAAATTTGTGTTGAGAAAGGGAAATTATATTTGACCTTCTTAAGTAGGTAACGCTTTTTTATAGCTCTGCACAACATATCTTCAAAGTGAATGATGGTGCACAATTGCATAATGTTTCATTTTTTAAATAACACTATTACTGAAAAAATGTACAAAAGAGCTCTTCAGAAGATAATAACAAGTTGATCTCTCACTTCAGAACACTGAAGTCTATTTTTTTTCATGCTTTCATTTTAGGAGGAATTTGAAAAACTATTGATTCCATTTATTAACATTCTGGGAGGACGGAAACTTCATATTGTACGTTATCTGTTGCATAAGAAACTGAAGCCTCTGGTGGAAAATCGTGAAAGTATCTTTGAGAAATGTTATGCAATATCATTACCACTTGCTCAGAAAATGCTTAGTCTCACCTACAAATATCCAAGCTCATTTGGTCAGTGGGATCCTGTAAAGGTAATTTCACCAAATACATTTGAGAGCCCTACATGTTGTCTTGCTGAGCATATCAAAAGTAAATATGATCATAAGTAATGGAGAGGTAGCATTGCCTAGTGGCAATGAGTTGTAATTATATTTAAAGCTGATTTTTGTGTGTGTTCGGCTTATAAATTGGTTTAAGACAGCTCCCAAAGAAGAGTACAAACACATTTTGAACAATTGCAACATCTTTAGAATAAATATCTCCCTTTCCAAGGTGACCATTTTGAAGAACGACATGCATGTGGAGATCAAAATCTATATCTACAGAGAACTGGTCTTGGAGTCAGGAAGATGGGTTCGGGTTCTGCTTCTCACACATACCACCTGTGGGACTGGGGACCAGTCACTTTTAAAGAAAAAAGGTTGCAGGGAAGGAACCAACTGCATTTTTAAAGGGAATGCCCTCATTGGGAGCTTCCCACACCAATGAAATCCTAAGTTTGTTTGTTTTTTCCCTCCCCCCTTTTTTATTTTAGACAAATGCTAAAACTTAAATACATAATAAGAAAAGAAAAAGCAACATTGTAAACTTAAATATAAAATAAGAAAAAACAAAAAATTGTCATGTGCACAGCAGAACATAGGAGAGGATTCAAATTATATAGCAATAACTTTTCATCTCAAGAAAGCCTATATATTAAATACTGTTCATTATGTTGAAAGCTGTCCGTTTTTGCTTCCTTGTAGGTTTTCTTTTGTTCTCTGCCGTACACTTTACTTGTTCTTTTTTCCCTCTCCCTCCCCCCTACCCAGCACCCCAAGGCTAAAATTGGAGTTTGGTTTGTTTTTAAAAGTCAATATTGTGTCCTGGGGAGACAATAAATGAGTAATTCCAATGATCATAAAATTCTTCACCATTTCTAGTAAGGTTATTGTTTCACTTTTTTTTAAGGCATGTTCTCAAGTCCTCCCAAAAGTATTCAGGGAAGTAAAACAGACACATAACTTGGCATAGTAACGCAAAATTGTGGCTACACTGAACCAAGTTTAATTACCATCTAAAGGACAAAGTTCTAGGTGTGGGCAGAATTGAAAGCTGTCATGTGCCAGAGAAGATCACAAGACTTGGAAGAAGACTGATCAGGGCTCGAAGCAGTGCGTTTTGAAAAGAGAACCCAAATTGAAAACAAGACCTGGGAGAGTGGAAGGTCCCTGGAGGTCCAGACACTCACATCTACAGGCTTTGCTCTCAGCCTTGACCAAGATAGCCTCTTTACTCCTGTCTAGAATGCTCACCCTTTTGATTGACCCAACATGGCTTTGGCAAAGACTCCTATGTCTCAGTGATGTGGAGACTTAGACAGATTTAAACCAAATAAGGTGATGCCTCCCCCAGTTAGACCAGACGTAATACAAAAAGCAAGTGTTTCAAGGCCAATTTGGTAAGCCTCACAAGCAACAAAAGTTTTGACTAGCCTTTTGCATTTTTATCAATGTCCACAATGATCATATGCTGATCATAAGATGAGATCTGACTAGATAATAATAAGCTTTATTTAAAAGAAAAAATTAGAAATCCACGTGAATGTCATTCTTCAAAATGATCGCTTTGGGAAGAGAGATATTTATTCCAAAGATGTTTCCTTTGTTTGTCTTCTTTTTCAAATTAATTAATTAATTAATTGATTTTTAGTTTTCAGAATTCACTTCCACAAGATTCTGAGTTTCACATTTTCTCCCTATTTCAGTCCCTCCCCCCACCCCAAGACAGATTGCATTCTGAATACCCCTTCCCCTAATCTACCCTCCCTTCTATCACCCTCCCCTTCTCATATCCCGTTCCCCTTCTATTTTCCTGTTGGGCAGGATAGATTTCTATACCCCATTGCCTGTATATCTTATTTCCAAGTTGCATGTAAAAACAATTTTTAATATTCGTTTTTAAAACTTTGGGTTCCAAATTCTCTCCCTTCCTCCCTCCCCACCCACTCTCATTGAGAAGGCAAGCAACTCAGTACAGGTTATACATGTGTAGTCATGCAAAACACTTCCATAGTAGTCATGTTGTGAAAAACTAACTATATTTCCCTTCATCCTATCCCACGCACATACCCCTGTTTATTCTATTCTCTTTTTTGACCCTGTCCTTCCTCAGAAGTGTTTGCTTCTGATTACCCCTTCCCCCAATCTGCCCTCCCTTCTATCATCCCCCTCCCTCTCTTATCCCCTTCCCCTCTATTTTCCTGTAGGGTAAGATAGATTTCCATACCTAATTGAGTGGGTATGGTATTCCCTCCTTAAGCCAAATCCAATGAGAATAAGATTCACTCATTCCCTCTCAGCTTCCCCCACTTCCTCTCCACTGTAAAAGCTTTTTCTTGTCTGTTTTATGTGAGATAATTTACCCCATTCTACCTCTCCCTTTCTCCTTCTCCCATTATAATCCTCTCTCACCCCTTAATTTTATTTTTTAGATATCACCCCTTCAACTTCAAATCATCCTGTGCCATCTATCTATTTATCTATCTATACACATATTTTTCCCTCCAACTACCCTAAAACTGACAAAGTTCTCATGAGCGACAAATATCATCTTTCAGTGTAGGAATATAAACAGTTCAACTTAATAAGTCCTTATGATTTCTTTTCCTGTTTACCTTTCATGCTTCTCTTGAGTCTGTATTATTTGAAAGTCAAATTTTCTATTCAGCTCTGGTCTTTTCATCAAGAATGCTTGAAAGTGAAAGTCTTCTATTTCACTGAATGTCTATTTTTTCTCCTGAAAGATTATACTCAGTTTTGCTGGGTAGGTGATTCTTGGTTGTAATCCTTCCTTCTTTGACCTCCAGAATATTATATTCTAAGCTCTCCAATGCCTTAATGTAGAAGCTGCTAAATCTCGTGTTGTCCTGATTGTGTTTCCACAATACTTGAATTGTTTCTTTCTGGCTGCTTGCAATATTTTCTCCTTGACCTGGGAACTCTAGAATTTGGCTATAATATTCCTAGGAGTTTTCCTTTGGGGATCTCTTTCAGGAATCAGTGGATTCTTTTGATTTCTATTTTATTCTCTGGTTCTAGAATATCAGGGCAGTTTTCCTTGATAATTTCTTGAAAGATGATGTCTAAGCTCTTTTTTTTGATCATGGCTTTCAGGTAGTCCAATAATTTTTAAATTATCTCTCCTGGATCTATTTTTCAGGTGAGTTGTTTTTCCAATGAGATATTTCATGTTGTCTTCTATTTTTTCATTCTTTGGTTTTGTTTTGGCAATTTCTTGATTTCTCATAAAGTCATTAGCTTCCATTTGCTCCATTCTGAGTTTTAAGTTATTTTCTTTTAAGTATTTTCTTTAGTGAGCATTTGGACTTCCTTTTCCATTTGGCCAGTTTTGCTTTTGAAGGCATTCTTCTCCTCATTGGCTTTTTGGACCTCTTTTGCCATTTGGGTTAGTCTATTTTTTAAGTTGTTATTTTCTTCGGTATTTTTGGGGGGTTTCCTTTAGCAAGCTGTTGACTTGTTTTTCATGATTTTCTTGCATCACTCTCATTTCTCTTCCCAGTCCTCTACTTTTCTTACTTGCTTCTTAAAATCCTTTTTGAGCTCTTCCATGGCCTAGGATTTCATATTTTTCTTGGAGGCTTTGGATGTACTAGCTTTGACTTTGTTATCGTCTTCTGGTTGTGTGTTTTGATCTTCTTTGTCATCAAAGTAAGATTCTATAGTCTGAGTATTTTTGTGCTGTTTGCTCATGTTCCCAGCCAGTTACTTGATTTTTAAACTCTTTGTTAAGGTAGGGCTCTGCTTCTAGTGTGGAGAATGTACTGCGCCGAGCTTTAGGGGTTTTGTGCAGCTGTTTTCAGAGATACATCTAAGGACCTGTAAATTTTCAGTTTTTCCAAGGTGGTAAGATCAAGGGTGAGGTGTTTACTCCTTTCCTGGCCTGTGCTCTGGTCTATTAGTGACCACAAGCACTCTTTTCTGTCTGGGAACTGTGAGGAGGATTCTCTCTCTCCCCACCACCACAAGCTCCACCATGCCAGCACTCCTCCTCACCCCAGGATCACCACCCAGAACTGTGACCCAGATCCACCCACAAGCAAAGCAAGAGAATCCTGCCTTAGTGCCAGCAAAGAGATCCCTGCAAAACCCCTCTGATCAGCTGCTCAATCCCTCCACAGTCAGAGGGCCAAGAGCTCCAGAAGCAGCCTGCGCCCCATTGGTGCACCAGGACTTGGGCCGGACCAAGCTCCTTTCTCACCACAGTCCGACAGACCTTTCCTACTGACCTTTTAAGTTATCTTTGGCATTTATGGGTTGAGAAGTCTGGAAATCACCACAGCTGCAGTGATTCAGTCCCCTGAGGCCTAGTCTTTGCCTGGGTGGCCCACGCTGAACTGCACTCCTCTGTCAGCCCAGCACAACAAACCTTTCCAGCCGACCTTCCAGGTTGTCTTGGGCTGGAAATTTGTTTTACCTTGTCTTTTTGTGAGTTCTGCTGCTCTAGAATTTGTTTAGAGCCATTTTTTTTTACATATACTTGGAAGGGTTTGAGGGAGAGCTCAAGGAAGTCACTGCTTTTACTCTGCCATCTTTGCTCCACCTATTTGTATTCTTCTTAGGGAACTGTCTCAAGCTAATTCGTATGGCAAACACATACAAAAATCAGCTTCAGGTAGAATTACAACTTGTTCTTTTTACTGAAAAATCTATTCTGCAGATTGATAATAATAACAATAATTATAGCTAGCATTTAGCTCAAGCTTTAAGATTTGCTAAATGCTATGCTTATCTCATTTGAGACTCACAACAAGCCTGTGAAGTAGGGGATATTATTATCCTTATTTTGCAGATGAGGAAACTGCGGCTGAGAGAGGCTAAGTGACTTGTGGCTGTTGGGACCACAGAGTCACACAACTTATAAGTATCTAAGATAGCATTTGAACTCAGATCTTCCCAATTCGAAGTCCACTACCACCTATAGGTGTATTCACCCATAAAACTCACCAGACTTCTCTCTGAATGATTGGGTAGTTTCTGATCATCAAAGTCATCTTCAAAGAATGAAAATCTGCCACCATCAAAAATATTCAAAAGAATACACTTCCTCTTTACCCCACCTCAGAAAAACCCTCTCTTCCTTTTAAGATGTGGCTCAATTATTACCTTTTTCCCCAAAACCTTTTCCTGGTTCCCTATAACTACTAATACTCTCCCTTCCTAATTATCATGTATTTAACTACCCTGTATTTATTTTGTATTCTGTATATATTAGAAGTCCATAACCTGTCCACCCCCACCCCCTTGGCAGAGAGCTTACTCTATAGGCTCATGATTTTTTCCTTCAAAGTCCAGGGCATTTGGTCTCATCAGTTCACCTTCTGTCTTTCTTTGCATATTTCTCTTTCTTCCCTGTTCCTGCATAGTAAGCACTCACAAAAATAATAAATAATAACATAATAGTAAAAATCAGTTTATCTTTAATAAAAATAATAAAAGTCAGCTTGTCTTTATCTAGAGATAAAACCTATTATTAAAATATAGACTTCAAACAAACAAGGTTTAAAGAGAAAAGGAAACTCTATGGGTAAGCAACACCATTTACCAGACAGCAGTGAGGAGGGAGACAAAGGAGAAAAAAATGGAGAACAGATATATTCAATAGGTGCCAGTAGCCACAAAGCCAGCACATTCGGGCAAACCTCCAATTGCACCCAGGGAAGTGACTCTTTAAGTGGATCAGAAAGCCAGACAGATTCTAACTGCTCGTAGTTATATTCAGGGTACTGAATTATTTGAAGAGGTAATTATAGAACTGTCATCAGTGATCTTTGAGAAGTCGTGGAAACAGGAAAGATACTGGTTGACTGAGTTGGATAGTGGACCATTACTCCTGCTAAGTCAGAGTGAACAAGTATGAAGTGAGCTAGGTAATCACTGTTTTTTGGAGACAGTGCAGCCTCTATGGTCCAGCATCCAAATTAATGAGAACAAATGTATATGTTAGAAATAACTGAAGAAATAATTTTGTTTATATTACAGCTATATGAAGGAGATGCTATCAAACCTTTAGTGAATGCAAATAATCCAACTTATCCTATGATTCATCGACAATATATTTATTTTTTATCCAACAAAGTAAATAGGGATAAATTTATGAAGAACCCAATCAAATATATCCGTCAGCCTAAACCAAAACCTGCTGTACCGATTAGGATTGCAATTGTTGGGCCTCCAAAATCTGGGAAAACTACAGGTGAGTCTGCCTATTTCTTCATTTTCTTAAGCAAAGGAAATCTGCCTGAAAACTGTGATTACATATTTATTTTACAAATTTAATGGGAATAATCATGAACTAACAGCTTTTGATTAACCCAAGAACATAAACTCCTTGGAGAAGAACTACATACTTTGCTGTTGGGAAACCTAGAAACTCATTTGGTAGAAACAGGCTTCTTCCCCATCATTATGTACTCTAACTAGAACATGCCACATGGAACATGATTATATTGATAGATGCAGAATAGCCTGTGACAAAATATAGCACTCATCAGTGCTAAAAACCATACAAAACATTGTCATAGAAGGGCTATATTTTATTTTAATAAAAATCACATATCTCAAATCAAAAGCTAGCATTCATTATTTGCAATGAGGAAATACTAGAATTTCTTTCAATAGATGCAGAAATAAATCAAGAATGTTGATATTTCTCTCTGTGTATGTATGTATGCATGCATATATACACATATGTGTGTATAGATGTGTGTATATGTAAAAATTAAGGATATAACCATTTACAAAGAGACAAAACTATCCCTATTTGAGAATTACATGATGGTTTATTTATAAAACCCTAGACAATCAGCAAAGAAACTAATTGAAACAATAGCTTCAGGAAAAGCATGAAATACAAAATAAATTCACAAAAATCATCACCATTTCTATCTAGCAGAACAAAATATAGGAAAAAATAAAGGGAAATCTCATTCAAAATAGCTTTAAAATGACTAAAATACCCAAGAGTCAATCTGCTAAGAAAGAAACACTCAAGACTCAAGACACACTCAAATACAATTTTAAAAAATATTCCTTCAAGAAAAAAGAATACGGGGGCAGCTAGGTGGCGCAGTGGATAGAGCACCGGTCCTGAAGTCAGGAGGACCTGAGTTCAAATCCGGCCTCAGACCAAACACTTGACACTTACTAGCTGTGTGACCCTGGGCAAGGCACTTAACCCCAATTGCCTAAAAGCAAAAAAAAAGAAAGAAAAAAGCATACCTTAAATGCTTGGAGTGATGTTCATTGCTCATAGTTGGAGATGATACCATAATAAATAGTATCAGATGTAGTTCTATAATAACCAATCTACAAAGGAAATAATTTTTTGATCATTTTAAGGAGAGGGAAAGAGAGGGGGAGATGGGGAGAGAAAGAGAGAGAATGGATATGAACATGAGGCAATATGGTACAATGGAAGAGGATTGGTCTTGGGATCAAGAAGACTTGTATTCAAATCTTGTCTCACACATATTAGCTCTTTGACCATGGATAAGTCACTTGACTTTTCAGTACCCCAGGCAATTGTCTAAGACTACAAGGGATAAACCAGTTACTATACTTCATTGATAGAAAGAGGAAGCCTTCCCAACCCCTCTTAATTCCAATGCATTCCCTCTGTTAATTATTTCCAATTTTCTTGGATATAGTTTACTTTGTATATATTTGTTTGCATGTTGTCTCCTCATTAGACTGTAAGTTCTTTGAGGACAGGGACTGTCTTTTGCCTCTTTTCGTATCCCTAGCACTTAGCCTGACACATGGTAGGCACATAATAAATGTCTATTGAATGAGTTTACATACTGAAATTCCCCTTTAAGGATAAAGTCATATATGTAACCCGCCCCCCTCCAAAAAAAATCCAAAAGTTGAATAACTAAAATATCACAAGATTTCACAGTCTAGAAAGGACTTTAGTTATCGAGTTCAATCACCTCATTACTTCATCACATAGATGGGAAACTGAGTTCTCAAGAAGGCATGTGATTTGCCCAGGTCACATAGTTAGCAAGTGGCAGAATTAGAATTTGAAGCCAAATCCTCCAGTGTTCTTTGCACTGTAATATGCACTTCTAAGGTATGTTTGTGTAATTAGTAATGATAATAATGGTAGCTAATGTTAATATAGCACCTACTATGTGCCAGGCGCTATGCTAATGTTTTACAATTATCTCATTTGATCCTAACCATTGCCCTGGAAGTTAGGTGCCATTATTATCCCCATTTACAAATGAGAAAACTGAGACAGATTAAGTAACTTGCCCAGGGTCACACAGCTAGTAAGTGTCTGAGACTGGATTTGAACTGAAGTCTTCCTGACTTCCAGACTTGGAGCTCTATCCGCTGAGTGACCGACCTAGTTGCTTATACATATACGTATTCATATACATATACATATATATATGTATATGAGCAGTATTTAAAGGAATAAGATCCTAAACATGGGCATCTGCTCCATCATTGCTTACAGGTGCAATTACTTTTGGTGGAGAGTCTACTATCTACCTCCTAGCCACCTTTTTAATTCCATCTCCAGACTGGCTAAATTAATTGCTCAACTAGCCTCATAATTTCCCTTAAAGATAATGTGATTTTTCAGCTTGAGTCACTTTTAGAGGTCTTAATTAAAGGGCCAGAACATTTTCATTTGGCAAATATTTTAAAACATTTTGAATACAATTAAAAAATAATAATCATAGCAACTAATTTTTGATAGAACAATATTTTCTCTGCGATTGTTAATGGTGGAATTTCAGGTATATGTGTATGTATACTTACATGTGTGTATACTTATGTGCATGCATATACATATGTATATAGACATATACCCTCAAATACACACACACACACACACACACACACACACACACACACACGTGTTTATACGCCAGGGTAGAGAGGAATTTTTCTTAATATATATCAAATTAGATCAGATTGATATCTATCCTCTCCATATATATGTAATGCCAACCCTTATGCTAAATCAAGATAGACGAAGTGAAAGCATTGAAATGATAAGGAAAATGTTCAGGCTCACCATGATATGCTTTAATTTAGTGACCAACCTAAGAGAGTACCTTAAGGATCAAAGAAATCCAAATTCTAACAAGGAGTAAAGGGTGAGGTTTCCAACAATATACAAAAAGGAGCTTCTTCGTATATAGCCCTGTACTAGGTGCTGGGGGAAATAAAAATTTTAGATGAAACATAGTCCTTACCCTCAAGGAGTTTACACTATAATTCTGCCCAATGAGAAAAGAAAACAACCTTTAAAATGTTTTCTTATTGAAAATAAAAGGAAATTCGAAAAGATAGGTTTTTCATTCTTCTGAGATTAAATTCAAAGTTACCTATTTAGCAAATATGCCAATTTGTAGATTGCTTTGAATGATTATGAAGCTGCCGGCATAATGGAGAAAGAGCTGGCCTTTGAGCCAAGAAGACCTGGGTTCAAGTCTTGCTTTCTGGCACTGGCAAGCCAATTAACTTTTTAGTGTTCTAGGCCAGTGGTGTCAAAATCAAAGAGAAACATATTGACTTAGAATTGTCTGTATTGTATTGTATTTTTATTTATTTTGTTAAATACTTCCCAATTATGTTTTAATCTGGTTTGGGCCATCCTCCAGAGTAAGTGGCCTGGTGACCTCCATTTTGACGGCTCTGTGCTAAGCAACTCTCAGACTCTTAAGTTACAGAGAAGCAGCAACCTGCATTGGTAGGAGGAGTTTCCCACGCCAATAAAATCACAAGACTAATCCCTAGCCTTTTAATGATTGTAGGAAAAAAATTAATTCTATATAGCTACAATTAACATTTATAAAACTTTCAACTCTGGGGATTTTGTCAGGAAGGCAGGTGATTGGAAAGCAAGATCGTGGGGCTGAGACTCAAGAATCTGGGTCTACCACTTCCTTACTGAAAAAAGAGGGCAAATAATTTAAACTTTTCAAGTCTCATTTTAATGCATTTTTGTTTGTTTGTTTTTTACTGAGGCAATTGGGGTTAAGTGACTTGCCCAGAATCACGCAGCTGGGAAGTATTATGTGTCTGAGGCTGGATTTGAACTCAGGCCCTCCTGACCCCAGGGCCAGTGTTCTATCCACCATGCCACCTAGCTGCCCCGTATTTTTTAAATAATGGTATTAGATTAGATGATTTCTAAGTTTCCTTTGGAACTGTACCAGCAGTGGTCATTAGTCCACTTTCCTTTGGCACTGCTAGGCCTTCTTTTTAAAAAAATTTTAGTATTTTATTTTTCAACACCTACATGTAAAAATAACTTTTAACATTTTAAAAAAAATTTTGAGTTCCAAATTCTCTCCTTCCTTCCCTCCCATCCCTTCTCCTTGAGAAGGCAAGCAATTTGGTATAGATTATACATGTGTAATCATGCAAAACATATTTCCACATTAATCATGTTGTAAAAGAAAACATAGACCAAAAAAAAAAAAAGGAAAACAAGTATGCCTTAATCTTATTCAGACTCCATCAGTTCTTTCTCTGGGGATGGATAGCATTTTTCATCATAAGTCCTTCAGAATCGTTTTGGATCATTGTATTGCTGAGAATAGCTAAGTCATTCACTGTTGGTCATCTTACAATATTGCTGTTACTATATACAAGGTTCTCCTGGTTCTACTCATTTCACTTTGCATCAGTTTATAAAAGTCTTCCCAGGTTTTTCTGAAACCATCCTACTCATCATTTCATATAGCACAATAGTATTCCATCACAATTATATACTACAACTTGTTCAGCCATTCCCCAATTGATGGGCGTCCCCTCGATTTCCAATTCTTAGCCACCAGAAAAGAACTGCTATAAATATTTTTGTACATTAAGGTACATCCTTTAGGATAGGTCCTTTTCCTTTTTGTTTTTTATCTCTTTTGGGATACATACCTACTACTGAGCCTTTTTCATGTATTGTTTTCATCCTGCCCCGTCACAGACTCAGAGAGAACCACAGCTCTGGCCTGAAGAGACCTCAGAGATAATTGGATTTAAACCCCTCATTTTACAGATGAGGAAACAGAGGCTCAAAAGATTAAGTGACTTGCACAACGCTCATGCAACTTGTGTCAAAGGTGGATTTGGACTGGAGTACTTTAACTCCAAATCCATCATTCTTTCTACTCTGTCACATTGACAGTCCTAAAGCAGGAGTTGTATATTGTGACTAAAGTCACAATTGAATTGAATGTTTAATTATCATTAGCTACTTTAGGGGCTTTGCCAGAAGTAAAGGGAAACAGTTTTCTCAGGATCCAGATGTCATTTGGGTGAATCCTGTGATAAAGCAAAAAACTACTTTCATTATGAAAGAGCTTTGTTCACAGTGTATCCATTAACAGAAGTATTGTTGAGGATTATTGTTGGTCAGTCATTTCTCAGTCACTTCAAACTCTTCATGACCCCATTTGGGGTTTTCTGGGCAAAGGTACTGGAGTGGTTTGCCATTTCCTTCTCCAGCTCATTTTACAGATATAGAAACATAGACAAGAAAGGTTAAGTGACTTGCCCAAGGTCCCCCATTAACCAAAATATGCTACCTAAGATATGTTACTCCAGTGACACTGTTGAGTATAGAAGAATTGACCAAAAGATTATGTAAGTCTTCAACCAGGTAATGTGAAAATTATAAAACTAATTCAGATATTGAGATAATTAGGAATATTTACCTTCAAAATACTTTATGTGTATATTATAATTGCCTTACATGTATAAAAATAATATTGTAAGGTTCTCATGTACACCATTGCTATGTGGAAAATACTTGAAAGGAAAATGTGACGTGGGTTTTTGCCATTTCTATTCATTGTATAGAGTAATAAAAAGACTGTTTCAGTTATGTCCAACTCTTTGTGACCCCATTTGGAGTTTTCTTGGCAGAGATACTGGAATGGTTTGCCATGTCCTTTTCCAGCTCATTTTACAGATGAGAAACAAGGATCACACAGCTAATCAAAGTCTGAGGCCAGACTTAAACTCAGTTCTTTCTGACTCAAGGCTTAGTGCTTTATGCACTGTACCACCTAACTGCTCCTTAGAGTCTGAGGACCTACATTGAAATCTAGGCTTTGCTACTTAGAATTTGTGACTTTGGACAAATCACTTAACCCTTAAACTAGGCCTCAGTTTCCTCAGCTATAAAATTAGATGACTAAACTAGACAATCTTTAATGTCCCTTCCAATCTTAAATTAGTAGCATGCAGTCCTATGAACCAAAGGGCACTGAGGTTGCTCAGTATAGAATGCTGAGCCTGGAGTCAGGAAGACCTGAGTTCAAATCTGACCTCAGAGACTTACTAGCTGTGTGACCCTGGGCAAGTCACTTAACTCTGTTTGCCTCAGTTTCCTCATCTGTAAAATGAGCTAGAGAAGGAAATGGCAAACCACTCCAGTATCTTTGCCAAGAAAACCCCAGAAGGGGTCATGAGAAATTGACATGACTGAAACAACTAAAGAACAACTGTGAACCAAAGTTATTAATCAAATACATTTGTCATAATTATTTGTGGTCTTTAATGATGCTAATTTAGTGATAAATGTTATGAATTAGTTTTTTCATGTGTCTTTGACTAATGTTAAGTTTCACTGGCTACCAATATTAACAAGAGTTTGAAACTGAAGAGTATGTGATGAATTTTTAAAAGGCATTTCAGAAACAAACTGCTAAGAAAATATTCAATGCATTAAAAAGTTTTTCCACAAACAAAACCAATGCATCCAGGATTAAAAGGAAATCAGAAAGCTGGGCAAGACTTTTTACAGCAAGTATCTCTGATAAAGCCCTCATTACCCAAATATATGGAGAATGGAGTCAAATTTATAAGAATATAAGTCATTCCACAATTGATAAATGCTCAAAGGATATGAACAGGAAGTTTTTAGAGGAAGACATCAAAGCTATATATAGTCATATGAAAAAAATGTTCTAAATCACTATTGATTAGAGAAATGCAAATTAAAACAGCTCTGAGGTACCACCTCACCCTTATCAGGTTGGCTAATATAATAGAAAAGGAAAATGATAAATGCTGCAGGAGATGTGTAAAAATTGGGGCACAAATGTACTGTTGGTGAAGTTGCAAACTGATCCAACCATTTCTGAAGAGCAATTTGGAACTATGCCCAAAGGGTTATAAAACTGTGCATTCCCACAGAAGATTTAGCAGCTTCTACATTAAGGGACTGGAGGGCTTGGAATATAATATTCCAAAGGGCAAAGGAGATAGGATTACAGCCAAGAATCACCTACCCAGCAAAACTGAGCATAATCCTTTAGGGGAAAAAATGGATATTCAGTGAAATAGAGGACTTTCAAGTGTTCTTGGTGAAAAGTCCAGAGCTAAATAGAAAATTTGACTTTCAAATACAAGACTCAAGAGAAGCATGAAGAGGTAAGCAGGAAAGAGAAATTATAAGGGACTTTTTTTCGGGGGGGGGGCTAGGCAATGGGGTTAAGTAACTAGCCCAAGGTCACATAGCTAGTAAATGTTATGTGTCTAAGGCTGGATTTGAACTCAGGTCCTCCTGAATCCAGGGCTGGTGCGCCACCTAGCTGCCCCTATAAGGGACTTATTAAGGTTGAACTTTTTACATTCCTGCATGGAAAAATGATGTTTGTAACTCATGAGACCTTTGTCCTTATTAGGGTAGTTGGAGGGGAAAAAAAACTAAAAATAAATAAATTAATAAAACTGGGGGGAAAAAACTCCAAGAAAAATAAAGCAAGTATGTGGTTTCTCCTGAAAAAAAAAAAAACAAAAGAAATGATGAGCAGGTAGATTTCAGAAAAACCTGGAAAGACTTACATGAACTAATAAAGAATGAAGTGAGAGGGGCAGTTAGGTGGCCCGGTGGATTGAGCACTGGTGCTGGATTCAGGAAGACCTGAGTTCAAATCTGACCTCAGACGCATAATACTTACTAGCCGTGTGACCCTGGGCAAGTCATTTAACCCCATTGCCTAACCAAAAGAAAAAAAAAAAAGAATGAAGTGAGTAAAATCAAGATAACATTGTACCCAGTAATAGCAATATTGTGTGATGATCAACTCTGAATGATTTAGCTATTCTCAGCAATACAGTGATCCAATACAATTCCAAAGGACTCATAATGAAAAATGCTATCCACTTCCAAAGAAAGAACTGATGGAGTCTGAATGCAAATGAAAGCATACTATTTTTAACTCATTTTTTCTTGTTTTTTTGTTTTCTTTCATAGCATGTCTAATATGTAAAAATATTTTGCACAATTACACTTGTATAACCTATATCAAATTGCTTTACCATCTCAGGGAGGGAAGGCGGAGAGAGAGGAGAGAATTTGGAACTCAAAATTTTTAAATAACAAATGTTAATTGTTTTTGCATGCAATTGGGGACAAATAAATATTATTTTAAAAATAAATAAAGGGAAAAAAATGTTTAATGCTATTTATGCTTTGCAGTTGCCAGAAAATTTGCACAGGAATATGGCTTACTGCGTTTGTCAATAGGAGATGCCATGCGTATGATACTGACCAACCATCCAGAAACAGAGTTGGCACTTATGTTAAACTGGCATCTTCATAAAGGATTAACAGCACCTGATGAGCTGGCTATCCAGGCTTTAGAAATTGCTCTGATGGATATTGTGTGCAATACTGCAGGGTAGGCTTCCTGATATTAACATATACAATGTTGAAAAATGTTGAAAATATATCATGAGAATTTTTACAAGATGGATTGTGTTATATTGTATTATATTTTGATGAATCTCCATTGAAAGACAGTTTTTCAAAAGTTTTTAAACATCAAATAATTTAACTAATTTAAATCAATTATATTCTGAAAGGCTGTAAAACCAAGAATATACATTAAATTTAGTGCAAGAAGACTTTAATCTGCATTCTTATAACAATTGTGACAGAGTTTGTACTTTCGTCAGGCATGGAAAGTTGTTGTTTGAAATACTATTTGAAAATGCAGTGGGGGGGGGAGGTAAGTTCATTTACCCAAATTAGTGAGACTCAATTAAATCACTACAAGAATATGTACAAATTCAGCCCATTCTGTGAAGGCTGTTTCTCAGGAAAAAAGAAAAGAGGAAGGAGAAAGAGCTGAGGCCAGTATAAAGCCCAGTTCATTCATCTCAGCCAGACTGAAATGTCTGAGTACCACTGGTAGACTCAGGAGCAGATTTTTCAGCCCTATTCTTTAGAATACCATAGAATACCATATAGAATAATATAGTGACATAGCTAAGGTTCAGTATTTCTTGGATATTGTATTATCTCACAAATTCCTACAAAAGCCTGACCATCCAAATATAAATTAAATCCATATATGCACTTAATCTCTCATCACCCATCTTTTAACGGCCTCCATAAATTAATAACAAATATACAGTTCCATAGCATAGGTTTTGTTGAACTTGTAAGCAATATGGACTCTTGCAAAGTTCTCTTTTTTTCTATTTGAAGTTTCTCTTTTTATAGAGAAGAATTTGAATTAAGGAAAATTTTGCCATCAAGCAAGAACAAAAGACTAAGAAAGGCTCAAAACAGATCAATGTTTAGATTGTAGAACTTGGATTCATACTTAAATGGCTAAGTCAGGGGCTTTTACTCTGAGGTCTGTGAACTTGCTTTTTAAAAATATTTTAATAACTATTTCATTAAAGCTACTTTCCTTTGTAATCCTATAAATTTTATTCTGTGCGTTTTAAACCATTGTTATGATGGTGCTTAGGCTTCACCAGATGGCCAAAGGGGTTCATAACACATTTAAAAAAAAAAAAGGAGGTTAAGAAGCCCTAGACTGAATTTACATAAGGAAAATGCAGTAAAGCCTACTGTTATTTGCCCCAAGACATATTCCTTTTCTAACAGATATCTATGGGGCAATGAGATACATAAAGGAAATCCATGAACAGTAGTACCTCAGCAGTGTACCTTAGGTGGACCAATACAATGTAATGAAAAGGGGGAAAAAAACTACATAATTGGGAGAGGGAATATACTACTTATATTTAATATATTTTAGGACATGTCCACAATTAAACCACTTATTTATTTTATTTGCTTAAATGAAGTTGTAGGAGAACTTGGTATCTCTTTTCCTCACATGAAAGAAAATATATTGATAATAGATAAGAATCAATTATGAGAAGATTTACATAGCTAAGTTCCTCTTTAATAGGGTTGTAATTGATGGATACCCTGTCACAAGACATCAAGTGAACCTCTTGGAATCGAGAAGTATCATTCCTGTGATAATTTTTGAGTTACAAGTCCCTACAAAGGAGATTTTTAAGCGATCATTAATAGATAATAAAAATAATGAAAGGTAAGGTGGTCAATAATTATTTTTTTAAAGACTGGGTCTCCCTATCTTGCCCTATGTGCACTTGTAATTGAAGGGGCTACTCATGTGCCTGATACACTTTGAAAGGCATTACTTCTGGGGGCTCACCATATTAATATGAATGCCCAACAATGCAGATGCCTGATAGGTCTAATGCACTGAAGTTCAGAACTCCAAAGCTCAAGAGATCCACCAGCCTGAGAGCAGGAATTGAAACATGTACTACCTTGTGTGGCTCAGTGAAATTTAATGAAGAACTGAAAACAGTACTCCTAAAGTTCTGTTTTTAGCTCTACAAATAGATCAATCAATGATTTTGTGCAAGTTCATATAATAATAATAGCATGATATCATGCTTTAAAGTTTGCAAAGTACTTTACAAATAGCTCATTTGATCCTCTCAATAACTTGGAGAGATAGGTGCTATTATTATCCCCATTTTATAGATGAGGAAACTGAGGCAGACAGAGGTTAAGTGACTTGCCCAGAGTTACACAGCTAGTAAGTATCTGAGGCTGTATTTGAACTCAGGTTTTCCTGACTCCAAGTCCAGCACTCTTATTCTTTATGTCCCCTAGCTGCCTCCTAGCAATATAATTGTAATAAATATTAAATTTGTCACCTCTCTCCATGAAAGGGTAAATCAATGACAGTAGAGCTTTGAATGTGATAATGGAATAATATAAATACTCATAACTAGTGTTTATATTGCACTTTAAGGTTTGTAAAACACTTAACACATATTATCTTATTTAATCTTCATGAGAACTCTGGGAGGCTGGTGCTGTTATTATCTTAAACTGAGGCTGAAAAATGGCTTTAAACTGAGAAGTAATGGTGTGGTCCCAAGTACTTGTATTCACCCAAATTAAAATGCAATAGAATTAAAGATTGAATCAGAAGAAAAATGGTTGTCTCTAACAGTTGAGTTAGGGGATTAAGAACATATTCTTTGCACTTGCCCAGCATTATTTATTAAATAATACTGCATGATCCCATGAAAATATTTCATCCAAAATTAAAGTTTCCTTTTCTAACAGATATCTATGGGGCAATGAGATACATAAAGGAAATTAGTTTCCTTTGTAATCCTATAAATTTTATTCTGTGTGTATTAAACCATTGTTATGATGGTCCTTAGGCTTCACCAGACTGCCAAAGGGGTTCATAACTCATGTAATAAAAAAAAAAAGAGGTTAAGAAGCCCTAGACTGAATTTACATGTGATTTTAGCTATTTAAAATATTCATCTTCTGCACACATCAAATAAAGACAAACAAATATGTGCTTTGGATGATGATAATACTTAATAGAAATATTCTATGCTAGAAATGACTAGAATTGGCCAGTGAGATTCTCGTCTTTATGAGCCTTCACAGTGTGCTTTGCCTGACCCAGTCTTAACAAGGACTTGAATATGTGCAGGTATCTGGTTGGCTTTCCCTCTCTGGGTATAAAGATCTCCTGAGTTTGATAAGTTTACCTGTGTGGGGTTGTCCAGAATCCTCTTTCCAACTCACATTCATAACTGATGAATCAGGTACCCTAGAGCAAACATATCAATATGTGAGTTACAAGTTACATCTCCTCTGGGTTCTAAGGGCACCCTGAGGGGTTTGGGAACTCTTTCTCTAATGTGGGCTCAAGCCCCTGTTCCAGGGTGTTCTCAATTTCAATCACCAGTTACAGTCAGTATCACCTTTAAATCATCAATACTTTTAAGTGCCTAGCACTCCAATGTCATTTAATCAGTTAACTTAATTAGCCATTTACTGAGGTTTGGCAAGAACATAAGTTACAAAGCATTCCCTAGCCACCTCAATACCTGGAGACACATTCTTTATTACATCTGAGTCCTGGGTTTAAATCTGGCCTCAGACACTTATCAGCTGAGTGATCCTGGGCAAGTCACTTAACCCTGTTTGCCTCAGTTTCCTCATCTGTAAAATGAGCTGGAAAAAGAAATGGCAAATCACACCAGTATCCTTGCCAAGAAAACCCTAAATAGGCTCATGAAGAGTCAGATGTGACTGAAACAACTGAACAACAATAGAAATTAAGAAAGCCATGTTTTGTGGAAGATGGCAGAGTATCCTTGGTTGGTTGTTATCCTTCATTCTTGAAGAGGACTAAAATGACATCACTATGTTTGAATCAAGTTACAGTGTGGTCCACTGTAGCTGTTCAAACCAATACGAGCCTAGAATGCTCAACCACAGCTGAGGCACAAACAGTCCACATGAACATTTGGGGTGGATTCACTAAATTTGTGCGTCTCGAGTTTCTTCTGAGCTACCTCAGTTTGGCTTTGCTCATAGAGCACAGCACTTCTATTGATGAGGGCACACCTTGTTGGGAAGTCCTATGCCATATCTCCCATGTCATGCAATTCCAAAGTTCTTAAAAGAAACCTTATTAAGAGTGTCATTGTATTGCTTTTTCTGACTGCCTTATGAGCACTTCCCCTGTGTGAGTTCTCCATAAAATAGTCTTTTAAGGCAAGCATATGTTTGGCTTTTGAACAACCTGGCCAGTCTATGGGAGTTGTGCTCTCTGCAGTAGAGTTTGAATGCTTGGCAGTTTAGTTCGAGAAAGGACCTCAGTGTCTTATCTATCTTATCCTGCCAGGTGATCTTCAGAATCTTCCTAAGACAGTTCAAATGGCAGAGCATCCTAGAGACACGGAATATTGAAACTACAAGGCTCAATAAGCATTAAATTTACTTAGCTGTTAAATTAAATTTACATGGCTCTGAAATAGAATAAAATCATTGATTATGCTTTCTTATCTTCAAAACAATTGGTCTATGAAATTAAATGAAAGATGGAGTAGAATGACTAAATCTAAAATACAGGTTGCTTTTATTTGATTACTTACTGTTAAAATGTATGCTTTTTTGGAATTTATTTTTTGTGACAAAAATTTATTTTTATGGTGAAAATAGAAAAGTCTAATAGGTGACAAACACTCCTGATAATAGAAATAATATTTATCTAAATTATTTGAGAATATTCTGCAAAATGAGGAATTTAAAGTATAGAATAGTATATTAACTCAAGAAAGGACTGAGAGTGCAACTCCAATGGGCAGACCAGTTGTTCGAATACAAAATATACACTTGCCAAAAAGACTATTTTATGGAGAACTCACACAGGTCAAACGTTCACATGGTGGTCAGAAGAAGTGATGCAAGGACACTCTCTTAACAACTTTGGAATTGATTGTATGAAATGGAAGGCACTGGCACAGGACCACTCAGCTTGGCAGGCCCTCATCAGAAAAGGTGCTGTGCTCTAGAAGCAAAGCAGAATTGAGGTAGCTCAATAGAAATGAAAGATATGCAAATTTAGAGAAGACACCCCAAAGGTCCACAAGGACTCTTTGTGCCCAACCTGTAGTAGAGCATTCCAAGCTCAAACTGGTCTGATCAGCCACAGTCATAAACACTAAAACTTGACTCTGGTATAGTGATGTCATTTTGATCCCCTTGGAAAACGAAGGACAACAGCAGTCTATTGACATTGAAATCAAGCTCATTTACACAATTGTCATCTTCAGACTTGGTTTCAGGAAAATATATTGAACAACATTTTTTTCTCTTTCTTTCTTAACTTTCTTTAGTTTACCTTATCCACTACATAACAGCTCACAGATTTTGTCTATCAAGAACTCATGTCTAAACAAGCACAGAATTGTTATTAAGGAATTCTATGAGGTAGAACATCAGAACTGGTGTGTAATTGATGGATTTCACAGCAAATGGTGGGTGTGGGATAAAATGCTTGAGAGTGTTCAGATGATGAATACACGGATCCAGCTCTATTTGGAAAGGATAAGAGCAGGTAAGAAAACAGTGTTGCTCTTAGAATAAATTTCTGCTTCTTACATATATATTTTACACATTTATTTCAAGAATGTTAACAAATCTTTTAAATACATTGTGTTCATAGGATATATCTATAATCAATCGTTCATACAAGAAGGACTTACTAAGTCTTAACTGTGTGCTTAGAGCTTTATAAAATCTAAAGTACTATGTTGTATAGTGACAGGATGATTAGCATTATTGAAGGTTGAGAACTGAATAAAGATAAATGAGAAGGAAAAAAAAGAATTTAAACATTTGTGTTATCTAACCAGCGGTGGGGAACATGTGGCCCTTTAGGTCCTCAACTTCAGAGAACAGATTCCCTAAATAAAAGGATTTCTTCTGTAAAACTTGGACTCGGTCAAAATGCGGCACCCAAGGACCTAGAAGGCCACAGGCTCCCCACCCCTGATCTACTCTTTCCTGGGCTATCACTGCAGCAAAGGAAAAATTTTACTCCTCTCTGACTAGTTGTCCATCTCATTCCCCATGCAGAGGTTGTTTCAAGCCTTCTCTTCTCTCCTCCAACCTCCCATACCAGCTCTTCCCCAAACCGTCTTAGCTGAGGATCTTGTATCATACTCTACTGAGAAAATAGAGGCCATTTGTCATGAGCTCCGTCCTCCCTCTTCTTTTTTATTTCAGAACCCCTTGGCATTGTTCTCTTTTCCATTTTGTTGTTCAATATTTCATATCCAACTCTTTGTGACCCCATTTTGGGGTTTTCTTGGCAAAGATTCTGGAGTGGTGTGCCATTTTCTTCTCCAGTCATTTTACAGATGAGGAAACTGAGGCAAACAGGATTAAGTGACTTGCCCAGGGTCACACAGCTAGTAAATGTCTGAGTCCAGATTTGAGCTCGTGAAGATCAGTCTTTCTGATTCCAAGCCCAGTACTCTATTCACTGCGCCACCTAGCTGCCCTTCTTTTCTGTTAGTCTAGTCTTTGATGGAGAAATGAGCCTTCTCTTACCCAAGTGCGGCTCCTCATTTTGTACTCTTCACCCTTTCCCTTCCTGTGTGGTGGCTTTTTTTTTCCCCCCAGAAGATTTCACTCTCATCATCTTCTTCTCTCTTTCCATATCTCTCTTCTCTGGCTCTGGCTCTATCTGTCACATGCAAGGACAGACAGACACACAGACACAAACACACACACACACACACACACACACACACACACACACACACACCCCTCAAATTTCCCCTTATCTACTGGCTCCTCTGCTGCCTACACTTTCCCAATTCTTAAAAATGTTCACTAGACCCTACCAGACCCCAAATGTCATTCTATATCTCCTTATGTTCCTCCTCCATTTTTTAGCCAAATTCCTAGAAAAAGCTTCTACATCTATTGTTTTCACCTCCTCTTTCCTCACTCATTTCTCAACCCTGTGCCATCTGGCTTCTGACCTCATTACCCAACTGAAAGTACTTTCTCTAAAGTTACCATTGTTCTCATAATTGCCAAATCTGATGGCCTTTTCTTTATCTTCATCCTTCTTGATCTCTCTGCAGCCTTTCACTGTTGAGACCTTTCTCCACCAGGATGTTCCTTCTTATTTGATTGACACTAGTCTCTTCTGAGTCTCCTACCTATTTGACCACTTCTTTTAGTCTCCTTTGCTAGGTCATCATCCATAGCTCATCCCCCAACTGTGGGTGTTCCCCAAGGCTTTATCTTTTCAATCCTCTTTTCCCTTTCTACACTCTCTTACTTGCTTTATCTCTCCAGCTACCCTGGATTTAATAACAATAGCTAGGCTGATAATTCATAGATCTATACATTCAACTCCATTCTGAGTTCCAATCCTACATCACCAACTGTCAATTGGGCATTTCCAACTATCTTAAATTCAACATATCCAAAATAGAACTCATTGTGTTTCTTCCCAAACCCAAGTCTCTTCTGAATTTCACAGTTTCTCTCAAGGCATCACCATCCTTCTAATCTCCCAGGTTAACTTCTTAGTGTTATTATTGATTCCTCACTCTGCCTCAACCCACATACCCAGATCATCTGCCAAATCTTGTCCTTTCAACCTCCACGATATTTTACATCCATCCACTTCTCTCCATTCATGTAAGTCACCAGCCTAGTTCAGGCTCTCATCACATCTTGTCCAAACCATTGTACTAGCCTTTTCATTGGTCTCCCTCCCTCCAGTCCTCACCCTCTCAATTCTATCCTTCACACGGCTGCTGAAGCAATTTTCCTTATTGTCTAACTATATCTCTTCCCCACTAAATAAATCTCCAGCTTCTCTTTACTACTTCTAAAATTAAAAATTTTAAATTAGATATAAAAGCTTTTAAAAGAGGGTAGTTTTGAATAAGGAAAAATTCAAGGCAGGGAGACCAAATAGAAGGCCATTTGCAATAGTTCAGGTGAGAGAGAGGTGATGGTGGCTTGAACAAGGGCGTGACTGTGTGAATAGTGAGGAGAAGGGACAGATGCAAGAGACGTTATGGAGACAGAGACAACAAAATTTGGAAACTGAGCAGATACATGAAGCAAGGAAGAGTGAGGAATCAAAGATGAAACTAAGGTTGTGAACCTTGATGATTGGAAGGATGGTGGCATCCATAGGGAAGTTCAACAGGTTGAGTTTGAGATGTCTATTTCAACATGCAGTTGGGAATGTCCAGCAGGCAGTTGGTGATGAAGGAAAGACTAGGATTGGATATATAACTCTGGAAATCATATGCATAGAGATGATAATTGAACTCATGGGAACTACTGTGATCAACAATCACAGTAGTACAGAGGGAGAAAAGAAGAGGGCCTAGGACAGACCCTTGGGAGATACCTATGGTTAGTGGGAGTGAACTGATTGATGACCAACAAAGGTGACTGAGGAATAACCAGACAGGTAAGAGAGAAACCAGGATAGAGTAGTGTCACAAAAACCTAGAGAGAAGTGAGTATCCAGAAGAAGAGTGATCAATAGTGTGAAAAGCTGAAGAAAAGTCAAGAAGGATGAGGACTGAAAAAGGATTTGGCAATTGACAGATCATTGGTAACTGTGGAAAGAGCAATCTAAGTTAAGTGGTGAAGTCAGAAGCCAGAGCTCAAAGGGTTGAGAAGTGAGAGGGAGAGAAAGTAGTGGTAGTAAGTGTAAACAGCTTAGGACTTTGACTAAGAAATGTAGGGGAACCTAGCCTAGCCCTCCATTGTCTTACCTCCCTATAGCCCCCTCCTTCGCCCCCCTCCCCTCCCACTTCCCACCCTTAATCCTATCTAGGCTCCATTCTCCCTTGGTCCCTGGCATTCTGTTCACCCCAGCCTTCTGGCTCCTCCCATCCAGATTCTCCTTAGAACCTTCCTCCAGTCACCTCAGACTACTTGGCCACTCCTAGACCCCTCCCATGGTCTTTCTGTATATAAGGTCCATCTGGCTTCCATTAAGGTGCTCAGATTCTTAAGATCTGGCCTGCTTACATTAGTCATACAAATGCTTAGATTCCTTAAGAGTCTGGCCAACATTTCAGATTCTTTAATAAACCTTGTCTTTGGCTGGAAAAAAAAAAGGAACATAGGAGAGATGTAGGAAGATATTTTGAAGCTTTGGCTGAGTCCAGTTTGGTCTTCTTAAGAGTAGGGGAGGCTTGAGCAGGTTTAGGCATCAAGGAAGTAACAAGGAGCTAGGGAGAGATTAGGGAGAGGAGGAAGTAGGAAAAATACGTCAATTCTTCAGTCAGAGGATCTGGGTTAAAATCCTGCCTCTCATGCCTACTTCCTGTGTGATCTTAGGCAAGTCACTTCCCATCCTTGAGCCTTAGTTTTCTCAACTTTAAAGTGAAGGAATTGGACTAGATGATCTCTGAAAATCCTCCCATTTCTGCTTCTGAATGAATGCTGGTATCCTGGGGCAAGCCGAAGTTCTCTGGAAATCTGTAAATTTCTCTGAAAATTGGCCAAGCCAATGATTGAGGACCCAGGTGGGAAGTCCTTTAGCCTAGGATAGAAGTCAGAACTTCAGGCCAAGAGGGATTTATGTTTTATAGCTAGATTACAGGAAAGAAAAAGCTGGAAGGGTTGGGAAACAATTTGCAATCAGGGCAGAGGTCCAACTCAATGTAGAAGCCATTAAAACATACTGAAAGCACATAGTAAACATGCCCATGTCTGTACATAACACACACACACACACACACACATATATATATATATATATATATATATATATATGCACGCGCGTGCATATATATATATATATATATATATGCACGCGCGTGCATATACTCCTTTTGGGAAGAGGAGATGCCTCATTAAAGACAGAAATATAGCTATACCTCAGGTAAAACCCAAGCTCACAACTTCACTCATTAGGGATGATAGTAACTAGAAGGTTCAATGTAGATTCCATTCAGATAGAAGAAATCTTGCACTTAGAGAACCTATATGTATAAAATAAATTCTCCCGATGTATTACAAGCCTAGTTTTAATTTCCAAAACAATAAGCACAAAATCTTACTAATGAATAAGCTTGAATATTGCTTTGAAGGCCTTTGCTCAAGCAATGTGAACTATTCATTGTTGTATATTTGTTACAGATTGTTGTTGTATTTAGTTGTGAAAATAATGCTCAGCTTTTTCAAAACAAATGGGCACTTCAGAGGTGCCCTCTCATTTTGTGTCAAATGCACAAAACATTATATTCTTCCTCCAGAGTATTACTTAAATCTATCATTGTCATAAAACTACATAGAAAATATCAAAAACAAAAGCTTCTACAAAACTTACAGATAACTAAAATTTCTCTAGGGAAAATCCAGAAGTATTACTAATAGGATGAACCTAAGTATTCCTATCCATGAAATAGCAGTATCAAAAATGAATAAGATAGTTTAGGGATAGGGTTTTGATAAATTTTTGCCGATTTATAGTTTTCACAATGAATAATTATACAATAGAGTAACAGTTAATTAGTAGGAATGCTTCTGCATATTTTCATCATTAGCAAGATCATCAACATGAAAAATAGACATGTATTTAAATATAACTATTTCAACATAGCTCCCACAAACACAAACATAACAGAGCCTATTGAGTAGATGTTAGCCCTATGCCCCAAAACGAATGTTATAAAGTGCTTCTGCTCTAATTCTAAAAATGCTAGTATTTTTACATGTGAAAAAAAAAATCGTACAATGTAGAAAAAACATTGTAATTCATTAACAACAGGGAAAGCTGCAAGCATTAACAAGCTATGCATCACTCCTCAAGAGCTGATTTCTCGACTGGGAGAATTTGGACAGTATTGCCCTGTCAGTTTGGCAGAAAAGAGTGAACTGGTTGACTGCTCTCTAACCAGCTCCCTAGAATTTTCAGCTGAATTCAGAGGACACTATTATAAAATGGCTTCTAAAGTGGAACTGGATGTAAGTATACACCAAACTCAAGATCTTGATTCGTGTTTTCCTGTCGTGTACATGCCTGGTTTGTTTTGGGTTTGAGGTTTGTTTTTGATTTTGGTCTTGCGGTATTAGGGGATTTTTTTAAATGCCTGCCTCATTTCTGGTTTAATGGAACTCATTGTGAGTATTTGTTCCCTGATGGGGCTCAGTTCATCATCCCCAGGAAAAAAAAAACCTAGACATTCAAAGTGGGCTCAAGCCCTGGCTCTGCCCCATAATTACTAGCTACATGACCTTGGGCAAGTAATTTAACTCCTCTGAATATCAGTTTCTTCATTTGTAAAATAAGAATAATAATGCTTGCATTACTTACCTAAAAGGTATTTGTAAACAAAATATTTTGCAAACTATAAAACACTACATAAATATGAAATACCACTTTTTATTATTATTTTTTAAATTGAGAAACCAAAAGACATACATTGGTAGTCTGAAAGATAATCCAATATGTCTGAGCTCATTTTTTAATATATAAAGTGAATATATAGATATGTTGATATTCTCCTTAAGTAGACTTTATCTTGTCAGTCAGTCATCAGTCATTTAAGTGTTTATTAAGTGCTTATTACAGTCAATAAGCATTTTTTTTAGCATTTACTGTGTGCTAGGCACTGTGCTAAATAATGGATCTTGCCTATTTTAAGTGGCAGTCACAGAATAGGAAAGCTGGAAGAGTACCCCCCTCCTAGTTCCCCCTCATTTTAAAGATGAGGGCACAATAGCCCAGAGATATTAAATTACTGGCAAAATAAGTTAATCACAGGAGAGCCATAATCCAGAACCAGGTTCTAGGCTCTAAGTCCAGTATTGTTTCTGCTATTCCATGCCGCTACCCCATTTAATAGGGGAAATAGGGGAAGAAAGCTTAAGCTGGAATTAACTGAAATAGATGCTTCTTGAAGGAAGACTATTTGAGGTATAATGAATTGCTTGTGGTTTTGGGAAAATTAATTTCCATTGGAAACTAAGAGCAGTAACAAAAGAACCTCAAAGAGATGTTTAATTTACTTGGTATTTGTTATAAATATTTTCATATCACTAAATTTTTTTACTATAGAAATTCCTGGAAAACCCAGAAATATATGTGGCTCCATTAGCACCTAATCCTCTCCCGCCTCCAGAGCTATTACCCAAAAGGCTAACAGTGGCAGAAGTAAAGAACCAATTCCCTAAAAATGCAGAACTTCAGGGATATTGTCCAGTCACTTACCTGGATGGGAAACAGAGGTAAAACTATGAATTGCCCTGGCTACTAAATAATATGTTCACTCAGCACAAAAGGATTCTGCATAATAATAAACAACCTTAAACTATTGATCAAAAATTATTTTTTGGTTAAATTTTTATTTTTCTTCTATCATCACAAGTCAGGTTTTTCTTCTTACTATGTCCTCCCCTTATGCTTATTAAGAAAAAATGTAAAACAAACCCCTGTTACAAACATGTATAGTCATGTCCACAAATATATAAATATATGTGTGTGTGTGTGTGTGTGCGTGCGCGCATATATGTGTATGTGTATCTCAATCTTCATTTTGAGTCTATCACATTTCTGTCGGGGGGTGGGAAGCATTTTTCATCATGAGTCCTCTCGAATTGTGGCATTGGTCAAAGATATAAAGTATTTCAAAATTGATTGTCTTTTCAATAATGTTGTTATTGAATAAATTGTTCTCCTGGTTCTGCTTACTTCACTCTGCATCAGTTCATATATATCTCCCCAGGTTTCTCTGAAACCATCCCTTTCGTCATATCTTATAGCACAATAGTATTCCATCATATTCATATAACCATGACTTATTCATCTATTCCCCAGCTAAAAATTTCTAATTCATCATTTGGGAAAAAAATGTTTTGTTTCCAGCCTGTAAAGTTAGATGGATAGTAAAATAAGGTTGGCTATACCCTAAAGAAATCAAAGAAAGGAAGAAGTCCCACATAGATAAAGATATGTAGAACAGTTGTTTTTGTCATGGCAAAGTACTGGAAACTCAAATTGGCATCATTTGGGGAACAATTATGTAATATGAATATAATTAAACTTCACTGCTTCATAAGAAATAATGAAAAGGATGGTTTCAGAGTAACTTGGAAAGACTTGTATGAACTGATGGAGAGTGAAGTAAGGAGAAATAGAACAATTTATAAAATAAAAACATTGTAAAGACTACATAATGAATAAATTGATAAACTTTGATTAATTCAATGACCAACTGTGATTCCAAAGGATTGATAATAAATAATGCTACATACTACCTGACAGAGAGGTGATGGATTCAAAATGCAGAACATAATGTTTTTATATGACCAATGTAGAAATTTGTCTTGGTTGACTATGTATATTTCTTATAAGGATTTTTTTTTCATCAAGGTGGGGAAAGATGTGGAGAGAAAATAAAGGCTTGTTCATTGAAAGATAACTATGTATATGTTATATGTATATTCATTCAAATGAATGAATGTATATCTATTCTATATACTCACTCAGATTATTTGATAGATCATTGAACACCTAGAAATACGTGTGTGTGTGTGTGTGTGTGTGTGTGTGTGTGTGTATGACACACACATATCTTAAAGTAAAATAAATCCTGGCAAAGCTCCCGTGCCCAGCCTTAAGGGGATTGAGCCCATGGATAGTCTCTGCACTTCCAGCCTAGGAGAGATAGGGAGACCTGGTCTTTAAAAAATATTATTTTCTAATTAAAATTTTGAAACAAAATAATACACCCATTTAAATTTTGAATTACATATCAGTACAGTCAGTGAATTGGGTAATGAAGTGGCACAATGGATAGAACACCGGCCCTACAGTCAGAAGGAACTGAGTTTAAATCTGGCCTCAAACACTTAATGTGTGACCCTGGGCAAGTCATTTAACTCTGTTTGCCTCAGTTCCTTATCTGTAAAATGCGCTGGAAAAGGACTTGGCAAACCACTGCAGTATCTTTGCCAAGAAAATCCCAAATGGGGTCATGAAGAGTCAGACACAACAGAAACATCTCAACATTATACTCAGAGTCATTCTTTTTCTGCCTCTCAGATATGAAGCCCTAATTCCTGGAAACATTGAATATGCTTTAGAGTATCGTGAGCATATATACTTTTGTGAGAGTGAAGACAAACTGCAGAAATTTTTGAGGTAAGTTGGTGAATTCTTCACTTTTGTATTTTGCTTTTTTATCTGTGTGTTTATATATGTGGATAGACATACATACAGATATATGTAAGTAGAATATGAATATGTAGACAAGAGAGGGGGAAGTGAGCTATGCAATTGGCCTTGGGCATTTTATATTTGCAGGTTACCAGAGAAATACTGGAATCAGAAACTTCCAAACAAACTTCCTCCAATTAAGGGGCCAATATCACTTACCAGCCTTCCTTTGCCTGGATACCTGGAACAGGTATATTGTCATTTCCTGCTTTGTGTTTTGTATGTAGATAAAAATTAAGGCAATAGAAACCTGCAGGGTTCCATTTACTTTTCTTTAAATATAGTTTTCATTTCAGTGGGTCATTCAGATTATTTAATGGATCAATGAACTCATCAGTTTGGGTCCTCCCACTATTATTGGGTGATGTTAATGGAAAGAGCATTGGATTTGGAATTGGATAGCTTAGGTTTGAATCCCAAATTTTTAACTCCTTGTGTGACTTTAGAAAAGTCCCTTCACCTCTCTGGGCCTCAGTTTACTCTTATATAAAAAATGAGGGGTTGGAGTGGATTAGCCGTTTACCTTTTTTTTGCATAATGCATCCCTTTGGCTATTTAGTGAAACCTCTGGACCCTCTCTCAGAGTAATAATTTTAAATGCCTTAAATAAAATACATAGTATTATAAAGGAAACCAATTATATTAAAGTACAGTTGTAAAAATATTTTAAAATAACCAATTCACAGACCCCCAAGTTAAGAATCTGTAGACTAGACAATGTCTAAGGTCCTTCCAGTTCCTTGATCCTTGAGCTTACATTCCCTCCATATCACAAATAAATTAAGATTTAAACCTAAAATCTTAATTAATATCTTTAATTTTGTCACTGAAATTTCAGTCCTTGGAAAGCATTAAGTCCAATGGCAAATGAAATTAAAGACTCACTCCTCAGTATAAAGGTTGAAGTTTATCTTTTTTTTTTTTGCAGGGATGGGGGAGGGGGCGCCAAGGCAGTTGAGGTTAAGTGACTTGCCCAGGGTCACACAGGTAGCAAATGTCAAGTGTCTGAGGACAGATTTGAACATAGGTCCTCCTGACTCTAGGGCTGATGCTTTATCCATATCCTTTGTTTCATCAAAGTATTATAATTGTGGCAAACTTATGAGACTTTGGTAAGAGTAAGATTGAAAAGACCTCCTTAAAGATACCCAGAGGAGGTGAAGTCTAGATAATGGGATAAAAAGAATCTGTATAGCTTAGCTCCCCACTGACCCTTCTCCACAACAATCTAGAAAATGCACCAGACTGAATTCTGACTTGGGAAGCCAAAAAAAAAAAAAGTCACAGTGAGTCATTTTTCTAGCCATGGGCAGCTTAAGGAGACAGAGAGACCTGTAAATACAAGAGACAGGGTCAGGCCAGGAGCAGCCCAGAGCATTCCAGCAATCAAGGAGTGAAAGAGGACCAAGACAGGGCACCAGAGCAAGGTGCACCAGGGCAGAAAGAGATGCCAGGGTGTCCCTGAACTAGCACTGGGTACAGGACAGGCTGCAGCCTGACGGCTCTGTCTTCCACTTTCTGGGCCACGATTCCAGGTCACATACCTAAGGCAGAGAGGAGCAGTTTCAAGCATAGGCTGTAGTTGTGTATTGAGGAAGGAACAAAGTCCAGAGACAGAGGCTGTGTGGCTCTTATCCCAGGACCAGATCAGAGATTAAGTCTAGCCTTGAGCCCCACATGTAAGCTTGCAGGAGTCCCAGACCGAAGAAGAGCTGGGAGTTCAATCATTCTGAACCTGCAGAGCCTCCTAGGGACTAAAAGTGACCCAAGTCCAGCAACAATGTACTAAAACTCCCAACCAAGCTGACAGATACAAAACGAGGTCAGGAACTTGAAGAGCGACCAGGAAGACAATGAAAAAACCCCATCCTGGATCACACCACTTTTAGGAGCACTGAAAGCTTGCAGGCCTCCCAGCCTGAGCTGGGAAAGCAGCAGAAATCCATAAAAAAACAGAAGCTCAGGTCAGACATCTCCCCAAAAGAGCAGAGAGCCCAGCACTAATATAAAGTCAAAAGGCAAAAGTAGGTTGGAAGAATCATCAAACAAGCAAACAAAAAAATCCCACCATAAAATTTGATTTTATTCTATTTTCATTTCCCAATTCTCTCCTCCCATCATACATCTGTTGAGAGGACAAGAAAAACAAAAATCTGTTATAAATATGCATAGTCATGCAAAACAAATTTTCCCCCTTACCAATGATCAAAAAAAGGAAAGGTGGAAGGAAGGAAGAAAGAAGGAAGGAAGGAAGGAAGGAAGGAAAGAAGGAAGGAAGGAAGGAAGGAAGGAAGGAAGGAAGGAAGGAAGGAAGGAAGGAAGGAAGGAAGGAAGGAAGAGGAGGGGAGCAGAGAAGGAAGGGGAAGGAAAGAAAAGAAAGAGAGAGAGAGAGAAAGAGAGAGAGAGAGAGAGAGAAAGAGAGAGAGAGAGAGAAAGAAAGAAGAAAGAAAGAAAGAAAGAAAGAAAGAAAGAAAGAAAGAAAGAAAGAAAGAAAGAAAGAAAGAAAGAAAGAAGAGAGAGAGAGAGGAAAAGTGTTTCAACTTGCATTTGAATCCATCAACTCTATCTGGATGTAGATAACATGTTTCATTATGAATTCTTAGTAATTGTGGTTAGTCATTATGTTGATCTGAGTTAGTCTTTCGAAGTTGATTATCTTTACAATATTGCTGTTTATAAATTGTTTTCCTGGTACTGCTCACTTCACTTTGCAGTTCTTCCCAGTTTCTCCAGAAACCATCCCCTTCATCATTTCTTATACCACAATAGTATTCCATCAAATTCGTATACCATAACTTGTTCAGACATTCCCCAATTAATGGGCATCCCCTCAGTTTCCAATTCTTTGCTACCACAGAAAAAGCTGCTATAAATATTTTTGTGCGTATGAGTGCTTTTCCTCTTTCTCTGATCTCTTTGGGGGCATAGGCCTAGTAGTAGCATTATCTCTGGGTTAAAGGGAATATACAATTTAATAGCTTTTTGGGCATGGTTCCAAATTGCTTTCTAGAATAGTTGGACCAATTCACAGTTGCACCAACAGTTCATTAAAGTACCTATTCTTCCTCCAGCACTTGTTATTTTTTTTCCTTCTTAGCCAAAGACTTAGTAACTGATCAATATACTGACCAAACACAGTTCCTAAGGACTCTTTCTTTCTTCCTCTCTTTCTTTTTTGGAACATGGATAATAGGGAAATTTGTTTGGCATGACTATGTATCTTCATAATGGGTCTTATTTTTCTTGACTTTCAGGAAGAAGGAAGAGAGTTCAAAATTGAAAATAAAATAAAATTGAGTGTTAAAAAATAAATAAAAATAAAAGTTGCAAAAAAGCTACCTTTCATCAGTGTTAGAAGTTCCTCAAGGGCAGCTACCCCCATCAGTGAAAATGCAGATTAAAAATAAAAATGCTTAAGTAAGGATAATGACTGGACCTGTGATGGCACTGATACAGGGAACTCCCAGATGAGGAAACCTCCTCTACCAATATAAGCAGACACCTTCTCTGCAATTTACAGTGTTAGAGAGTTGCTTAGAGCACTCAGTGGCTAAGTGACTTGCCCCAAGTCATGCAACCGGTATAGGTTAAAGGAGAGACTTGAATTCACATTTTCCTGCTCTACATACAGCCAGTTGTCTATCCCCATACCAGGACAACACTTAATTAAACATATTTTATGTCTCTATCATGATAGCTTATTGATCTTCTTAATAATGACTCCTATACTCTGCAGATGAGTAGAGAATAGGTGTTTTTCTCTCCTTTAACCATAAGAATAATAAAGAAACTATCTTCAATTACTCAACCATGTAGCCATCTCTGCTTCCCCTCTACAGGGTGCAGCAACTTCTCTAATTAAAGCCATGAATGAAGTAGGCTGCTTAAAGCCCAAATTTCCCTTCCAAAGTATAAAGAGATCTGCCTTACTCTACATAGCATTTCATCTAAAAGGTAAGTGTTTGTGTTGGAACCCTCAAAATAAAATAAATTACCTAACATCATTGTGTAGTGGGGTATATAAGATGCCTAGAAACATAAAATTTCAGACATGGCCTCAGAGACCATCTAGTCCTGCTTCTCCTGGAAAAAGCATTCCCCTCCTCCACTCCCATCCCATAACATCTCCCATAAGCAGTAATCCAGGCTCAGCTTGCAAATCCCCCAAGAAGAGGAACTCCCTGCCTCCTGCAGCAGCCTATGCCACTTGGGGATTGTTAGGAAGTTTCTCACACCTAAATTTGCCTTTTTTCCATTTCTACCCATTGCTCCTAATTCTGGTCCCTCTGGGGGACCTTTGGCCTCTGGGGCCAAACAGATTAAAACTTATATCTTTTCGACTTAATTGACTTTCATATTTATTAAGGCTGTTGTCATGGTTGTAAAACTAGTAAGGTGGAAATCTGGAACAGGAACCTGGATCTGCTGGTTTGAGATCCATGGGTTTTTCCAACTACACCAATTATGTTTTGCTGTATCTGAGGTAGCCTGGAGTCAGGAAGACCTGAGTTCAAATGTGACCTTAGATATATACTAGCTCTATGACCCTGGCAACTCACTTAACCTCTGGTTGCCTTAGTTTCCTCGGCTGTAAAATAGGGATAATAATATCACCTCCCTCATGGGGTTGTTGTAAGGATCAAATGAGATAATACTTTTAAAAAGTGCTTAGCACAGAACCAGGCACATAGTAGGCATATAGAAATGCTTATTCCCTCCCCTTTCCCTTTTCTCTCCTTCAACTTTTATATTAAACTTGTAACCACATCTTATTAATTCCACTAAAATCACTGGATCTTTTTTAAACAAACTGCTATCTAACCATGCTTCCTCCATCTTGTACTTATAAAGTTGGTTTCTCAAATCCAAGTATAAGACATTATGTTTATCCCCATTAAATATCATCTTAGGAGGTTCAGTTCAGATGACATGATGATATACTTAGAGAATCCTAGAGAATCAAGTAAAAAACTACTTGAAATAATAAACAACTTTAGCAAAGTTGCAGGCTATAAAATAAACCCACATAAATCATCAGCATTTCTATATATTACCAACAAAGCCCAACAGCAAGAGATAGAAAGAGAAATCCCATTTAAACTTACTGTAGACATTATAAAATATTTAGGAGTCTACCTCCCAAAACAAACCCAGGAACTCTATGAACACAGTTACAAAACACTTTTCACACAAATAAAATCAGATCTCAATAATTGGAAAAATATCAGTGGCTCATGGGTAGGCCGAGCTAATATAATAAAAATGACAATCCTACCTAAGCTAATTTACTTATTCAGTGCCATACCAATCAAACTACCAAAAAATTATTTTATAGAGTTAGAAAAAATAATAACAAGATTCATTTGGAAAAACAAAAGGTCCAGAATATCAAAGGAACTAATGAAAAGAAATGCAGGGGAAGGTGGCCTAGCAATTCCAGATCTTAAATTGTATTATAAAGCAGCAATTATCAAAACAGCTTGGTACTGGCTAAGAAATAGGGAGGTGGATCAATGGAATAGATTAAATATGCAAGACACAGTAGTCAATGACTACAGTAATCTATTATTTGATAAACCCAAAGACCCCAGCTTCTGGGATAAGAACCCACTCTTTGAAAAAAACTGCTGGGAAAACTGGAAAAGAGTATGGCAGAAACTAGGCATAGACCCAAATCTCACACCATATACCAAAATAAAGGAGGTTCAGACCAGTGTTCCATCTAGCCTGTCAATAGCATTTTGGATTCTGAGCCTATCATTAAATTAGAGCCACTTACCTTAGCAATTGGAATAAGGGCTGAGTTCAAGATAATATTGATCATTTTCTCCCATCCATTTTAATTCCTTTATTTACCCTGTATCCACGTAGGGAGGGGGAAAGGAAACCTACACACAAGATTTACATGTCCAAAGGAGATTTATTAAAGGATATTCTTTATAACCAGCTGGAGATGGAAGTGGAATGTTATAAACCTCCAAATCTACATCCAAATTGAGGCAATGGTATGACAGTTCCCTGGATTGGGGTGGTTTGGCAGCTTCAAAAATGGCTTCCCAACTCCTCCCTCCCCACTTTTTTTTTAAATAAGAAAAATCCCATCTCCGATGTGTGTTGCCGATGGGCCCTCCTTTTCAGGGGTTCCAGCATGATGATTGGTAGGGAACAAATTGTTTTCTTCTATCTCCAGCTCTGTGATTTGTGGTCTTTGAACATAGTCCCTGGTGGAGGAGGATGAAAATATAAGATTGAAATGTTTCCTGATTTACCTAAAGTCAGCTAACAGTGGGAATTTAGAGGATCTTATCCATGATATAAGCCATCAGGGCTCAAAGGGAGCCTTTGTGAAATTATAATTGGGAGGAGAAGAGATCTTTGCTGTTTTTAGGGGTAAAAGCAGCAAACAAGAAGAAATCAGCACAGGATCCAAGCCAATTAATAGGGGCATCAATATTCCCACTGCTTTCAGCCTGTGGCTGTACTTGAATTATTCTTATAGACTGGAATTTTTCTTAGTGAATCTGAACTCATATTCCATAGGAATATGGGAATAAACTGTCAATACCCAAAGATACTATTAAGGAAGAAAGGCCTCATTTATTAAGATAGTTATATCTAAACATATCATGTATTTATATAACTCTCTAGCAAGCAATATTGATTCATTCACATTCCTGAGAATGAGAAGAATGGCACTTAGACCTACAAAATTCTGAAAAGCAAACCCATACGCAATAAGAAGGGAGTATGGCACAAAAGAGACGGAACATTGTGGAAAGCATTGCAGCAGCTGAAGTTTTGTTCATTATACCGTAGTCATTCACTGTTTTACCTTTCCCTCCTACCTGAGTGCCATCAGCAGAGATGACAAATGTGTCATCTCTGCCTGTTCTTGTAGGTGACTTTCTGTGAAGAATTTTAGTTCAAAAAATTCTGCCTGTACTTCCTCTGTACCTTTTTAAGTCTGCTCTCCTAAAACCTAGATTGCATGTTAGACTGTGTCTAGTTTTCTTCTCCTTCTGCATCACAAATTCTAAGAAGGGAAAGAGTCACTTCCCCTCAAGGTTTGTATCATTTCCGTCCTAGCAACCACTTCTTCCCTATTTGGTGAGAATCAGATCAAGAATAGAATTTCCCTTTGTCGGTTCCTCCAACTTTTGAAGGATGAAATTATCATGAAGGCAAGTTAAAAAATGGCTAGCTGTTCCTTTTGGGGGACTTTCTGGAGTCTCAACGTCAGTTCTTCCTAAATTGTAATATCTCCCTGTGTGGTATCTAACTTGGTGTATCTACTAAGATATACACTTAGGCAGTTTTCTCCTTCCCCTGTCCTTTTTAATCTAAAGCAATTTTGATTTGATTTGCAAAACACCAAATAAATATATTATTTTTTATTAATTTATTTTGATTTATCAACAATCACTTTCATAAGCTTTTGAGTTTTAAATTTTTAAAATTTTCTCCCCATATTTTCACATTAGTGATGTTGTAAGGAAGAATTAGAACCAATAGGAGGAAGCATCAGAAAGAGGAAACAAAACAAAACAGAAGAAAAAAGAATAGCAAATAGTAGGCTTCCATCTGCATTCAAACTCCATAGTTCTTTCTTTGGATGTGGATAGCATTTTCTATCATGAGACCTTTGGAGATGTCTTAGATCCTTGCATTGCTGAGAAGGGCTAAGTCTTTCAATGTTAGTCATCACACAACGTGGCTGTTACTGTGTACAACTTTCTCCTGGTTCAGCTCACTTCGCTCAGCATCAGTCCATACAAGTCTTTCCAGGTTTTTCTGAAGTCCACCTGCTAATCATTTTTTATAGCACAATAGTATTCTATTATATTCATATACCACAACTGGGTCAGCCATTCCCCAATTAATGGGCATTTCCTCAATTTCTAATTCTTTGCAACCACAAAAAGAGCTGCTATAAATATTTTTGTACATGTGGGTCCTTTTCCCATTTGTATGATCTCTTTGGGATGCAGCCCTAGAAGTGCTATTACTGAGTCAAAGGGTATGCATATTTTTATAGCCCTTTGGGCATAGTTCCAAATTGTTCTCCAAAATGGTGAGACCGGAGAAGCTAGGTGGCGCAGTGGATAGAGCACCTGCCCTGGATTCATGGAGGACCTAAGTTCAAATCCGGCCTCAGACACATAACACTTACTAGCTGTGTGACCCTGGGCAAGTCACTTAACCCCATTGCCTAGCCCCCCCAAAAAAACAAAACACCACAAAACAAAATGGTTAGACCATTTCACAACTCCAACAATGCATTAGTTTTCCAATTTTCCCACATCTTCTCCAACATTTATCATTTTCCTGTTTTGTCATGTTGGCTAATCTGATAGGTGTGATATGGTACCTCAGAATTGTTTTGATTTGCTTTTCTCTCATCAATAGTGATTTAGAGCATTTTTTCATATGACTATAGATGGCTTTAATTTCTTCATCTGAGATCTGCGTGTTCATATCCTTTGACCACAAATAAATATATTCTTAATGGCATTTGGTAGGTCTCCTCTATGCCCAGCTACTGCTTAGCCTATGTTTTAAGCTGTGGTTCAGATATCTAAATCCTATTTTTAAATATCATATTATTAACCATATGTTCACTCACTGAGTCAGCTTTTTCCTTCTCCCTCCCTTGTCTTCAATGGGCAACAATGATGAAGATTACACCAACACACCACCATGGGCTTCAATTTCCTACATTGCATCAATTCCTTGGTGCTTTCTCGGTTCTTTCTGCCAGTATCAATTGTTACCATTTGAATCAACAAAAGAAGAATAGTAATCATCCTTTTTATTTTTTTAAATTTTTTTTTTTTAGGCAATTGGGGTTAAGGGACTTGCCCAGGGTCACACAGCTAGTAAGTATCAAGTGTTTGGTCTGAGGCCAGATTTGAAATTCAGGTCCTCCTGACTTCAGGTGATGCTCTATCCACTGTGCCACCTAGCTGCCCCAATAATCATCCTTTTTGACATATCTTGGGAGGTTATTTATTATGCCTTGAATACGTGCCCTGGAAAGTCACCAAACTTCAGCTCCTCTTAACAGGGAGGATTGTCTAATTATTATTTTTTGTTTTGTTTTGTGGAAGAATCATTATAGAGGCATTATGTTTGGGGTGGAGGGAGTAATAAATGTTTATATAGCACCTATTACCTGCCAAGCACTTTTTACAAATATCTCATTTAATCATTACAACTGTGGGTAGGTGCTATTGTTATTCCCATTTTGCAGTCGAGGAAACTGAGGCAAACAAGTTAGGGGACTTGCCTAAGGTTACATACTAATAAATATCTGAAGTCAGGTCTGCCTGACTTGAGGCCCAGCGCTTTATCCACTGTGGCAATAAATTGCCTGTATGGAACAGATCAACCTCCTCCGATGGACCAGAAAGGAAAAAAAGTATGCTATAGCATAAGAATCATTGATTTGAAGTCAGGAGAGATCTGGATTTGAATTCTGCCTCTGATACTTATATTTGTACTTATGGAACCATTGGCAAGTTACTTTTAACTCTCTGCATTTCTATTTCCCCATCTAAAGCATAGAGATGATAACACAAAAGGACCTGATTCACAAGGTTTTGTGAATCAAACAAATGACACAGTGTGCATAGTGTTTCTGCAAACCTTAAAGCACTATATAAGTAATGTCAACTATTATTATTATTAGAAGGAAGATTTAATTAAAATCACTATCACTGGTATTGCTGATTTTTTAAATATAATAATAAAAACTATATATAGTCAACTTTCAATTTTTCATACAAATGGGGACAAAGGAAAGGGTCACCAGTGCTTTGATAATCTAAAATAGTGGATAATCTAAGAATTGTTTATATTTCAAATGAATTATATACCTACATGTCTCAAACATCAGGTTCTCTTTTCAGTATCTTACATCATCAGCTTCACAGTAGATATTTATGTTTTTTGTTTACTTCCCTACAGCATTTAATCCTAAAGGTTCTGAATATTCACGGAAAAAATATAAGAAGAAGCTGGAGCAGTTTATAGAAAGATGTGAACTCATTCCTTACTTAGGTTCCAAGATGACCAGAAAATACAAGGAACCTCAATTTAGAGCTATTGACTTTGACCATAAATTACAGACCTTTTTCTCTCTTAAAAATATAAACCCAGTCATTGGTTAATTTTGTTTGACTACTCACAATGATGTATAGTTAGATAATCCTCCTATGGGAAAATCCCCATAATGAAGAATAGGAAAAGAAGAACAAATGCTACTATTCTCTATTTTTCAAGCTACCTTCTGGATGGCCTGTTAGAGTATTCAGATATAGTACCTGTCGGGGGCTTCTGTCCATCAGAAAGGAATATCTTCCTAAGCATAGGACTTCAAATCAAAGAAAGTATCTCTTTTTGGCTGAGTTTTGATGTTTTAACAAAAGAATAGTCCTGTAATAATATTACTTGCCAAAACATGCTTTAGAATGCTATTAAAAGTAACTACGTTTCTTTGCTTTATTAGTTTTTGTTCTTTAAAATAGGTTAACAGAGAAATTGAACAGCCTTTTTGATCATTAGAGAAAGATACTAATTGAATATATTGGGCAGCTACAAGCAAAAAATAAATAAATATAAGTAAAATAGGAATATTGGATGTATTCTCAATTTATGTGATTGTTTTAATAAGCAGAATGAACATAATGTTACCTTCAAACTTTGCCTACCTACATGTGAATATGGGGTGGTTTTTTTTACAATATAACTGTCTGCCTATTTTCTGATTTCTGATGTATATTTTTAAAGTACATTTTATGTAATTTAATTGACACAAAGATTGTAACCTGTTTTAAAAACTGATAGAATTTGAAGAGGAAAGCACTAGATCTTCATTTGTATGACTAAAGCAGGCAAAAATCTGAAACCTAAAGAAATTGGGTTGGGGTTAAAAAATATCAGACTACAGATACTGGCTTTAAGACCCAAGGTAAAACGTTTAATGGCTCTAGGCCTTAGTTCCTTCATTTTTAAGATGAGGGAAGTGGACCCAATTATCTTAAGATCTCTTCCATCTCTATGATTCTAATAATTAATAGCAATTAGAGACCTTTTGCCAAAGTTAGGCAAGGGACCCACAAGTTGGCCAACATCTTTTCAAGACAGTGATAACAGAAGTGGCTGACTGCTAAATTCTGTCTGCATCCCAAACTTAACTCTTTTCCCAGTATCCAAAAGGTACCATAGTCTCCTAATACCTGCCATTTGCCTTCTGCACATCACAAAGTCCGAATTGCAAGCTCTAGTATTCCTCAGGTGGTTGGAAATAGCAGATTTTACAAGGACAGTCTTATATGTGGGATGATTAGGACAATTATCAACTTATCTTCAGTAATCAGTGACTATATTACTTGGAAAAAAGCAATTGATTAAACAATAAGCATATATTAAAGACCTACCATGTGCCCCCCCTGCTGACGTGACCCACGATCCCAGCACAGAAGCTAGGATTCACAATGAGTGGGAACTGGACCCAGGCACAGCAATCCAAAGCTCCTCCCATTACACAGAGACTTAGCACTATACCCTTCCTCAGTAATACAAGAAGTCCTTCCCACCCATAGGAATCCCAGGAACTTACCACTTTAGCCACCCAAGTATGAGTTGGGCATCCAACAATCCTCTTTCCTCCTCCCCAGGCAAACAGTGGCCTCTTAGGAAAACCTAAGACCTCTTGACAATTAACTTTGCACAAACAGACTTGGACCTGGAGCCCTGATCAACCTGAAAGGACATACATCTTCCCCCTTGGTCACTCAGTACTGGGCAGGCACAGATCACCAGCAACTACCCTTTTTGAACTGGCATTATTCTGATGCTCAGCCTGGCAGCCCTGGGGCTTGAGGCTTGGACCCCAGAGCTCTGGGATGGGACCTGTGCTTAATGATTGGCATTCCAAGGTGATGAATGGTTGCATGCCCGGGCTACACACTGAGCAAGAAGCATGCAGCAGCTGTGTGACTCAATCGCCTGTCTCAGTTCCAGCATCCAGCCCAATCTGAAGTCTAAAGCAGAATAACCAAATCAGGAATGCCAGACCAAAAGGGAGCCCAAAGTTCTGTCACTCTGAATCAGAAGGTCTTTCCAGCTGGCTAGTAGTGATCAAATCCAGCAGCAGTGTACATAATGGAGCAAACCCACAGACTTGTTGCTCCAAACCAAACCCAGGGCAGAAACCTGTAGAACTCAGACCAGGAGGGTAGATGTCAGACTTGGCCTAGGATCAGAAGACTTTGGGAACACTGTAGTCTTGCAAGTCCTCAAGAATGAGTTGTCCCTGAGATCCTGGAAAAACTCAATACTTGATACCCTTAGAAATCATTAGTACGACCAGCCTAGACACTCCCAACAGAAATGCTCAGAACTGAGCCCTAATATAAAGTCCAAAGTCAGGAAGCAGGCTGGAAGAATGTGCAAATAAAAAAGAATTCCACCAAAAAAAAATGGTGACAGTAATGCTCAAGACACTTGGGCACAAGTTTAAATAGAATTCCAGGATAAGATAAAGCAAGAGTTTAAAAGAAGGTTTAATTTTTAAACTCTTGCTTTATCTTAAGTGATATGAAAGCACTGGAGGAAAAATTGGAAAAGAAATTATAGCTGTGCAAGAGAATTGGAAAGAGAATTAGTAGCATAGCACAAGAGATACAAAAACTTTCCCAACCAACAGACTCTCTAAAAATTAGAATGGAACAAAAGAAGCTGATTCCCCCAGTTAACAAGAAATATATTTTTTTAAAAAGTCAAAAGATTGAAAAAAATTGGAAATGTAAGGTAGCAAAAAAAACCTGACTTTGGAAATGGATTGAGGAAAAAACACTCAACAGGAAAAGAAGGAAAGGAAAAAGGGAGAAGGGCTGATAAGAAAAAGGGAGGATAGATTAAAAGAAGGCTTAGTTCTAAGCAAAACAAACTCTAAGGATATACAAAAATGTTTATAGAAATTCTTTCACTATAAGTGGCAAAGAACTGGAAATTGAGAGGTTGCTCATCAATTACGGAATAGCTAAACAAGTTATGGCATATAAATATGAGGGAATGCTATCATGCTGGAAGAAAGTTATGGGGTGGGGTGGGCATAGAGCCAAGATGGCAGAGAAAAGGCAGGGACTTGCCTGAGCTCTCCCAAATTTACCTCCAAATACCTTTAAATAATGCTTCACTACAAATTCTGGAGTGGTAGAACCCACAAAAGGATGGGATGAAGCAACTTTATATCCAAAAACAACTTAGAAGGCTGTCAGGAAATATTTATCTCACCAAGGTAAGATTGGAGTACAATCTAGTACAGGCCATGCCAGGGCCTGGAACTCTAGGCTTGGAGTCAGGAAGACTTTAGTTCATATCTGGTCTCCGACATTTACTAGCTGTGTGACCCTGGGCAAGTCACTTAACTGCAATTTGCCTCAGAAAAACATGCAAAGATTTGCATGAATTGATGCAAAGTGAAATGAGCAGAACCGGGAGAACAGTGTACATCGTAACAGCAATATTGTAAGATGATCAACTTTGCATGGCTTAGCTATTCTCAGCAATACAGCGATCCAAGACAGTTCCAGAGGACTTAATGATGAAAAATGCTTTCTATCTCCAGAGAAAGAATTAATGGAATCTAAATACAGACTGACACATACTTTTCCTTTACTTTATTTTTCTTGTTTTTTATTCTGTTTTCTTTCGCAACAAGACTAATATGGAAATTTGTTTTCCATGACCACACAGTATGATATAGATCAAATTGCTTGCCTTCTCAATGAGGGGGAGGGAGGGAATTTGGAACTCAAAAATTTTTTTAAATGAATGTTAAAAATTGTTTTTACATGTAATTGGGGAAAAATAAAACATTAAATCATTTTTAAAGTTATGAAGGGGATGATTTTAGAGAAACCTGGGAAGACATATATGAATTAATGTAGAATTAAAATAAACAGAATCAGGAGAACAACTTATACAGTGACAAAAATATTATAAAGAAAAACTCGGAAAGATTTAGGAACTCTGATCAGCACAATGATTCCAGAAGACTCATGGTTATGCTGCCTCCCTCACAATAGGAAGCTGAAGGAGTGCATATTGAGAGAGTTGTTTGTTTTATTTTGTTTTAGTGTGCTTTTTAGTATGACCAGTGAGGGAATTTGTTTTGCTTGACTGTACATGCTTGTAACAGTTTTCTTTTCTTTTCTTTCTCAATTGGAGAGAATGGAAAGTAGGAGGGAGAAAAGACTTTTTTGCTGATTAAAAAAAATTAATTTGAAAATGGAGGCATGGTATCAGTAACTAGTAAATTTATAATATTTTGCATTCTACAATGGGCAGATATCATCTAAAATATTGTGTTCCTTCTGAGTGCCATATTTCCATCAAGGGAAAATTTTCCTATCTTAGTAGAATTTCACCCTCAGTTACAGGAATTAGGGAAGTAGAGGGTAGAAATTTATATGGGAGAAGTAAAGTTGTTTAGAATAAGAAATGGAGTCAAAGTAAATAGTTGGGGGGCTAAAATAGGTCACTAATCCTTAGCCATTAATGGTAGGGGCAGCCACTAACCCAAGGAATATTGAAAGATCTCAAGGTAGGCCTCCAGAAAAGGAGGACAAGGGAAAGAATGGGATAAGATGAAAAGGCAGTGACTTATTGCTAATTGCTAGGCTGAAGACAGGGATCAAACTGATGAACACTCTGTCAAGGTAATCTTTGGCATGTATCTATCTTCTGCTCCTAGTCATGTGAAAGTCTGTCACTTTCAAGTCTTGCTAAAGTCTTCCTTCCTGGAATGATAAGTGCCCACTAGAAGCAAGATCCTCTAACTTAATAGATGAGTAAAATTATGGGCAAAGAGTTAAGTGTGGGGGGGTGGAAAACTGAGAAAATAGAATTGTTTTTTCTGTCCCTTTACCTTCATTTATTTTGATCTGTGATGTGATCGAAATGTTTTTTTAAAAAAATTGTGTCATCTGTGTTACAAATATATGTTTTTGCTAGAATGAGATTTCTGAAAATTATTCTAAATTGGTTAATTTTATTTTATGTAATTTATCTGCAAACAGATCCATCCATAGTATGGTTCAAAGTGTTACTACATTTTGTGAAGCAAAAGAGGTGGCTTTTTCCTTCAGTCTTCCTATGCTAGGGAAGGGCTCTCCCAGGTCACAGAGGCTAATTAACTAATATTGTTGGGAGTTAAGTACTTTGAGTTCTTTGGTAGAAAGGTTCTCTACAAACAAAAAGTTGTTGATGTCCTTTTTCTCCTTAAATCCATCAAAAGGAGTCTGGCAGCACTCTACTGTGGAAAGAACAGGGGTCTTGGGATGAGAAAGAGCTGGATTTCTCACCCCAGCTCCCTGATTTACCCTGTGTGCATGAATAAATCAATTACCTTCCCTAGATCTGTTTTCTCTACAGTAAGATGATCTCTGAGTGGCAATGGCAAAGTACCAGAGGGGAGGAGAGGGGTAGAGAATCAGCATTTTATAGCACTATGTGCCAAGTACTGTGCTAAGAATTAAAGGATAGGATCAAATAGTAAAATAGTACAAGTTCTCAAGAAATTCCCATTCTAATAGGTGAGACAATACATATCAAAAGTTTCAGCTGCAAGTCAAATGGAAAGGCCCCACAGTCCCTAGGATGCCATGGCAAAGCAGATGTTAATGCTTCTTCTTTAATGACATTTCAACGGATTAAATCACATCAGCTTCTGATGCCCAACCATTTGACAATGCCAAGGCTTTTGGTGGCAAGAACTTTTCTTTCTGGCTCTTCAGCACTCTGTATGACCTAAGGGAACAGTAGCCAGGCTGCTGTTCCATATCTGTTGCTTCCCAAGATGATAGGTGAGGGCACTGGGCTGGAAGCAAGGCTATTTATTCCCAGGGCTTTGGGGGACAGCATCCTCGGTTGTCTCCATCGGTGTCTGAAGGTCAAAGTGGTGATGGTGGTTTAGCTAGCTAGACACATGCTAGCCCGTGTCTCTCCTTCAAGATGTCTTGCTGATTCAGCTAAGCTGGCTTGCCACACAGTAGGCGCTTGATATATTAATATTTAATTGAATTGAAATTGAATCGACTGTGTTCAAGTCCTGTCTGGGTGACCTTGGCCAAGTCACTCAAACTAGCCATGCTTAGGACTATAACACAGATGTCCACCGGCCAGCACAGGTACAGGGAGTTTCCTCACATGGAAGTACCTTAGATTAATGAAATCACAGGTCCAGTCCCACCCTACCCCCAAGTCTATGATGATCTCTAAGGCCTCCTGTCACTCCAGAGCGACCACATGACACTCAATTAGCTAGCTTACTGTCCCCAGCTTGGGTACGTATCCTTAACAAACATGCCCAACGGGTTAACGAGAGGCTCTCCGCGCATGCGCCCAGGGAGCCCATCGCGCGCTCCCGACGCCGGCCCCACCCCTCTCGGAGCCAGAGCCAGGCTCGGGAGACTCCGGCCTTTTCCACTGGGGGTGGGCTACGTGCTCGCGCTGGGGCGTCATGACGCACGCACGCTCGAGGGAGGGAGGGAGGCACCGCCACTTCCGGGGTTGTGAAGCCGGGACGCTGGTTCTCTGGCCGGCTGAGTGGCTGTCGGGGAGGCGGAGAATTTGAGGCTCGGGGTGACCCGGGGTCGGGGCCTGCCCTGGCTGCCCTTTGACCGGGGTCCCCGCTGCGGGGCGGGGGGGGGGCGGGCCCCGGCTGGACTAGTTTCCCCCTCCTCATTCTCGGGGAGGCAACGGTCCGGACCCCGGCCTCGGGCCTCGTCCGGGTGATCCGCGGGAGCCCCGCTGCCCCAGCCAAGGTAACCTGCTCACCCCGGCCGCCTCTGCCTCCTCCTCCTCCTCCGGCCCCTCAGTCCCTGCCGGCCCTCCTGGCGACCGACACCTGCGCCCGGGGCTTGGAAGCTGTCAGTGAGCGGGGCCCAGCGCGGGTGACGTCAGCCTGACCCCCTCTCTCTCCCTTCCCACCCCCACTTTTCTGAGTCTTGTAGTTATGGAAATCCTTAGTTATTTGTATAAAGTACCAGGCATCACCATCAGGTACTCGGATACATTCTCGGGGTCGGGCATATAGCCAAAGTGGCAAGGGACATAAGGCCATCTCGTTTTCTTAATGAGGAAAACTGAGGCCGAGATTAAGTGAGATCACACAGGCACTAAAGTAGCATTTGAACCCAAGACTTCTGACTGCTGCGTCAGGCTCTTTCTGCTGTACCAACCACCTTGTCATTTTCAACTGTAAAATTATGGAGCTGTACTGTTTTCCTAACCTGAGGTTCCTGAACTTTAAAAAAAAAAATTATTAACTGTATTCCGCCATAATTGGCATTCTTTGTAATCCTATATGTTTTATTTTAGGCATTTAACAAATATTTTGAGATTCTGAGGTATTGAGATAACATTTTAAAAAGGGAATCCTGTGGCATATCAGACTGCCAAAGGAGTCCATTATACCAAAAAAAGGTTAAGAACCCTTGGACCAGATGTTCTTTAAAGTCATCTCCAGCTCTTTATATTATATTATATTCCCCCAATTCAGCTGTGTAAAAAGAAAGATGTGAATTCAAATTCTGTCTCTGACACACACTGGCTCTGTGACTTTGAGCAAATTGCTTAATCTCCAAGCAATTCTTAAAAGATTCTTAAGATGTAGAGCAGGTATGTATCTGCTTTGATAGAGGGAATGCCTCTTCCTGAGGTTCCTATACTGATGAGATCATAGGTGGAGTTAAGCCAAAAATCCTGTGTTTTTTTTACATTTGTTTTTAAAGTGAAGTTGTGTACCTTTCGAGCTCCTTATCCTTGCCCTACCAGACTGTTATCCTTCAAACAGGATGATTGGCATGTTTATAATAGGGAACTGAAGAACTAGAGTTATATAACCCTTATTGCAATGATTGATAGAACTAGAAGAGATCATGAAGTCGTCTTATTCACCCCTGTAATTTTACTAAGGAAACTGAAGCACAGGGATTAAATGATTTACCCAGAGTCACCCAGCTAAGTTAATGGCAGAACCAGGACTAGAACAGGACACTGTCTTCTGACTTTTGGTGTTCCTTACACATAGACGTTTGAAAATGAAATGTTAATGCTTTTTAAAAATGTTCAGTCTTGCATCTTGCATGAAATGTTTAGTTTGAAAAGCACTTTCCTCACAACAACCCTATGAGGCAGGTAATTTAAGTGTTATCCCTATTTTACACATGATGAAACTAGGATTAAGAAGTTATGATTTGTCAGTAACTATGTTGCTAAATAAGAATCTGCAAAAACATTTTAACTGGATTTCAAATCCAGGTTTCTATCCACTGTGCTATAAACTACGTCTTAGGAGTTAAGAGTATTGAGTTTAGAGCAATGTTCACCTGGGATCAAATACCACTTCTGACATTTACTACCTGTATAACCCTGAGCTAATCACTTCTGTGTGCCTCAGGCAACTTCCTAGGATTTACCTACTATGGTGATATTCATTATGACATTTAAGGGTTAGGAAGCCTCTTTAGAAACATCAAGTTCATTTCCCTTCCACAGGAATCCAAATTGTTAGGGTAGTAATATAAGACTGGAGACTGGGTGTCTGTCACCAGAATGTCAGGGTTTGTTTGAGAAAAAAATTGTATTGGTTATTCATGAGCACCTTTGAGTTTTTACATGCTTTCTGTGGGGTAAAATAAAGTCTGTTCTGTTTTCATTTTGCTTTGTTAGATTGAACTGTTGCATAGGAACAGGAGTCCCTTTTACCTACATCAGTAAAGACTTACATTAAGCTATATTGTGAGGTTCCGAGAAGAAACACCATATTGGGGCCAGTTGAGCCAGAGAGATGATTTTTGAGAGATCTCCAGGGCTAAACTTGGTCTATGTAAGCCCAGTCATAATCTGCATTAATGGAGGAAGTTTCACTCTAGGAATTTCTCAGGATGACAAAATCACAGATTTGCATGTTTACATAGTCTTGTTTCATGCTGTTGTACAGAGAAAATATGACCATTTCATTTTTGCCTTCTGGGAAGTTTACCAAAGCCTATATGTTATTTTTAAAGCATCTTTTTCTTTCTATAGGTTTAGACCTTTTTTGGCTTGGAACAAAGATGGCAGAAGAACCTCCAGTGTCTTCTGAGAAGCTCATTGTACATTCAGAGGCTCACAGTGGTACCATTCTGGCTAATTTTGAGGAACAGAGGAAAAGAGGCTTTCTCTGTGATATAACTCTAATAGTGGAAAACGTACATTTCCGGGCCCACAAAGCTTTACTTGCTGCCAGTAGTGAGTATTTCTCAATGATGTTTGCAGAAGAAGGGGAGATAGGCCAGTCAATTTATATGCTGGAAGGTATGTTGGCAGACACATTTGGTATACTGCTGGAATTCATCTATACAGGTTATCTTCATGCTAGTGAAAAAAGTACAGAACAAATATTGGCTACTGCTCAATTTTTAAAAGTGTATGACTTAGTAAATGCTTACACTGACTACCAAAGTAATCATAGCTCAACAAATCCAACCTCTTTGGCTACTGGTGGAGCTCCAGTAGTGGTTATTTCCAATAAGAAAAATGATGATCCTCCAAAGCGAAAACGAGGGAGACCAAGAAAAGTAAAAAATTTGCAAGTGGTAAAACCAGAAATGGCTTCAGTTGAAGACATCCAGCTCAGAGAGAATAATTCTGTTCAAAATAAACAAAACTCTATGGCAAAAACAGTAGAAGGAAGCAATAGTATAACAAATGAACAGATCCCAGTAAGAGAAGTGGAAGAATCTGAGCGTGCTTGTGGGTCAGGCGCTGTGGAAATGCCAACAGAAGAAGATGAGAACTGTGATCCTAAGACCCAGGATGTACAAGGCAGTCAGAGTCGCTACAGCAAGCGTAGAATTCAGAGATCTGTTAAACTTAAAGATTATAAACTTGTTGGGGATGAAGATGATCAGTATTCAGCCAAGAGAATATCTGGAAGAAGAAGACGCCCTGGTTCTGAGGCTCGCTGTAAAGAATGTGGCAAAGTGTTTAAGTACAATCACTTTTTAGCAATCCATCAGAGAAGTCATACAGGTATAATGCTTTCTTGGTATGTTGAAATTTTGACTGATTAGTTGAGAATGTGAGAAACTTTGTTTTTGCCAAAGCTAACCCCTTTGTGTTGAAGGCTAACTCTGGGACTATGTTGTATCAGTCATCCTGTCTGACACCTGCAATATCTCTGATACCTTCCCTTGCATAGGCGTGTATATACATTCTTAGGTCTCTGTATCCTAAAAGATTCATCCTTTGATCTTCAGTAGGATATAGGCTTCTCGAGGGCATGATACCTTATGTGTTAGGCACTTAATACATTTTTTGTTGAATTTTGTTGTTTAACCCTGACAACCATTGAAGCTACCACCATCTGTCTCTTCCCCTTCACTGCTAAGCTCTAGAAAAAAGTTTTCGTTTACTTCTTCTACCACATTATCACCCACTCATTCCTCAGCCCCTCCTATAAAGTGTTCTGACAGAGATAACCAGTGAGCCCCAGTAAGCACTTCTTAGTCCCCATCTTCCTTCACCTTTCTGCACTATTTTAATCCTACTAATCACCCTACCCCTGACAGTTTTTTCCCATATTCTATCATGATAGAATATCTTAGTTTCTGTTATTAGTCTCTTGTCTTCTTTCTGTTTCCAAGTGTGGGCTTCTCTGAAGGCTGTAAGCCCTCATCTCCGTATATATTCTCTCTCTCAACAATTTCATCAATTTCCATAGCTTCAGTCATCACTTAGTATCAAAGTAGGATAGGACCTTTGAGATCCAGGAACTTATAATTGCATCTCTTAATGAAACCTCTTCCCTTTTGACAGCATAATTGGTCCCTGCATTGATCAAATTTTGAAGTCTTTCAGAATTTTCTTTTATGTTATTTTCATCATTAGGAAAAGTGGTTTTTGGTTCTATTCCACTCTCCATTTGTTCACCTTGCACACTTATATGTGCAAACCTACTGTGTTACTAGCTGCTTACTCATCTTACTTTTTCTTCTCAACTATTCTTCATTTCATAACATAATAGCTCCAAATTGAACAATCTTTCCACTACAATGCTACCTCCCCATTCCCATTAAATGCTCCTTACCCTTCTTTGACAATTGCTGCTCTTGTTCTTCAAGGCCCCTCGAAGGTGCTCTCTCCCTCATATCTTCCCAGAGCCCTCAGCTACAAGTGGTCTCTTCTTTTGTTCTGTTTCTTACAACTCTGTTTGACATTTCCTGGCCCCTCCAATCTTTTATAGTTAATGTACTTGTTAGTTATATAGTTAATATGCTTTTATCAGCCTGCTAGAGTAAGCTCCCTAAGGCTTGGTCTGGGTGTTTTTTCTTTTGTTTCATTTTTTTTCCCCATTTTTGTATTCCCAATACTTAGCAGGGTGTCTTGTGCCTGGTGGATACTTAAATACATGTTTGGATTTAATTTTTTATTTTCTCCTATTTTTGGACTTGCTGTAGGGGAACGACCTTTCAAATGTAATGAGTGTGGAAAAGGTTTTGCCCAGAAGCACTCATTGCAAGTTCACACAAGGATGCACACAGGGGAACGGCCATATTCCTGTACTGTTTGCAGTAAGGCTTTAACTACAAAGCATTCTCTACTGGAGCACATGAGCCTACACACAGGTAACTAACTGTATTCAGGGCAAATCAAACTGATACCAAAAAGCTATCCATTTCTTTATCAGAATTAAAACTATCTGTATTTTCCAACCCCAAGCTTTACCAAAAAAAAAGTTTTCAGTTTTAAGCTTCCATAAATTCTGCCTGACGTTGAGCATGAGGTTGTAATTGAAAATCACTTTCCCTATTAGATGAAATGGGCTTTCCCCAGTGTTGAGATTGTATATTTTCCATTTCTTTCCTGAATTTTATTGCTTAGACAAAGTTAATTTTCCTTTTTTTTTTTTACCTCCCTCCCTCTTCCCTTACCTTTCCCCTCTCACCCCTACCCAGGACAGAAGTCTTTTACCTGTGATCAGTGTGGAAAGTATTTCAGCCAGAAAAGACAGCTAAAGAGTCATTACCGAGTCCATACAGGTACAAGGATTTCGGGGGAAGTCTGGATTGGTGAAATGAGGAAAAATAATACAGGGCAGAGGCAGACAAATAGTAACTTCCAAAGGAGTCCCCTGTAGCTCTTAGCTCCTATAGTTTCTGTCCTTGATTTATTTGTTTCTTATTTCCCACCCACATTCATCTGCCAACAGCAGAGAAAGCAAAGGGTTGAGAATGAAGAGATCATTGGCCTAGGTCACTCCCAAATTTCAGAGAGGAAAGGTAGAAGAAGTTCATTTAAGGCAGAGTAAAGGGCAGCTCAGCTTGGAACATTAGTGAACTCAGCATGATTTAACTGAAATAAATAAATAGAAATTATTGCAGAAATAATCAGTGAAAACCATTGTTTTGTTAAAGTATTATATTAAAGTGGTTATTTTGCAGGGAAGTGCTTTAACACAGATCACTGAAGAAATAGAGGGGAAACATACATGCACTGACACTTTTTTTATTATTGCGACAAGGCCATTCATTACCGGAATGTAACCACTGTCATCGCAAATTCATGGATGTATCTCAGTTAAAGAAACATCTGAGAACACACACAGGTAATGTGAACGTATGATGTGTTTTGTTGGAGTAGATCATCAGCCTTGTCTAGTGGATAGGGCTCTGCACTTGGAGTCAAGAAGACTTAGGTTCAAGTAGTAATGTAGTCTGACCAGGGACAGACCACTTAGTCTTTTGGGGGGGGGCACTTGGAGTTAAGTGACTTGCCCAGGGTCACACAGCTAGTAAGTGTCAAGTGTTTGGTCTGAGGCCAGATTTGAACTCAGGTCCTCTTGACTTCAGGGCCAGTGCTCTATCCACTGCACTACCTAGCTGCCCCTCCACTTAGTCTTAATCCCCAGTTTCCCCCTCCCTAAAATAGGCATAATACCTATACTATGGAGCTACAGGTTCAAACATCCAGCCTTGACAAACTGCCAAAATTCTGACAACCCTGTCTATAGGAAAGGGTGAGGTTTTGTTTGGTCTTCTGTAAAATTAGTCGTCCCCTAAGAATATATTTACTTTAGTCATCATTTTTATTGAATAGTTTATTTTAATATACATATTGAATTTAGACTGCCTCCTTTATAGATTTGTGATTTTATCTGTTTGGGTATTGTAACTCCCTTCATCCAGAAAAATGACTCTTAGTAGATGATCTTTGTGATTTCCTATAGTCAAAAAAAATTCATCACCTCATGGCCAGCCTTCTGGTAGATGAGTATCTTTAAATCTAGTTAAGCTGGTTCTTAGGTAGCAGATAGGCATGTTCAAAGTCCTTGTTCAAAGGCACACGTTCAGCGTCTATTCAGCCATGTAAGACCTGCCAGAACTTGTTCTCTGCTCTGCAGCCTTTGAGAGGCCCATGGTCAAGTCATCTTAACACCTGGATGAGATGTTAAAAATAGGACTTTAATGGAGGCCTGAAGGCCACAAGATAGTACAAATCATGGCCAAGTCATTGTCCCATTTAGAGCACTTTCCACATTTGACATGGTTACCAAGATAATTGGGAGAGAAGAGGGAAAATACAGCTGACTATCAAAGTTAGCTTAGGCAGTAAGAATCGCTCAAATAATTTTTCCCCCTAGAAACAACACTTGTTACTCAATAGTTGAGCACTACCACCTCCAGGAAAGTCAGCTTTGGGCAGCAAAAGGCGATAGGAGTGATAAAGGAAACTCAAAGCCTTTTATGTTAAGGTAAGCAAAGTAAAAGTGTTGGGCTTTATAACTTTTGGGGCAGGGTAACTGATGTATTGATGTCGGATTTCTAATAGAAAATGTTCTCAATTTGGGATGGCACTCATTTGGCACTGACTGATCTTTTAAAAAAAAATAACAAACAGATTTGGTATCTTAATTTGATCCCAAGTCCTATTGAACCTTTGAAAATGCATCATGTCTCCATCTTTTCTCTATTCCTACTGCTGCAACTCTAACACAGACCTACCTCATCTCAAACTTGTACTACCATAGCAGCCTCCTGACTTGAATTTTGCTTACAACCTTTTAACTCTCTGTTCCATACCGCATGCTGATATCATATGCTCTTCCGAAGACACTGGGTTGTTGTTTTTTTGTTTTGTTTTGTTTTTTGGGGGAGTAGGTTATGGTATGGTATAGTATGGTAGGGGGTGGAGGGAGCACTGGTCTTTGCTAGATCTTAATCCTAGCTCAAATACTCATATAACTTTGAGCAAGTCAGTTCTCTGGATCCCCTTCAGTTTCATTATCTTTAAAATGATGAGTTTGGACTAGATGATCTCAAAGTTCCCTTCCAGTTCTAACATTTTATAAACTGTGCCACCCTAGGTGCAACCAATCCAATCCATTATAGATTAATAAAATGCGGAAGGAGAAGTAATCCCAGAGTTGTGAATTGAGTGAAGATTTAGTGCTATATGTCATTTGTTATGTCACTCCCTTGTTAAAAAAAATAAAATTAAATTGCCACTGGCTCCCCATTCCTCACAGGATAAAGTCCAGATTTAGCACAGAATTCTCAGAATCTGAGTCGGAAGTGACCTCAAGAGTTGTTGAGTATAACTAATTCCCTATACAATCTACTTAATAAGTGACTGTTTATATAAAACCTAAACCTGTCTCTGCAGCTTTGACCCATGGGACCTAGTTCTCCCTTCTAAGGCCACACAGAACAAGTATGTTCTTTTTCCACATGACAGACCTTCAAATATTATTTAGGATAATAGACCATAGGATCACAGATCTAGAGCTGGCAGAGATCTTAAGCAACACTCTCTCCTTACCTCCACCTCACAGAACCTTTTTCTTGCTATAAGACAGAGCTCAGGCAGCATCTTCTGCATGAAGCCTTTCCTGATTTCTGCCTTCTACCCCCCAACTACCACCCTGCCTCCCAAATTGCCTTTTATTCAATTACTTAGTATTTATTTTTATTTATTAACTTTATGTTATATGTACTTTTTATATATACTTATCTCTCCCATTGAAATATATGATTATTTTGAGTAACGATTGTGTTTCATACTTGGTAATAGTATCCCCAGTGCTTAGTATAGTGACTGGCACATAATAGGCACTTTATAAACACATGTTGATTGATTGTCACTTCCCATATGATTCCTCCTTTTCTCTTTCACTATCTTCCAGACTTCATGCTTATTCCTGATGTCAAGTTTTTCTTCTTATTCAGATATTTTCAGCTCACTTTGATGTTTCTTCCCTCTAGTACCTATTGTCTATACCACACATTTTGATTTTGTCACATACTCTCTTGTGTTATTACTTAAATCTTTCATGTGTGTATCTTCTCTTTCCAGCAGAAATGTAAACTGAAGACTAAGGATATCTGGGTTCATTTACAACCCCTCAGTATCTAGTACAGTGTTAAGCACAAAGTAGTTGCCCAGAAATTGCTTATTAATTCACACATCAGTGAATTCAGAGCAATATCATTATTTAGCTCTGCATTCTGCGTGTTATGGTGTAGGGAAATCCTTCATGATTTTACATAGAGTAGAAGAATTTGGTTTTCACATGTCTCTTTTCCTCTTCCTATCAAGAAAGCACCATCTAAAGGATATTACTCACTACATGACTCAAGTGAGTGCAATTAGCGCTCAGCCACTGAAGAGAAAAAAAAATCCGCTAGTTTTCTTATATTCTGAACATTTTTCCTCTTCTAGTTCCGTTGTGTAATAGAAGATTTTCTTCTCATATATTTGCATCCAAATTGATTTGACTAGATAAAACACATGTCGGAAAGAAGAATATATCTCAAAAAACTGAATAGAATTTTTAAATACTTAAAACTATGACCTACAAACCATATGTATGGATTAAGGGAAGAGGATGATTGCTTTCTGTGTTTAAGAAACTGAGAAAGAATTCAATCTCAGGGCCTAGGGAAAAGGAGACTAGAAATCATAGGTAGCCCAATCTGACATTCAGTTCTGGCCCTGTGAAACTGAAAAGAGAAAGGTGCAGGACCCTAGTATGAACCAAGGGAGTAATGAATGGATAATGCAGATTTAATTAGGAAAAACCTCCTCTGCCTGAACTACATGGGAAAATGTTTAGCCTGAACCCTCACAGAAATGTATTGTTTTTAATGTAATATTTATTTATTTTTAGCCTTTTTTGTTCTTTTAAAATTTTGAGTTCCGAATTCTTTCCCTCCCTCTTGCCCTTCCCCACCCACTGAGAAGACAAGTAGTATGATATCAACTATACGTGTGAAACCATGCAAAACCACAGAAATGTGTTGAAAAGAAAGATTAGCCAGTTGTCCCTGTTTTTCACCTTGACTGAAAGTATGTTTAATGTATGTTAAAGTGTTAACTATTTTATTCCAAATATTTTATTCGCAACTACTTAAATTTTGTAATTCTATGAATAATTAAGGAGCATCAGAGTTGTTTCCTTAAGATCAAAATTCTTAAAGGGCAGGGAAAGTCTTTGTTTAGTGCAGTGTATGAACTGATACTAATAATTCCTGCTGGAGTATAAGCTCTGTGAGAGTAGATATTGTATGTACTATTTATTATCCCCTTTCCCCATATCACCCCCAAGTATCTAGTGCAGTATTTTGCACACTGTAGGTGTGTTGATAATTGTAGATAATTGTAGATAATTGAATGATTTTCCCCACCTTGGTGATGCCATTCTTGTCTAAAAATTTAGGTTTTAGTTTTCGTCAACAGTCAATTTTGCTTTGCCACTTTGTGCCACCAGCAGTATTAAGCAGTATTCTAAATGACACTGGTAGTTATTTTTTCCCCATTTTTGTGGCTGTTTGTTTTTTAAATAGATTGGGGAGGGGGGAAGGAGGGAGAGAATTTGGAACTCAATTTTTAAAAAATCAGTATTATTAAAATAGCTTGGTGAAGCCAGTCCATTTTTCTTTCTTTTAAAATAAATTTTGCTTGCTACATTTTGTTTTATATACCCTAATTTTACTGTTTTTGTTGCCCTTCCCCCCAGTCATCTCTTATAATACATATTTTTTTAAAAGAAAGAGGAAAAAGAGAATATTCAGCAAAACTGATGAATACATTGAAAAATTATGACATTATATACAGTCTTACATACCTGTGTGACCCACTCCCTTTCTACTATACAAAGGAGTATGGGGAGGTATCTTCTCATAGCTCTTCTTTGAAGCCAATCTTGTTCTTGAAAATTCTGCAGCATTAATTTTTATTGTTTTATGGTAGTGGTTCTTTCATTTACGTTGCTGTAGTCATCATGTATATTGCTTTCTTGGCTTTGCTTACTTCACTTTACATCAGTTAATATAAGTCTTTGCTGCTAATCGTAGTCATCAGATTCATAATTTTTTACAACACAGTAATATTCCATTACGTTCATGTTTCAAAATGTATTTAGCCATTTCCCAGTTGATGAGCATCTACTTTGTTTCCAGTTCTTTGTTAGCACAAAACATGCCACTATGAAAATTTTGGTATGTGTATGTGTATATATACATACGTACACACACACACACACATACATGTGGAGCCTTTCTTTTTAATAATTAGGGGTTTTTTCCTAAGTAATTTATGTTTTCAGGTTTTTGATCATTGGATTATTGATTTCCATTATTTCTGATTCTCCCTTATCTAGTCTGTTCCAGATTACCAAAGATGACAAAAGGTGGGAATAGCCCACGTTGGAGGGGATATGGAAAGACAGAAACACTAACGTAGTGTTGGTTGAACTGCAAACTGTTCTAGCCATTCTGGAAAGCAGTTTGGAATTATGCTAATTAAGTGACTAAAATGTCCATACCGTTTGACTCAGAGCTGCTTCTAGGCCTAGAGGAGGTCAGCAAAACAAAGAAAGATCTCATAATCACCAGAATATTTACAGCAGCACTTTTTGTAATAGCAAAGAATTGAAAACAGAGTAAGTGAACATGAGTCTGGTAATAGCTAAACAGGTTATGATATGTGAATGTTATTGAATATTGCTGCATGGTCAGAATATAGATAGATAGATTAGATAGATAGATAGATAGATAGATAGATAGATAGATAGATAGATAGATAGATAGATAGATAGATAGATAGAAGACATATGAATGGATACAAAGTAAAAGTAAGCAGAACCAGGAAAGCATTATAAACAATGATGGTAGTAACAAAACACAGCAACAAAACAATTGAAACTGAATGTGATGAAACTTTAATGACCAAATTTAGCCCCAAAGAAGAGAAATAAGAAGGTGCTTTCTTTCTCTACCCCTGCCTTTTTTGTGCAGGTGGAAGACTGAATGAAGGCTGCATATGATGTCAGACTCTTTCAACATGATAGTTTTACTGAGCTGCTTTTTTTTTCCTTTGTTGTAAAGGATGGTTCTCTGGGAGAGGGGAGGAGAAGGGTATACATTGGGAAATAAAAGTGATGTAAAAACAAAACATATCAATGAAAATTTACTTAAAAAATAAAACTGTGGGGGGAAAATACATTGCCAATATTAACAAAGCCCAAATGAAATAGGATTAACTTTTTGTCTTCCAAAATAGAAGAAATAACAAATGACCCTTTTGATAATACAAGTGAGTAAATATTTCCAGAATTTGTTCAAGTGTTAGGCATGAAATTGTGGATTCAAGATTATCCCTGCTTAGATTTTACTGCCTTCAGTTATTCAGTGCTGTGGCCATTAACAAAAACACCCTGACAAGGAGGGGAAAAGTATTTTTCCTACTTGTCATTAAGTGTGAAAAGAGAGATCTGAAAATCGAATCAGTTATACCCTACAGCTTTAAGCTATTAAACTTAACTGCAGTAAGACTTTTGGGACACTGTATATTGTCATGAGTTGTCATGTACATATTAGTCTCTTCAACTAGTACTTTCATGAGCAGGAATCCTATCTCTATGTTGTAATTATCTTGTATCCTCCACAGCACCTACAATACTTAATGAATGTTTTTAATGAAAGCTTGTTGAAGTTTGTTGGCCTTTTGCAAAATCTTTTTATTCTTGATAATAAAGTTGCTTGGGCTATAAGTGTATTTCACAATATTTCTCTCTCTTTTTTCTTAAAGGTGAAAAGCCATTTACTTGTGAAATCTGTGGCAAGTCTTTTACTGCAAAAAGTTCTCTTCAGACACACATCAGAATACATCGGTATGTTTTTTTCAGATATTTATCATATATAGAAGCCTTCTCCTGAAAATATTACTCCAATAGGATTTTTCATCAAGCACTTTAATACCATGTTCTCTCTTTTCAACAATGAAATCCTAAATTTTGTTTGCAGAAATACTGATGATTAGTTCAGAACTTAAATCTACAATAAAAAAATTAAGGATGCATAGAATATTTTTATTCATTCAAATTAGTCTTAGACTGGATCACTGTCATTTTTTAAATATACATATTTGGGGATTGCTTGAATGCTTTTTTATTATAGTAACATTAATCATTCATGCAGTTATATAAACACATGGATTTTCTCTATGAATTAAGGACATGATGTTGCATTTCCTGTAACGTTTTAGCAGTAAGGAGATGATCTCATCCAATGTACTTAATTTTTAGAAATGAGGAGCCTGAGAGAAGTTAAGAGAGTTGTCCAAAGTGACACAGTGGCAGAGCCAAGACTAGAGCTTGTGCCTCCTGCCTCCTAGTCAAGTACTGTTGGGGCTACAGCACGTTGCCATCCCAAAAATTTAAACTCAGTTATGAGAAACATTTTTTAAAATGTAAATTTTGTGTTTAATTTTCTTTACAGAGGAGAAAAGCCATATTCTTGTGGCATATGTGGGAAATCCTTCTCTGATTCCAGTGCTAAGAGGAGACACTGTATATTACACACAGGCAAAAAGCCTTTTTCCTGCCCCGAGTGTAATTTGCAGTTTGCACGCTTAGACAACTTGAAGGCTCACTTAAAAATCCATAGCAAAGAAAAACCCTTTCCAGAAGCTCCTAATGCTCCCAGCAGCAGCAACCCAGAGGAAGTTAGGAATATTCTCCATCTCCAGCAGTATCAGCTTTCCACCTCTGGAGAGCAAGAAATTCAACTCCTAGTAACAGACTCAGTCCATAACATCAATTTCATGCCTAGTCATAGTCAAGGAATCAGCATTGTCACAGCAGAAGGCACCCAGACCATGGCAGCAGACCAAGCTGCTGACCTTACAGTGCTCACTCAGCAGCCAGAACACCTGCAGGGTTTGATTCTTTCAGCTCAGCATGACCAAACGGAGCACATCCAGAGTCTCAGTGTGATGGACAGCCAGATGCACACCTCACCGACTGAACAGGTGCATATAATCACCCTGTCCAAGGAAACCCTGGAGCATCTTCATGCTCACTGAGAACCAGCTGAGGAACTTAGAAGTGGCGCCTTCACGCTCAGCTCAGCACATACAGCAGACACAAGAGTCAAGCTGACAAGCCAGGAGACACTGTGTGGCCCAGCCCACACAGTTTAATGAACAGTTCAACAAAAGTGTAATTCTGTGTTGTTTGTCCATAAGCTGACCATGCTGTGATTAATGACACTTGAAGTCCAGCTTTCTGATGATGATTTGTTGGTTCTAATATGCAGAGTTGTTTTCATCCTTTCAGATACTAGTAAATTAATATTTATAATGCTTTACATTCAAAGCTGTAAAGTGGCTTGAACTTGTCTGATTTGAACTATCATGTGACTTGAACTGACCTGTTTGGTAATATTGGTGAAAAACTTTCACTTTTATTCCATCTCTTAGGTCTTAGATTTTTCACTCAGGTGCTCTATTATAATGAAGGCAATTATGACTTTTATGTAAGAGTTGAAATTCACACCCTTGTGTTATATTTCCAATCTTGAGGATGACAGTTCTGCTAAGTGTATTTTGGGTCTTTGATGAACTACAAAAGTCAGTCATGTGTTAGTTTAAATTTGACATGTTTGTTGGTTTTGCCTCCTTGTTACTGATGAATACAGTATTGCCACTAAAAGCTTAAAAAATGCCAAGCCTTCATAATATGTTAAGGAGTACAGTGTTTGACCCTCTGACACCAAAGAATTAGTAACAGTCTTGTACTTGAATTATTTCATGATTCTGTAAGTCTACTGCATTGTACTTGAGAAGTAAGAATATGTGGTAAAGCCCTTTATTCAGGATCCAAGCAATCAGAAAACTGAAAGAACATATGTTTACATATACAGAGGGAACATATTCTGAACTCTACTTACATGAGAAAAGCAACTGTATCTTATAAGTGTTTCTTAAAAGTAATGTTCAGAGAATGCCACAGGGGTGAGTAGAGATTTCAGCCTAATGTTTTTCATCTTCATTACTCTACGATGATACTTGATATTCTTGAAGGGTCTTCCAAATCATTGGAAAGGTAATCTTAAATCCAGAATATTACTACATTCTAATTCTCTGAAAATTGAATCTACCGTAGCCAGTACTAACTCCAGTCCAATTTAGACTAAAGGAAAATTCACAGAAAAGTTAGGCATAATTTTTTAAAATGGCTTTTAATGATTAAAAGAGCAGATTTCTTTCGACCCCTACTAAGGCTTACAGAATTAGTAACCACTTTGTACTTTTAATCATTTTACAGTTGAGTCATAATAGAAATATTAAATTGTGTTGAGTATAATTTTTAGTGCTATGTATTTTAGCTATACTTTTCTGTCAGATAACTAATTAAGGGTTCTTGAGAAATTCCAAGGACATAATTTGGTTGTTTACAATTTATATAATTGTGGGATAGACTAGGAGTACCAGACTGGGCATAGTTCATTTGGGGTGGCTTTTGCATTACTAGTTTTTTAAGTACCCCTGATTTCTAGCCTTCAAATATATGATTTGCAGGTTGAAGTAATAGTGTTCTTCAGGTTTGTTGAAGAATCACAGTTCCTTTTTACATATTTGATGTGCTGTATTTTTGTTATATGGAACTCAATTTCCAGAGTAATCTATTTTATATATAAAATGAAAAAAGAAACATTATATGAATTCTAACTAGGCCAAAGGTAGAAGCTAAAGTTTTATAAACAGAGTTGTAGACAAAGTATCATTTTGTGTTCTGCCCTATATAGCTTAACCTTATAAATAAATGTAAAATAATTATTAACTCATAAACATTTTCAAACCTTCATTTTCTCCAGAAGTTCTATAAGTAGTAAAATCAGAATTTTGTTTATAACTTCATCTGGCATAGTTACTTCTTGGGGGAAAATGAGAAAGTGATGATAATTTATAAATCTAGTTTCATAAACTTTATGAAAATGTAAGCAGCTTGAGAGCCTTCTTTGTCCTGTATGTAGAAAAGGGATCTTCCCTTATTTTTTTGCCTGGAAAAGAGAAAACTTGGGAGGAGACATATCATCCATCTTCATTTCTTTAAAGCCAGGACCAGTGGGTGGAAGTGCAACAAGTGGAACACCATTCTAACTGGTAACAATTCTCTGAAAGTGGAATGAACTGAGGTAGTGAGTTCCCCACAAGGGGGAGTCTTTTAACTTGAGGCTACGTACCTCTTTGTCAGATAGTTGTTGAGCTTTCTGAATGAATTCATCTTAAATGCCTTCTGATGTGAAGATTGGATGATCATTTGTAATTATGAGACCCCTTACTAAAGGGGAAGAAAGAACCTGCTCTTTCTAACTCTAGCTTTCCCTTTGCCCCTACACATATTCTATCACTTTTAAATGAAAACTCTTAATGTAGGCATGCCTCCCCCTCAGAAAAAAAAAAGTGAAGTGACCTAGGAAGGGAGCTATAACTGATGCAAAATTTCCAATTATAGACGTGGTAAAATTTGATGAAATTTGAGGTGGTATTATATACCTCATGGTATAGATTGCACAGTGTTTCACAGAAACAGTTTCAGCCCAAATTAATTTTGAAATAAGTCTTGAATTTATGATGAATTGTATGGTAACAACTTTAAGTATTCTTGAATGTAAGAGGTACAAAGGTGCCTTCTGGGGGAGAAGCTCTTAATTTTTTTATACTTAAGGTTCATGGTTGAGTCAGTGTGCTACTACCTTTTGATAGGAAGTTTACTGGTTTCTGTCATTTATAAAATTAGACTAAAAGATTATCATGAAGTGAGGGGCTAATCATTGGAAAGACAAGCTTCTTTAAAAATGACTTAGTTATAAAGGCTTTTGCTTATAAAAAGCCTAAAAGTTCTTCCATTTCTGCTTCCACAGTTCGGTTTGGCTTTTCCAAATGAGTCTAGTACAAAATCATAGAATTTCAAAGCTAAGAAGAGGAACTTAGGGGTCATCTAGCCCAGGGCTGGAGAACCTGCAGCTTCAAAGACACATGTAACCTTCTAGTGGCTTTGGGTGCAGCCTTTTGATTTATTGAGGGGATTTGTTCTGTGAAGTTTGGATTCAGTCAAAGGGCCCCACTTGAGGACCTATAGAGCCACATGTGGCCTCGAGGCCTCAGATTCCCCACCCCGATCTAGTCCAACCCCTTTATTTGACAGATAAAGAAATTGAGGCCCAAAGGGTTGAAGTGATCTGTCTGAAGTCACCTAGCTAGTTCATGGCAGAGCTGTACTCTCTGCAGGACTCTACTTTCCACTAAACTCTGTTGCTTTTGCAAAAGTAAACTAGAAATGTCTCAAGCCAAGTGATGTGAAACTTTAAGCTATTTTTGGTTTTATAGCTTATTTCCTTTCATTGCATTTTTTTTGTGAAGTAAAAGGTTCCTTCCCTTTTTATAAGGTACAGCTAATAACAGAAGAAATTTCATTTTCTAAAGGCATAATTTGCCTAGAATGTAAGCATTACAACATAGCCATGTCTGAAAATAAGTACTGGTAGTTGACCAAGATATAAATTTGGCAATATTTTTGTCCATGCCTCTGAGCACTCAGCAGTAGGTTGGAAATGGGTAGGATGCCCCCAATCCTGCTAAATCAGTCAAGTGTTTCTTAAGTACCTAGTTAGCACCAAGCACTGTTAAGGCACTGGGAATATAAGTACAAGGACTAAAACAATCCCTGGCCTTAAGGAGTTTAGAGTCTAATGGAATGTGTTAGCACACATGTTCCTATAGAAATATTAATCATGATTCGGTTATTTGTGCTGTTATTCTTAATATTGTTGTACAAAGGTCAGTGGACTTCAAATCTGACTTATTACTCATGTGACTTGGGACAGGGCCTACTTCAGCTTTTTTATTTGTATCATCAATGTTTGGAACACAGTGTTTATTAAATACTTGATTGAGTGAGCCTTTCTGCCTCAGTTTACTCATTTGTAAAGTGGAGATTATTGAATACTGATTTTTGTGTGTAAAGTCCTTGGGAAACTAAATCACTATGTAAGTGTAAATAGTAGTAGCTATGTAAGCTACTATATATATGTAAGCTACGGTATAGGTTAAATAAATCAGTCTTTAATGAACTGGCTTTACAGCTGGAAAGAAGCCATACCACAGTGTACAGGAAAATGCATTTCAAATTACAAAGAACCTAACTTATAAACTGTTAGAATATAATCTGTTTGTAGACAGTTTGAGGATGGTCTTTATATCATCTTTTGTCAGGTAGGTGACTGAAGTGGATAGAATGCTAGGCCTGGAGGCAGGAAGACATCTTCCTGAGTTCAGATCTGGCCTCAGACACTTACTAGCTGCCTGACCCTGGGCAAGTCACTTCACTTTGTTTGCTTCGGTTTCCTTAAATGTAAAATGAGCTGGAGAAGGAAATGGCAAACCACTCCAGTCTCTTTCTCAAGAAAACCCCAAATGGGGTCATGAAGAGTTGGACATAACTGAAAAAATGACTTAACAAAGTACTATCTTAATAGCATTCATAGAGTATTTTCAATTATTTGTTACTGACCCTACCTGAAATACAAGGTAGCATTTTAATTGCTTAGAAATATTTATTATGCCTTAACAGGATTTTGGTTTTGTCTATTTTCTTTATCAATGGCTAATATATAAGATAACTGAGGAAAATTGCTCACTTTAGTTGCTTTTTGTACATTGAGGTTCTTTTGCTAATTCCAGATTTAAAAATAAAAATAAGTCTGATCACATAGGCAGTTTGCATATAGCTGAGGTTATATTGCCTGTGTTTATTTACTCCCCCAGTCACAGTGCTAGCAGCATGGAAGCACCTTCACAAACCAGGATTAAGTTAAATAATTTTTTTACTTATGGCATAAAAAAATCCACTTTGAATTCCTTTGCTTTCATTTTGGATCCATGGATTCATTATCAAGAAGTGATTCATCTCTGTTTTCAGGGAAGTGTGCTCCATATCAAAAAGGCACCTGTTCAAGTGATATTTTACTGCACTGTCATGTACTAAGGTGAGTTTTCCAGAAACTAATCTTGAATGAGGACGAGAACCATGCAGAGGAAAGATACCCAAAAAATAAGAGCCCCAAATTGTAATTTGGGATTGAAAAGTAGAAGAGCTCATCAGAAGTGAAGCTAAGAAGTTACCTGAAATGTACATGGACTTTTACGCTGATTTCAATTAACAAAGAGAGGTTTTGGGACAGAAAAATGGCTTTTGGAGAGAGGGTTATTGACTCTTTCTGATGACCCCAGATGTTTAACATTGGCTATGATTGGCATAGGTAAGTGTGGTATTTACAGAAGCATCAAAACATGGTGCGGAATGAATAGAAATCTGTTGCAAGATATCACATAGGCTGATTTTATTACTTTTTATATTTTATTTATTATTTATATTTTATTCTATAAATATTTTTCTGGTATACTGTAGACGAGCAGCACTCAAATTTGATGAAAATTAAGTAGATATTTACAAATACTGAATGTGCTCATTTTGCTTTCTTGCTTGAAAGAGAAATAGATGCCTTTGATTCTTAGATGTGTGAACATCAAACAGAAGAGTCATGGAAAGAGTGCTAGATTTGGAGTCAGGATTTGGGTTCAGATCTTGGCTCTTGTCACTGCAATATTTGTATAACCTTGACAAGTCACTCTCCCAGGACCTAATTTCTTTTTCCTTTTTTTGTTTTTAACTTTTATAAAGGAATATTTACTAAGAAGATAGAGCAAGAACAGGAGTTCAGACTAGTCTCTCCAACACCCAGGCCAGAGTCTCTTCTATACCACTTTGGTCAGTAGAGGGAGTGAGTTCAAATATAATGCAGTTTTTGCAATGCATTTGCTCAGCCAAGTTCACTTCTGAATTTAACATAGCCACTTGGTAAGTTTCTTCTCTTAGTAGGACCAGATATCATAACTTCAGGTCAGTTGGGCTGAGCCTTGGTTGCGCCTTGGGACTGTGTTAGTAGGCCAGGCGTGGCCAGCCACAAACTGTGGCCTCAACTTTAGCTCTTGGAGCTCTAGTGGTTCTCAATCTTTTGAAGTATTCCACCTCTAATACAAATCTATGACTTCACGTGGACCGGAGTAGGGAGAGTAGGCCTCAGGCACTAGTGGGACCTCTCTCAGCAACAACAGGGTCAGTCACTAGCAGCCTCATGCCAGTTCTGGCTACCCAGCTATGGATGGGAGAAGGCTAGAGGCCTCTTCCCCCCTTCCCCCCAGCAATTGTCCTACTCTGGATACTAGGAAAAAAAGAAGGGCTGGTTCTCATTTTCCTCTATAAAATGAAGAGATTGGGCTTGGATGACCCTTAAGGTTCCTTCTGGGGACCTATATTTGCTGTTAAAAAAAATTATTATTTTCAGTTAGCATTTACTTCCCCTGCCACCTTCCTATCACCCACTGAAAAAAGGGGGGGGATTGTGATAAATATGCGTTAGTCATGTAAAACAAATTCCCACATTGGCTATGTCCCCCCCAAAAATCTCATTTTGTATCCAGTCCATCATCTCTATTAAGATGATGGTAGCATGCTTCCTCATCAGTTCTCTGCCATCATGGTTGTTCATTGTGTTGATCAGAATTCCAAAGTCTTTCACAGTCATCTGTCTTTAGAAAGTCAACATACAAAATGTTCTGGTCCTATTTACTTCATTTTGTATCAGTTCATACAACTCTTCCCAGGCTTCTCTGAAGCTATCCCTTCATTTCTTATGGCACGCTAGTATTAGATTATATTTAAATACTACAATTTATTCAGCTATTCCCCAATTGATGGGCACCCAGGGAACCTAAATCTGTGACTGGGGATCACACATAGTACCCTGCAATGCCACATACCAGAAAACGAAATGCTCAGTTTTGAATGGAGGATGATTTCTTTTTGTATAATTCTGAGAGATTTAATTTTTATCCTCATATATAAAATGAGGGATTGGGTTAGATAATCTCAGAGGTTCCATCCAGCTTTAAATCTCTGAACTGAAAGCACTTTGCAAACTTTAAGGTGCTGTGTGGATGCCAGTTGTATACATTTGTTAAGTTAACTATTTTAGAGATCTTTTACAAATTGGGATAAGTAAAACAATAACTAGCATTTATGCTGACTCACCCGACTCTAACACTGTATCCACTGTGCCATCTGGCACAGCTAGGCAGCTAGTGGCGCAGTAGATAGAGCACTGGGCCTGGAGTCAGGAAGACCTGAGTTCAGATTTGGCCTCATACACTCACCAGCTGTGTGACCCTGGGCAAGTCACAACCTCTGTGTAAATGTTTCCTCATCTGTAAAATGGAGATAATAATAGTCCCTACCATGCAAGGTTGTTGTGAGGATCAAATGAGATAATATTTTCAAAGCACTTAGCACAATGCCTGGCATATAGTAGGTACTATAAAAATATTCCCTCCCCTCCCTCACACCTGGCTGCCTCAATTTATTCTATCACTCAGTCAACAAGCATCTATTAAATCATCTACCATGTGCCACACACTAGAGAGAGAAAGACAAAATCAAGACAAGCCCCTGGGCCTCCTGGAACTCCTAGGAAGCTTTCAACATGTTCACAAATTAATATATAAAAATAAATACCAGGTATTGTGTGGAGTCACAACTGTGAGAATGTAGTTCTGGAGCTCAACCTCAAAGGAAGCTTAAGACTGACTCCAAGAGGGAGAACATTCTAGGCCTGGGGGGATGGCCTATGCAAAGGCAGCAGAGTAGGAGTAGGAAGAAGGGGTGTCATGGACAGGAAACAGCCAGTGGACCAGTTTGGTTGGTGAAGCATTAAGTGTGTGAGGGGAAGTAGCCTGCAATCGACCTAGAAAGATGGGTTGGAGTCAGACTCCCAATGGCTTTAAATGCCAAATAGAAGACAACTTGGTTTGGTTTGGTTTTAATTTTGTTTTACTGGTCCACAAAACACGGGCAGCAAACATGGGAACAACTTGCACATGGTCAGACTAAGTTATGAGCCCAAAACTCTTGTGTTATTCACTTACCTGCTACCACTGAATAATCAGTTCTGAAAAAGAGATGAGATGGATAACACAAAATGGCCAATAAGCTATTATTATTGTGAGACTTTGGGC